AAGGCAGGTTTAAGTAAATAATATAGCCTTTTGTTAAAGTAATTCTAAATAATTGTAAAACAATCAAATTATTAAAATATGTATGTTGTTCAATGTTCAATGTTGTTCAAAAATTGACTCTGCGTGTGTTTCATACCAACCCTATTCGTGTCAGTTCAAATTTATGAAGTTTTGCATATGTATGTCTTTCTCTGGTTCTACATCTAGCTATATTTAAACTCAGGAAACATTTACATCTTTGAGATATTTAAAATTCGAAAGTAGGTTTGCAGATGACAACATTTGTTACTTAACGATTATAAAATTGGTTTCGATCGTTACTTGCTTACTGGCTGACACACTGACTGTGAATGCATTCGAAAGTTAAAACCTTGATATACTTTTTTCAATAACAATCAAAAACATAAATAAATGTAAGAATACGTTAAACACGTCGTCAATGTTATTCGATTTTGAATTCGTTGCTATAAAATGTGTTCATGCTTTTATTGCATGCATCTATTTTGCATTTTTAGTTTCTTATTGCACAAAATAACTTGTATAGGAAAAACTTTGAATTGGTTTAGTTTTGATTGTGATTTTAAGTGACTAAAACGTTAACACTTTGCAGCTTGGATGCAAATCAAATTTAAAGTTTTATTCAAATCTATTCGAGTTATAGAGAATAGTCGTATGCACACCTCGAAAAGCACTTAAACTGTCATGAAACAAATTTTACTAACGCTTGAATTATTGAGGGAAGCGGGGAAATCAAATGTTTGCATTCCCATGCACCACAATATGGAAAATTCAAATCAGATTCACCAAATGAATTCTAAATGACAAAAGTATTAAATATTATAGTTTTTAGTTAAGATACGAGCTTGTCATTGAGCTAATGATGGTTGCGGAGACAAATCATCCCAGCTGATGACTGCCACTGTTCATTTCTCTATAAAATATGTATACTTATTGATTGAATATGAATATACATACCAACGTACTTCAAATGCTTCAAATGTACCTAGTCTGTTCGAAGAAAAGAGTTCGATAAACGAATATTATGTACCCATACTTTCAAACTTGTTGTGGCGTCCTCCGAGCGCCACACGCTTTGCGTCGAGACCGCCTTAAGATAGATGATCGTCCCGAACACTCGCCAATGACTAGACTAGACTTACTTTACTGGGCATACCAGCACGTACGTACGTACGTAGTTAGTTAGTGATCGTATGTTTCTGCAGTAAAGGAATTGATGTGAGGAGTTGCGACCGACTACTATATAGGTGTTTGAACTTTGAAGGTCGCAGCATCTCGTGAACTCACCCAACCACGGATCATGTACCTAGCCATGTTGATTCATATATTTAAATTATTCTGTTGTTCGTGAATTTGTAGACGTGTTGTTGTAAAGTTGGTTTTGTGGGGCTTTAAAATTATTGCTATTGCTATGAGATATGTCTATGTTGATTTTTGGCGCGCATCTTCTAATCGAATTAAATAAATATTTGTGTTATCGGCATGTGTGAATCCACTTGCGTGTAAACTATATTAATAGTACCTGCTGTATCTAGTACTTGGTGAAAGTGTTCCATCCTACTTTTCTATCCTCCATGACACAGTGCAATTACAATATCTAGACTCGATTCGCGGTTAAATGAGGCAGTTAACTGCGCGTTTATTACTTGCTTCTATCTAATCTGTCCGTATGACATACTGGTTACATAATCAATCAACGTGAGCACGAGCCCGCGACGTATGCGCACTGGATTCTTGGTGAACTGGTGGTATATTGGATCGGATCACGATCTCGGTGAGGAGGTGAACATGAGTTTGACATTTACTCAAAGATTATTTGTCTTAAAGCAAGCGTCTTCGTTTTATGAAAATTGAATATTTTGTACTATACATTTATTATGTTTGCTTTAGTTTACTACTTCGTTTACTACCTATAGGTAAATTATACAAAAATAGATCAATTTCCTTGATAATATTAAATATTATTGCTTATTTTTTTGTCCCAAAATGTGTGTCGTCGTAAATGCGCACTACACGGACATTTATTGAAATATATAGGAATAGCATACTATAAAATGACACATGCGTCTGTTGTAGCACTCTGGAGTCTCTAAAAGTTGGTCTCTTATGCTCTTCGCTATGTTAATAATACCAGTACTTTTCCGTATTCAAATATTTTTTCCATCCATACTTTTCGGTGTAAACTTTACGAAATTTCGTTTTTCTTTATACGGAAAATCTCACTTTTTTCTGAATTAATTTTTTGTTGATTCACATACGTAGAATATTTCATTTTCGAAATAATACGAATATACATCTTGTGCATCTAATTCCTTTACTCTTCTGCCTTTAATCATTAAGTGAAATTAGTCGTCATATGTGGAAAGAAAGTGAAATTAAGATGTCTCTTCTCTTCTCTATTGTGTCATTCATGTAAGGAAAAATGGCATTGCGGAAACAATGCACTTACCACGTTATGCAAATAATTGCAGCGGTGCTGCTTGTAATTCACAATAGCAGGTAGTTGAGCGGTAGCTGCGAAAAGCGACAATAAAACCATAATAAACTTACCTAACACATACATTCTAAAGAAATTTAACAACGTTATTATGATGAGATCTCATAACGAACAGATGAACGGCAAATTGTCGTAATATATTTCATTACACATTATTTTCATTTTTTAATTTGTTACAAAAAATGGTAAAAAATTACACTAAGGGATTGTATCTTGATGCCTTATAGTGTCCTAATAAAAAATTTGCTGACCAATGTTCGCAACATTATACGACATAACATACATGTTCTCTGGGTCATTGAACAGGTACAAACTGTGTGCTTAACATTAAACTGCGTTTTTTTTACATTCACATCATATAAAAACATGACAATTTGCTCGCAGCGCATAATTCTCGAATGTGGGTTTATAAAAGATTGGACGCCACATTCGTAGTGGTGAAAATGTAAAGAAAATCCGAAAATTTCCCAAATTACAAATAACGTACTTATTTTTATAAAGAAAAATAGAATGCATACATTAGACGAACGATAGTTAAACATTATTTTGGATCTGTACAATTAATTTAAGTTGGAATAAATCAAGTTACCAATTCAAATTTAATTTAAACGAACATTTTGTCTCATTCGGAACCGCTGAATCATGATAAATATTTTTTGTTGCTTGTTGCTTGGTTTTTTCAATTGAACGTACGTGTGTAGTGCTTGGTGGTTATTCATATGGTTCATTGGACGATCGTATGTATTTGGATCACAATAGTACTCGAATCGATGATACTGACACGATTGTAATTAGGACAAATCCATAATAGGACGCCCATAAAAGTGTCATTCAGCTGTTGGCCTGTTAGTGTTTATTTATTAAAGTCGTGATATGTTTGTGATACGAATTTTGACACGAGCAATATTTATCATCATCATCAAATTGACATGTAGTAGAGATTACAGAGCATTCGTTAATTAAATGATAAGTTTTGAGATAATTCACAGATGATTAATAACAACGAACTTTAATTAATATCATTAACGAGGTGCAGTTATGAAGTATTTTACTTTTAACAAAGTATTATAAATAAAATACTATTCAATTTTATCAATACCTGTGAAAAATATTCAAAATTTTTGATAGAAATACGTTTTGAAGGCTTTTTGAATTATAAAACAGTTTAATTACTTGGCTTAACAATGTTTTTACATAAGTTTACTTCTCAGATAAAGTTTCATATCACCATGTATGCAATACTTGTATTTTAGTACACGCGTTACACAATTTACCTTTTAACCACTGTGACACTGTCTCTGTGTGTGTATTGCGGCGTGTATGTGCTTATTGTTTCCACGCTCAACGAGACAACAATTACGTCGCTCAGCGGTGGTGTGTACGTGTGCGTACCACCTTATTTAAAATCACCCTGACCCCTTTCTCGGCACAGTTGATTCAGACGCTCGATTGCCTTATTATAACATATCCATATCAGCTTCTTATTTTGCTTTAGTTCTTGCGTTATTCCTGGGCGGTGCCGCGTGTTAAACGACGACCTTATGACATTAGCTTCGCTTTGACCTCGTAAACTTTTGAAACTCTTTGAACACTCTGAATTTACTGACAATTAATTCTGAGTAATTTATGTGAGTGTGGCTCGGGTTTATTTATAGACTCATATTTGAAATTACTTACTTTACTTTTTAATATTGACATAACTTTCAATTCAATTGATCTAATTGTGCGCACAGTTACGATAATTGTATGTGTTACGCATGCGTATTTGTTGATTGTGCCATGTTTTTAACCTAACCGCACTAAGTTAGGTTAGATTAGGCAAATATTAATAAGATTAATTTTATCATTGTTTGTTTTGAAATGTTTAACGGAAATAAATTCTTTGACTTGTGATGTTTCGCATGGAAGCACCTCTTTTTATTGTTTTCAATTGTGAAAATGAACGTGAGAATGTTGGAGTATAGGAGTACTTAATTTTGCTCGTCATACTTGAGAATGCGTCGAGAGTAAGGAACTTCTTACTGGTGATGGCAGAGTTCCTCATTTAATAACAACACGGCGAAAGGATGCTACAGCTTGAGTGCTCTTTCCTAGTTTTCGTTTAAATTCACTTCTAACTTGGTAATGCACATGATAAATACACTTTCTGCTCATTACATGCTCGCACACGTATGTCGTCAAGTATAATTTATAGTAGCATCTGAATTATGTCATCCCGAAAGCCGCGTTTGTAATTAAATTATTTAATTCTATCAAAATGTCAATATAAATAAGCGGGGCCATACAGAATGGCGATATTACGGTTTTTAATGAGTATTTCTGGTGGCTGACTGATAAGTGCAACGCCCACCGAATATTTTGATAAGTTGCCAACAGTTGCTGGTCTCTAACAGTCTCCGCATTGCGCTTCCCTCTGCAGCGGATAAAATTGCGTGATATATTTCAGTTTGTTCTGATTATAATAACATTGTATGTCTGCTTCCAGATTTGGTACAATGCACAAACGAGCCGAATGTCAGCATACCGCAGTTGGCGAATTTACTTATCGAGCGCTCACAAAACACCAACTGGGTTGTTGTTTACAAGGCCCTTATCACCGTGCATCACATCATGTGCCATGGTAACGAAGTAAGTATCAATTATAATTTAACATTTTTCGATTGCAGTATATGTTTATTTTGCTGCGTTTGAAAAATTTTGTGGTTTATCGTTATTCTATTGTTCACACTTCCTGATTTCCTATCAAGTTGTTTCATTACTCTTTCATATCCTGTATAGTAAACATCAATGTAAATGCAATGATTAGTTGGCAAACGGTTCCACATGGAAATTAATGCAGATAGTTGCTCCGGCACTGTAATTTTATGCGTGTTGCTACGCTACAGCATATATTGAATACATTCGCGCATATCTGATTACCGTGGATTGGAGAAAGTGATTTTACATAACCAGATCTCTGCTGTAGTGCGTTGCAACAGCGTTGCTTTAAAACAAACAATGCAAATGTTCGTTGCCTTATTCTTTCATTTGCTCTTGCCTGAAAAGGAAATGTTATCAACGTATAACACACAAGCCCAAGGACAATACAATATATGTTACTGCATTCAAGGATATAAGATTATCTCAGTCAAAGCATTAATGTACTATTGTATTATATTATATTAACATCTAATATATGCTATTTTCTTTTTCAGAGATTTACACAATACTTGGCTTCAAGCAATAGCAGTTTTCAATTAAGCACTTTCCTTGACAAAAGTGGCGTACAAGGTAAACATAACCAAATTATTGCTCTATTCTTGTGCTTGTAAAGCAAATTTGCTTCCTTTAAGGAATGCGATTATTTATCAATCATTTATTACTCTATACGCTTATTTTATCGTATATCTCTCGGTTGAATATTTAATTAATATCAAATGACACATGAACTATGGCTTCTAATTGCGATTTATTCATTCAAGCTTTACTTTACATAACATAATAATACAATTTCGTTGTAAACGGTTCTTATATCTTTTTGCATTCAATTCACGTTAGGTGTACATAATAAAACATACAACTAATTTAATTTTTCTTTTGTTTCAAAGGAATGCTGAGTATTAAAACTGGTAAGTGGTATTTGGTAGTTATGTTTGGCAGAGGCATTGCATGCTTTCTAACACATTAAAAGCAGTTTACGACACTTTTTCACAACCTATTCGAATCGGCTGGAATGGCTAAATAATCTTTAAATGATTTCATACAAAACTTACATATTCTTCCACACTCACTCTATACTTTAATAGAATATATAAATTTTACTTGAAAAGATGACTTGGGGTTTGGCCTTTTAAATAATTCAAAGTACTATCATTAATAAATGCAAAATTTGATTCAGTGCATCGTAGTATCTTAGTGTAGATAAAACTTAATTAAATTATGATATGCATTAATTAACATTGCCGAACTTTATAGGTTACGACATGTCACCTTTTATCAGAAGATACGCTCATTATATCAACGAAAAAGCCTTATCGTACCGAACGGTTGCATTCGACTTCTGCAAGAAACGAAGGTAGTTCCTATTATAACATGTTGAACAACAAGTTGAATGTGTTCGTATTTATTGTATAGCAATGACGATGGTCTTCTACGCACAATGCACACGGACAAGCTCCTCAAAACCCTTCCCATCCTGCAGAGTCAGCTCGACGCTCTACTCGAGTTCGATTGCACCGCCAACGACCTCACCAACGGTGTCATCAATAAATCCTTCATGTACCTCTTCGGCGATCTTATTAGGCTGTTCGCCTGCTACAATGGCGGTATTATCAATCTGCTAGAGAAGTACTTCGATATGAACAAGAAGCAATGCAAGGAGGCACTCGACATCTATAAAAAGTTCCTCACACGGATGGATCGGGTCGGGGAGTTTTTGAAAGTTGCCGAAGTATAAGAAATTTAATTACACGCAAGTGTACGCTGTACGATTAATTATCTGAATTGTTTGCCGGGATAGAACGTTGGAATCAATAAGGGAGAAATTCCTGATCTCACAAAGGCACCCAGCAGTTTACTGGAGGCGCTGGAGCAACATTTGGCACACGTTGAAGGGAAGAAAACTTCGGGCGCTAGCACACCATCCCAAAATGCCAGGTGCGTTATACATACCTAGAGTATCAGGGCCGGTGTCAAAGATAGTAGTAATTATAGAAAGGTAGAATCATATAGTTAATTAGTTTGGTTTCTAGTAAACAAGATTGTAGTTAAATTTCGATTAATACCTGGCCTTGATAGGAAAAATTGTTGTTGGACAACTGTATGATTGATATTTTTTTGTTTTGTATGTGCACCATTTTATTTCCAATTTTTGTTGCGTTTTCCGTACAAATGCAATGAGTAGTAATCAGAAGAATTTGCGTTCGGCTGTAACCGCATTATCTTCCACCAGTTCGAGCTTCGGCACGGTAGTCGCAAACGGGCGCATTGACCAGCACGCGAATGGGCTCGACGAGCACATTAAATTAAAAATACTGGCTGAGGAAGAAGCTGCCATGAATCAATTTAAAGTGAGTAAATATTGTTCTTGCATAACACAAAATTTATGTATTATTTGCCGTACCAGACAAAGAAACAGTACTCGCCGCCGACAATGTCCACCGCCAACAATCCTTTCTTCTCGTCGACAGCGACGACAACTTTGGCAAATATGCCAGCGGAAACGCAATCCTCTGCGGACTTCTTCGCCGACAGCGCGACCACAACGACCACTCAATCACGCCCGTCCGATGATTTGCTGCAGTTGAACAATCCGTTTGCGGACGCATTCGCGCAGCCAGCCAACGCGTTTGCCGCTCCACAGTTGCCAATGATCCAGCAGCCAAATAATATCAATGCGTGGATGGCAAATGGCAATGGTAGGTCTATTGGGAATCTATCAATTGAATGCTTATTTGTCGTTTAATTGATCGTTTTGAATTGTTTTTGTTGCAGGATACACAACCCCCGCTAGCAATACAAATGGCGGCGGTGCCTTTGTGTCCGAATCGAGTTTCCAATCGGTATTCGGCAATACCGAAGTTAAAAGTAAGCAATGTCTCGTTATGCGCTTATCATCTTCATTAATCAACTTCATTTTTCATTACATGCTCATAATCAGACACTTGTTCAAGCTTGCATGCTAATGCTTACTAAACCCACTACTCTGTATTATTCGCTATAACTTCTAGTCCCATTTATTCTTATGATGTGTTCGTATGTTCTGTAACTAGCATTTAAATGTGTGTGATTCTTTTCTGTGCAAGCTGCCGACGGCACCAAAATTCCCGAGTTAGACTCCTTCAATCCTTTCCTGGTCGAAGATAAAGAACCCTCTTTGCTCCTGGACACTTCATCTCCCTCGAATTGCGCACAACCCATTCAAGAGGTGCTCAATTTCTTCCAAAAAGACAATACACTAACAATACATTTAAACGAATCGAACGAAAGGACTGACGCAAACAAGTCTGATCATAAGTTAAGTTTTGGCGAGAGTCTCACGTTGAATTTCTCGACGGTCGTCGCCAACGGCAGTGGTGCAGTGGCACCATTGCTCATCGACAAACAAGACAATATCACCAAGTGTAATCGTCCCCCGCGACCGCCGCCTCCCTCACGCCGTCCCTCGAACCTATCCACGCCTGCCAGTCCTCCACGCTCATTCTATTCCGGTTCCAATGACAACGTTTTCACTGCTACTACAGACGAGCAACCGCATTGTTCACAAAGCATTGGTAAAAGATAAACTCATTTAACATTCGACTAGGTTTAATGTATCTGTAACGTTAATCTAACACTAATTTATGCCTAGCGGTAATTATTTCCACTAGCGCCCCGTTATTATGCATGTGCTAATTGGTTGCGCTTACAGATTCCGGATTTGACGCGTTGGGTGGCGTGCTGCAACCGATGCCCTTGGCGGGCAATCAAAATAATCAAAACAATCAGGCATCAAACAATAACAATAATAATAATAATAATATTCAAGAACAACAGTCTGGTAGTGCCTTATTGACCGGCGATCTGGAGTCGAGTCTGGCTTCTTTAGCTCAAAACTTATCGATAAACAGCCGGCAAGTGCCCGTTAAGTAAGTATTCTTTAACTAACGAATGGATAGACACTCATTTATATGATATTTTGGAATTATTGTAGAGAAATACAATGGAATTCGCCTAAAAATGGTTCTAAAGTGGGTGCTAGTTGGACACCTGCACCAGTGTCTAGCACTACTGGTGGGGCAGGTTACAAACCAATGAATCAGTCCATGTCCCAACAAAACATCATGCAAACCCCTATGTTTACAACACCTATGCAACCAATGATGGTAAGAGGAAAATGTTACTAATTGCTAAAGAGTGTACTGTCAATGATATTCGCTTCCTTCCAGGGAATGCGTCCAATGGTAGCAAACAATATGATTCCTCCAATGGGATCGTCACAACCACCTGCAGCACACCCAATGGGCCAGCAGTCTCTTCTGTTCCATTAGATCACTTATCACTTATCTCACCAATGTACGCAAATCCCCAATATTTTCACCAACGATAATAATGAAAAAATATTTGTGCTATATTCAATATTTATTGATATTACTATAGCTAGATTTAACTTAAATGTTTTGCCTAAAAATGGCAGACGTTTGTTCGGATTGGAGGGAACATATGATGATTTTTTCACGATTGTAAGTTCAACTTTCAGTGCACTACTCAACTTTATCTCATGAAAGGCGAGCATTGAATAGATAAACACAATTAACACTGATTGTGAGCGCATACTTTTTCACGAATGATAAACATTATCGGTAAATTGAGTTGTTGCTGTAGCTCAATTGAATGGTATAAAGGAGCATTCATATCAAGGTGATAAATATCGGAAGCGGGCGTTTTTTGATAACTTTACAAAATTATACACGATGTTAATTTAATCAATACATGTCCCAACATGTTAGAAAGAACGACTGTCAATTTACACTTGAAATTAATCGTTTCGGACAATAATTCCAAATTCCCAGCAAGAATACGATGTAAAATGTACCAAGAAGACAATGAACTAGACATTAGCTTTTAAATGTTTGACGTTTAACGTTGAATCAGACATAAATAATTCTTGTGATTTTTGCGCCATTACACCACTATATTCTTGTACTGGACTGTACATTATCAATATATCTTTGTAATACGTACTCTTGTAAAGAAGAACTTATCATGGATGCAATTTAATAACTATGCTATTAGGCACTAAGTAAATGATAATAGACAAATTGATAATGATGTGTATGCCATACGGATATATTTTGTAATGATTGTTCCACGAAATTGCGTTTTACTCTAAAGCACTATTATTCGCTGGGGGAAGAGGATAGATAGAAATATGCGCCATACATTATTTTTTATTATTGTGAATGAAGTAATATGGAAATTTATATTTGCACTTTTGATGCAAGAACTTAAAAGCAAACGGAGTTGGTGTAAATGTTAAGGAAAGAGATTAATAGTTAAATGTGAGTGTGCTTTTGTCACTTGAAATGCAATTTGAAAAACAAGTTGCAGAAACATATCAAATAACGTTAATTGTAAATGAACTTATCTATTTGATGTGGTACATTTTAATAGTGAATGCTGTGCTTGTTTAAATATTTTTAGTCCATATGATACTATTGATAATTGCAAAAGGCAAGACCAACAGGAAGCATCAATATGATTAAATTGAGAACGTTTGTATATAATACATATTATAATTGGGATATCTGACATTTTGTTTGTAATTTAGATACCTTTAGTTCGGTATTTGCTTCCTGGTTTTTATATTCTCAACAACACTATAGCATCTGTCACATAAAGTCTGTGGCATTAACGCGGTGAACTTTCGACATCTCGCACATTTAAACTGTTCACCTTTAGTTATCCGTAGTGTAAATTTCTCGTCGACGCTTGGCGTGACTATTACTTCAGAGACTTGCAAGACATCACAGAGGTCATCTAGATTACCGTGTTTCTACAAAAAAAAACACATTATAGCATCTTAAACTTCTATTTACTACTGCGGACATTTGACCGACAATGAATTTTGATATTTATTCGGTTTCTTATTTTATTTGAGCATAAGAAAGTTAATTTCACAAACCTGAATTAAGCTGATGTTGTCTGGATTCATTAAAATCTCAACTTTACTTTCAAGAGCCTCGCCAGCATTTGTTTGTTTGTTGATGTCTTTTCGAACATTCAGTAGTAAATCCATTATATATTTAACTTCTTCGTTTTGCCAACTCTTTTCAGGTGTCAAATGCTGCAATCTAGTGAAAAACGCTGCGGAAGTCTTCAGGCACTCTGGTAAATGCAAATACACTTCCTCAGCTAAATGCGGAACAATGGGCGCAATACTCTGCGTCAACAAATTAATCAATTGATAAAGAACAAATTGCGCCCCCAAACGATTGTTACTATGCTCTTCATCACAATATAGCCGATCTTTAATAGCAGTGTAATAAATCGCTGAAATCTCATTAGTAGTCAAATTGATTATCAAAGACGACAATTTATTAAATTGATAGTCTTCTAAATAAGACTGTGCCTAAAACATCAAAAATGTAAATTTTATTTAAAAAATCCGATTATTGGCATGTTTACCTGTTCATGGAACTCATACAACAACCCCAACATATACTTATCAGTCAAGTTCAACTCATCATATTCAACTTTTTCACCTTTATAATCTGCGATACTACCAAGAGCAAATCTCAAGGTACTACGAATTTTCTGGACCTCGTCTGCGCTGGCTTTCAAAACATTGTCACTAACATGAGTTGTACTATCTTGGTTAGCATGACATGCCACCCACCATCGCAATGTATCAATGCCATACGGCTGCTTCTTTTTGGATCCTTTGACTATATCATGTGGGTCAACCACATTTCCAAGTGATTTGGACATTTTTACACCTTTTTCATCCAGGGCAAACCCATGCACGTAAATTGTTTTGTAAGGCGCACAATTTCTTAGTCCAACTGATGTAATTAATGAGGATTGGAACCAACCAGTGAACTGATCTACGCCTTCCAAATACATGTCCGCAATTTTCGGTTCTTCCAAGACACTTGACCAGGATATTCCACTGTCAAACCAGATATCTAAAATATCATCACCTCTGCAAATATTGTCAATATTTTCTTTGGCCAGCAGTGATGTCGGTAGAAGGTTTTCAAGGGGTTGTTTCCACCAAAAATCAGGGTCCGTCTCACTCAAAACTTTGCATAGATGGTCAATTGTTTCCCTAGAAACATGTATTTTCAAGTAATAAAGTATGAACGTAATTAGACATAAATACCTGTTTAAAATATGATCACCGGAATTTTTGTAATAGAAGACAGGAATAGGCACCCCCCAGGACCTTTGTCTTGATATACACCAATAGGGTCTCTTCTTAATTTGATCTATTAAATTCTTTTTATATTTGTCTCCATTTAGCTTTGGAATAACAGTTGTTTGTTCCACATGGTCCTAAAAATGTATCATATTAATATATCAACATTCTGATTACAGTTTTCAATTAATACAATTGCCGCCTGTTTTATTGGATTCATATCAACGAACCACTGTTGACTAGCTCTTAAAATAACTGGTTTCTTAGTTCTCCAATCGTATGGATAACTGTGAACAAAATCCTCTTTGTGGACTATAGAATCGTCCAGAATATCAAAGATTTTGTCATTAGCACCGTCTAAAACTGAGGTACCTTCTAAGTTTGATCCAGTTTCTTTGGTATAATGGCCATTTTCATCTACCAAACATTTCTGCAATAAAAGAAGAGATTTAATATGAGACTGCTAGAAACACGATAATGTAAAAATTTCAATTAATTGCATAATATTTTGATTTATAAATACAAGTTCAAGAATTTAATTACAAACATATCATTCTATGATACTAGAGTCTTTTTCAAATACTTACAATTTTAATATTATTTTCCAAAGCAACTAAAAAGTCCTCAGGTCCATGAGCAGGTGCAGTGTGAACTAAACCAGTGCCTTTTGTACTTGATGCATGACCGGAATGCAACAATTTTAATTCTTCATGATATACTGGTTGACAATAAGTTACATCCTTCAATAAATCACCACTAAACGTTTCTAATACTTGATACTCTTTTCCTAGCATATCGCAATGACTTTTCACTAAATCGCTTGCAATTACAAATGAATCACGTTCATTTTCATTCTTTACAAGGCTGTAAGATAAGTTTTTATTATAACACACTGCTTGGTTCCCAGGTAATGTCCAAGGTGTTGTTGTCCAGATCAATAAATGTACACTAAAAGTAAATAACGAAATTTTGATAATATTGGTACAGTTTTAACCGACATGTCTTACTTTTGATACTTCTTAAAAATTTCTGGTTGCTTTAGAACCTTTAATTTTACCGTAATGGCGTTGCTCACATGATTTGTATTGTATTCTAATTCTGCTTCTGCTAATGCTGTCCTGTTATTAAAGTTGAAATAGTTATCACTTCATAATTATTTAGGTGAAAGAACTTACTTTGATGAGGGAGACCAATACACAGGTTTAACATCTCTATAAATCAACTTCTTTTCATATAAGTTATAAAACTGCTTAAGTTGATTTTGGATATATTCTTTATCAAAGGTTCTATATGGGTTTTTCCAATCTCCAATGACACCCCAAGATTCAAAAGCTGATCTTTGTGTTTCAATTGTTTGTTTTGCAAAGTTTCTTGCTAAAATATTCAAATTATATTAAAACTAAATGTGTTGAAATATAAATTCTTACCTTTCTGACGAATTTCCAATGGTTTGAGTGAAACCTTTACCTGTTTAATTGCTTTCAGTTCAATTGGAAGTCCATGACAATCCCAGCCAGGTATATAATTGATTTGTTTGCCTTGCAACAACTTAGTCCTAATTATTGTGTCTTTCAAAATCTTAAAATGTATAATATTAGCAATTTACAATCCCTTTTTCTTGTATATATACCTTATATATACCTTATTAATTGCATGGCCCATATGTGGCAAACCATTTGCATAAGGAGGACCATCATGTAAAACAAAAGTTTCCTTATTTTTTAATGTTTCCTTCTGCCACTCATAAACATTTTCATGGACTTTCTACAATCAAATTCTATCAAACAACATTAATTAATTACTTACTAATTAATTTGTACATTCATATCATTGTCACGTTTCACAAGTTTTTCTTTTTCCAATCGCAAAGGCATTTTTGTTGAAGGTAACAAAACTGTACTTGAATAAACATTCGTGTTTATTGTACTAAAATAATATTTATATCTAAATGGCACTTGCTTCAATCTCTGTCTCAAAATGAACATTTTGTTTGATTATTATGTATATTCTCTTTTAAATAATTATCCGGTTCTTTTTCAGAACTTATCACCCATTTGTAGGTTACATCACAAACTGTTGTTTTTAAAATAAATTTGGCCGCTTGTGTACATTTGGTTCATGATTTCATTTAGTTCAGTTATATAATAAAAAACCAAAAATGTTTTAAACCAAATTTTGTAGACTTGCTATTATATTCCTCTTTCTACTTTTATGATTATAGTTTTGGTAATTGTCTATAATTTAAATTTAAAAGTTTGGTACACAATTACTTCAAAAAGTTTAGAAACATCATGTGCCATCATAACCTATTTGGCTTATTAAATCAATCAAAAAGCTCAAATAATCTAACACAACATTAAATAAAAATGTTTAAACTAAGAAAGAGTGTTAGTTTATTTACTAGAATTAAACAGCGTCGTGACTTAATAGTGGACGGTACGAAAACAAAATTCGAGGCGTTGGAAAAGCGTGTCGCTGGCACATTCGCAGAAAAATGGTTACGATTTTGGATGAATCTTGCACGGGATTATCGAGATGTTTCCCTGGATTTAGTCAAAGAGATACGTGCGAAGCCGTCGAAGGCGATAATAATTGGCACGTCTGGCTGGCTGGCAACGGCATTTGCCCTACACAACCCCAATGCAACGCATTTTCGAGACACCTTCCTCCAAGCTGCTAATGACTCTTCAGTTGTGCACCACACTTTGGTGAAGCCTGATGTGTTAGAACATTTGAAATTTGTTGAATCCTGTTATAATTGTAATTTAATTAGACACACAAGTTTTGGACTGTTTTCCATTGTGTGGGTAGATCAAAGTTCCAAAGAGTGCAAGGCATTTGCCACACAGTGTAATTACTTAAAATTGGGATACACAGATATTCCTAGTAGAATTATTGATATTGGATTCTTAGATACATGGTGGGTTTTAGTAAAGAAAATGAAAGATTTTGACATTAATTATTAATGTAGATATGTATATTATTAATTAAATTTATTGTTACATATGCAATCAATGTTTTCTAATTTAGAAATATAGTAAACATAAATTATGTTCAATGTAAAGGATTATATGTCTAAATAGAAATTATAAACAGAGTAAATAAATCATTGGTATGTATTTGAAATGCATAATTTACTCATAGACATACTAGTTCAAAATTAGTACACCAACTTGAAAATCCACTGAAGGTTTAAGTGGACTTTTCAGTTTACATAATGGAATAGAACATTGACATTGTTCTAATTTATTCGACGCCATATACAATATGAGTTTATATGTAATATACAATGTTGCAACAGTTGTGAAAGTCGTGCTATTCGCAATGTTTCTACGCATGCGATGACAATTGCGATTACGGGGTTATTTTTGAAAACGAAGAGGAGGATGGGTACACGATTGGCTATTCTGGTGCATACTTTGTTTAAATTTGATGCCATTTTTTTATATCCGTTGCACATGTTCTTATATCCTTCAATATTGTTGATAAGAATAAACCACGTTTTCAGCAAATTCATTTTATTTTAATTTGTGACCGTATCAGACGTGCTGCACTTCTCCTAAAATGGTAAAAATAAGACTTTATATGACTTTTAATATCCCGTTTATTATATTTAAGTCAACGCTTATTTTGCATATTTTGCATATTTTCAGTCCGGTAAGCGGTGCATACATATGGTAGAAAGCAATGCAGGTAAATGCATTACTTGCTTTCAAGGAAATAAAGAGGAAGATGAACCATCGCGCCAAGAACGTCGCAGGGAGCGAATGGAGGCCAGAAGACGTCACATAGAAAAGCACGAAAGGAACACGAATACAAAACCAACTGTTCCATTACATGTCTATGAAGCCTTAGTCAAGCAGTACAACGACACCCTTAAAGAGACCAAACTACTAGAAAGGATAGCAGGCTCCTTAATAGAAGAAGCATGTAAACTACAGAAATGAATTTTATTTTAGTTAGATACCAACATTGGTGGTATCTAAAGGCTAGAGCTCTTGCCTACTAATGCCTAAACAAAATATATTTGCCTATAGACTTAAGTTTTCCAATCACATTACTGTTGAATCGTTCAGACTGCAGTTTTAATTAATGACGAATGTAACGCTGATATTTATAATCAATATTTATAGATGTGACTATAAAATAAAGACAACATTTTAGATAATTTCCTACTACACTGAACCTGAATCATCTGTAAAAATATATTAGCAATTTATTTCGGGTGGTTAAACTTTGTATCTTGGTGGGTAACTTAAAAGGACTGAATATTTTCATACGTTTTGACGATACAATGAGAATTTTGAATCAAGGTAAAAATACTGCAACCGGTTTATAATAAATAAGCGTTTAATTCATATGACTACATGTATGAAGGAATAAAAGTCATGTTACATAACATTATTTTATCGTAAATATTCGCGAAAATAGAATTCGCATTAAAATGCACAGAGAATCCCATGGAATGTGTGATATCGGTTATGGAGCAACAATATTTACTGATAATGCGCTTTTTGTTGAACAGCCAGGTCAACTTCCTCCAGAAAACTCCTCGAATTGTGAACCGTAGTTCCACCTAAAATAATCTGCGTACCCGGGAAGTTCTTATTAAACGAATGCACAGTCAAGCTCTCTTCATACGTGACACCACCGATAATAAAAACGATCAACTTCTGCGGCTTGCCGTTCGTCTGATAATACTGCGTCGCAAATGGAAATTGTGAATCTTTCAGTCGGCCCTTTACGATATTATCCAATATCTCATGCAGCACTGGTTTATGTTGTGTGTAAATATTCTCCACACCATTCAATCCCTTGAAGAATCGCTTGGTAATTTTAACTGCATTCTCGACATTCATTTGTTCAGATGGCTTGAGATGTGACTGACTAAATTCTACCACATTGTTGATGTTTTTGATGTAAATATCAGCGATTCCTTTTCGCTTCAGCATTGTTTGTAGACTGCGAACTTCATTATTACTCTGGTGTCTATAACGTAGAGCGTACAATGTAACTAACTTCGCAATGTCCGATTCGCGAACAACCGACGATGGATGGTTGATTAATTTTTTTATACTTTGGAGATGTGCGGAGTGGTCATATTGTGAAACAATTTCTTGTTCGATTTCGGAAACTTCCAAAAGTGAATAGTTTTTCACACATGACGATAATTCACCTACAACTGTGACGTGTTTGGAGACATTTCCGGAGAGTTTCTTGAACTGTGGATAAGCTTCAACGAAATTCTTCATGTCAGCTATGCTTTCAATTTTCTGATGCGTTTTCACTTTATTCTGGAACTGATCCATGAGATCTTTGATATTCTGACCGATTTCACCGTAGTTTAAAAATACGTTTTTGGCATAAAACGCGTCCTGCTCTGCCGAGAGAACTACCTCTGCTAAGTCTTTGGAAATTCCTGGCACATGAGACAAGTTGACTCTATTGTTATGGATAGTCAATAATTCATGAACCATTGCTTGGTATGTCCACTGATTTAGCAGTGGAGTAATTGGATCATCTCTTCTATCCAAAATTAGAAGCATTGTTGAGGAGTTTTGTCCAAATGAAAAGAGTGTGGTTTCTTTATCAATTGTTTCTTTGACTCTATGTGCTAAATCGCGAGCCGGTCGGGAGTTTTCCTGATATCTAATAACTGGACATATTTTTAAGGATAACAAGATGGATATTAATCCTTGTACACATCTAGGTAAAGCCACAGACTGCCAATTGGCATATGAACTTGGAATTCCCAGTGAGAATAAATGTGGATTCACAGCTAAGTAATCAATATAGAATTCTTGTACCTCCTTGACCACTTCTTGTTCATCATTCTCAGCTAAGATTTTCACATCAGCTTTAGCCAATGTGTTGCTAAAATAGATATAGTAGGCACCATACTTGGGATTCCTTAGTTCCTGGCATAATAATTCAATATTTTGCGTTGTTGGCCGGATGAAGACTAGACACTTTAAATACCTTAAACCCATATTGCTGCTTTGGTTCCTCGCGTCCAGGCGTTCCAGTAGAAACACTTCTTTCTGTTGTATATCAGATTGGCCAAAGACCATACTGATTATGCTGGTGGTATCTTTGTCCATCAAGAGCAACTTCATCCCAGGTTCACTCTCTTCAGTCATTTTATTGATATATGCCTTCACTGCCTCTATTACGTTCATCTTGAATTGCCAGTAAAAGATGTTTATAAATTATTCACTATTCGCATCAACTATCCACTGCTGATAAATAAACAAATCAGCTGAAGGGCTTGACAGATCTTCAGTAACATAACCTTGAACTGTGACAGATTTTGAGTTGTGATTTCTGCGACATTTGAGTAGTTAATTAAATCATAAACGGTTTGGAATAGATATTTGTAGTTAGTTTAATAAAACTTCACCAAATATGTTATTAGAACTATGTGAGATGTCATTTGTTAAAGTTGATAAACAATAAATATAATTAACCTTAATTACAGGTGGATTGGTTTCAGTGGCAATTTTATGGGGGGCAACAAATCCTTTAATTAAAACGGGGACAACAGATATAGTGCGTGTAAAAAGTGATTCCAAAGTAAAACAATTTCTTTTAGAACTTAAATATCTAATAACAAATTATAAGGTATGTCAAATGAGTTGCATACGTTAAAAGTTGCCAAATGCATTCATTCATCTTTTGCAGTATATCATTCCAATGGGACTAAACCAACTTGGTTCGGTGGTATATTTCTTTGTATTGCAAAGGGTAGATATTTCTTTGGCTGTTCCAGTTACAAACTCATTGACATTTGTATTTACTGCTTTAATGGGTTGGTTTTTAAATGAAAGGATGCCAAATAAAGGTATGCAAGTAAAAATTATTTAAAATTTAAAAACTAATTCAAGTAATTGCAGATGTGTTGCTTGGGGTATGTTTGATTATAATGGGAACATCATTCTTATGTTATGATAAATTGGCACAAGAAATATCGGGAAAATGAAATTCACAAAATTATTTTTGTAACTAGAGTAAGTTTGTAAATAGAGTAAGAGCCCGTGACGATCACGGTACCCAACATAGCAAAGAACTATACCCAATTATGAAACCTGGATGGTGGTTCTTGTGGCAGTTAACAGCCAACAAAGATGTACCAATTATGATGTCAAATTCGTTATTTTAGCAAATTTCATTTTTGCATATTTTATTCGTAACGTTAATATAACATAATATTACATTTCTTAGTCGCCAGACAGTTTGGGGGTTCTATCATCCGGCCAGACGCATTGAATGTGTATAATAGTTGCACTAAAATTACATAAAATCTGTTATGCTGTTAAAAGATCAATAAACTAATTTTCTTAATTTGAGTTTTTTATCGCCATATTATAGATTAAAGGATTCTTAACATGATTCTTATTTTTCAATCGTCCTAAACGATTAAAAAATGCATTAAAATGTACTATTAATAATAAAAAAAAATTAACGTTCTTGCAGTTTCTCAGCCTCCAATTGTCCATCAAGAGACTCTTTCCAAGATGGTTCATATTTGTATGGGATAGCGTTAGACTGAAGATCTAAAGGTCCCTGGTTCAATCCCTGGTTTCGGCACGTTGCTTTTGAGAAAGATTTATCGTAATACTGGAAAATTTCGTTATTATTGTGGTCTACAAAATAACACCCAATGTCTCCCGAACTATATGACTTTTTTATAGTTTCTCACCGCAATGTTAGAATAAGAGGGTTTTCCTACACGATGCATATATTTGCAACCGCCTAGCACATCTGAAAATGCTTAAAAGTGTTTTTTAGAAAGTAGCATTTTTCATAAAGTATGTGTATATGGTGTAGAAAACATCCTGTATCTCGTGAACTAATTGACGTTTTTAAAGTTTGTCACCACCATATTAAAGCTCGAGAGTTCCCCTACGTGATGCATACTTTGTCAATCTTCTAGCCCTTTTAGAAGTGCCTCAAAACTCTCTTTAAAACTTGACATTTTTCAAAGAAATTTAAAGCATAGTCCGCAAAACACCCTGTATCTCGCGAATTAATTAAATTTTTTAAAGTTTGTCACGGCAATTTTAAAGTTCAAAAGTATCCCTACACAATACATTCCTTTTCAATCTTTTAACCCTTCCGGAAGTGCTCTAAAATGCCTTTTAAAAATTGGCATTTTTCAGAAAAATTGAAAACATGGTGTGGAAAACACTCTGTATCTTGAGAACTATTTGACTTTTTTTAAGTTTTTTACTGCCATCTGGAAGTTCGAGAGTCTCTACGCGATCCATATTTTTCTAATCCCCTAGCCTCTCCAGAAGTGCTCTAGAAAGCACTTAAAAATAGCCATTTTTGTCCCAAAAATTTCATATTTTGGTCAATTAACAGGGTCGAACTTTTTTGTTAAAAATTTTTTCGGTCAAAGAACAGGTTCAAATTTTTTTCATACTTTCTTTTATAGAACAAAGTCAAATTTTTTTGGTCGAATAACAAGGTTGAACCGAACTTTTTTCTTTAAATTTTCCCGTCGAAACATTAAAAAGTTGGAATTTTGAATTTCTGAATGATAAAACAGTAGTTTTCTTACTTATTTAATAAAAGTCATTAATTATGAAAAAATTGGCGGAGGTACCTGACATTTAAAAAAGTTGTTTAATTACATATTGAGAACTACCTCATTGTGTTGAGGGGCTCTTAATGATTAACAATTTAAACAACTTTTCACCTAATAGCAGTAAGGAATTTTCCAGCAAATCTTATTAAGTAATGTGCACTCCCATCGAGACTTAAGAATCAAATATCTCAGGAACTAAAAGAGATAAACAAAAACCAAAAACACCTCGATGTTCAGCATCAAATCCTAGATAAGATAACATTTAAAAAATTTGAAATATAACATGTGCCTAAAAAAATTTTCGCTGCGATTTTCTCGGAAAATAATAAAGATAGAAAAGGACTTTCTTCATTTTGTTCATGCCGTGATAAGGATCTACAAAATGGCAGATTTAGTTTTTCTATTTTCCAAAGTTGACCAAAGACCTCTCAAAAACATCAAGAGGTTACACTTGACTCTTTTTGGACTCAAAAAATTTTCTTTAAGCTAGAAGAAAACGGAAAACGCTAATCGATGCAGTTTTCCAAGGGGATGAAAGATATCAAGTCAGTTTTCCGATAACATTAATATTTCGGAAAATGAGTGGTCAATTTAAAACCGATCAAATAAAATTACCTCCCCAATTCTCTCCACACTTTCCAAAATGATGAAAAACAATGCCAGAAATCCATTAATCCAGGTTTGGTTGCGCTATCTTAATTAGTTTATAAGTTACTGACCATTTTTAATTATTACATAAGTGTTGATAACTGTATATTTTAACATGTTATATAATGTAAAATTTAATTCTACATACGAATATGAAACCCGTTTTTCTCTATCTCTAATGGTTTTCAAGATAAGTGCGAAAAACTGGTTTATTCGTTCTCTCTATCATATCCTAAGCACAAAATAAAAATAGGAAATTACAACTTTTTATTACCAAATATAAAAGAACATGTGATTCTACATACTTTATTTTAATAAAATTTTGTTCTAAAATAACGCTTTTTGATAATAATAACCCTAATTAAGTCTGGTTTTGTCGCTGTTCAAATTACATATTTGTTTTATTAAAATTGTAAATAGGGCTTAAACGGTAAATGCTAGCCAAAAAAGTTACTAAAATAATCAATATAGAATTAAACGATCTATCCGAATCCGAAAACAGAATTTAAAAATTCCAATTTTTAATTTCGGACATAAAAAAGCGAAATCTTTTGCCTTTTTTATAACAAAATCTTTTCGTTAAATTTTTTTATGCATTTTTGGTCGTTTTTTAAGAAGGGTGCCATCTTGAAAAGAATTCTTTAAGAATCAAGAATATGAAGTCCTTTTTTTCCGAAGCCCTTTTAGTTCTCGAGATAATCGCAATTTAAACTCGCCGCGTTCACGGAATTTTTTAAAAAATAAGTCCGATCCTGTTGTTCAGCCGAAATTTAAAAAAAAAATTCGACCCTGTTCTTCGACCGTTTTTTTTAAAGTTCAACCCTGTTGGTCGCCCAAAAATATTTTAAGAAGGTAAGTTCGCCCTGTTCTTCGACCGAAAAAGTTTAAACAAAAAAATTCGACACTGTTGTTCGACCAAAAATATTTTAAGAAAATAAGTTCGCCCTGTTCTTCGACCGAAAAAAATTTAAACTAAAAAGTTCGACTCTGTTATTCTACCAAAAAATGCACTATTTTAAGTATGTACTTTTTAGGGCACTTCTGGACAGGTTTGGGGGTTAGAAAAATATGGATCGCGTAGAGCAGTGGTTCCTAACCTGGGGGTAATTACCCCCGCAGGGGTAAAACGGAGATTCTTGGGGGGTAACACATGATGGCACGAAATAGTATTAAAATAGCAATAAACAAAATAATTGTACGGTAACTGATAGCACGGCGCTATTTATATATTATATACATTTATATATTACTTTACTAGTCACGTAAACGTGCAATTTCTTACATAATAAGCATGTTTTCGTTCGAATTTATGTGGTTTTAACTATTTTAAATTAGCTAGGTGTAAACTCAATTTCCATACTTGTTCACAGGGGTAGTGACCTTGAAAAGGTTAGGAACCACTGGCGTAGAGAGACTCTTGAACTTCAAGATGGCAGTAAAAAACTTCAAAAAAGTTAAATAGTTAACGAGATACAGAGTGTTTTGCACACCATGTTTTCAATTCTTTTGACAAATGCCAATTTTTAAAGGGTATTTTAGGGCACTTCCGGAAGGGTTAGACGATTGAAGAGGAATGTTTTATGTAGGGAAACTTTCGAACTATAAAATTACTGTGACAAATTTTAAAAAAATCAATTAGTTCGCGAGATACAGGGTGTTTTGCGCGCCATGCTTTAAATTTCTTTGAAAAATGTCAAGTTTTAAAGGCAGAGTTTTGGGGCACTTCAAAAAGGGCTAGAAGATTGACAAGGTATGAATCGTGTAGAGGAACTCTCGAGCTTTAATATTGCGGTGACGAACTGTAAAAATGTCAATTAAGTTCATGAGATACAGGGTGTTTTCAACACCATATATACATACTTTATGAAAAATGTTACTATCTATAAAACACTTTTGAGCATTTTCAGAAGTGCTAGGGGGTTGCAAATGTATGCATCATGTAGGGAAACTCTTTAACTCTAACATTGTGATGAGAAACTATAAAAAAGTCATATAGTTCGAGAGATACTGGGTGTTATTTTGCAGATCACGCAAGCAAACGCTAAAAGAACGAATTTGATATCACAATTGGTACATCTTTGTTGGCTGTTAACTGCCAAAGGAATCACGATCCAGGTTTCATAATTGGGGGTCGTTCTTTGCTGTGTTGGGTACACACATTTTAATCTTTCCTAAAATGACGAAAGTCTGGCCGTCACGGGCTTGTAGACTAAAAGTAAAATATAAATGAAGTGGCAAGTAGGCTCGTGTCACATCTAACTTTATTAAAATCTAACGAAAATTCATATACAATATAACATAAATATACCACACAGAAAAGTACAATGTTACTATAATACACAAACATGTTTGTGATTCATTATCAACGGTTCAATAAAACTATTTCGCTATAGCCTTTTGCAGTGTTTCTAGTGCCACGTCTGCCCAACATGTTCATTTGATGACATTTCAAAGAAAATAAAAATGAAGGAGTAATTCGATCATAACTCAAAACCTAGGAATCTAGGGAAAGTGTTAAAGCTATTTACATAAAAATAATATTTCTATCAACTCTTCTTAACTAAACCAAATAAAAATAATAATAACTAAATGCGCGTTCCCAGTTCTTGCTCGAACAAATTTGTATGACTGCAAATTCAATGAACAATATTAAATCCAGATCTGCACGTCCTTGAATCAACTATTTCCACTAAAGTATTTCTTAATAACGTTCTATAATTCATCATATTTACAGTCTTTTAACTAACGAAATCAATTAAATAGACCCACAGCATCCTCCTGCTCGCCGATAACACCTAAATGAAATTCCATTGCTTCACATTAACAAGTTAAAAAATGTTAACGGTTATATTTAAAACTTTAAAATACTCATAATAACTTGTAGTTTGTTTGTCCTCTTTATCGTAATCTTAATTATCGATCACGTAGTTCTATTAATAGGAGTGGAATTAATCGATCAGTTACCAGTAGTTAAAGTAGTGACTAGTTATATATAAATTCTCTAAATAAGTTAATCAATTGTCGATGCAAACTGCTCTCCGTTTCTTTTTATCCCTTTTCATAGCTTTCTATATAAAAATCTAATCTATCGTTATGTTAATTGTTATTTACTTATCAACTGATAATGAAGGCACACGAAGGCTACATGTTTTAGAAATTTCATTTCCTTTTTGGGTGGAGGTTATTTTTAAACTCTCGTTGTGACCATCTCGGGTCACTTCATAATTGTCATCCAATTATAATAATCGCTTTTTTAGTCAATCATCGCTGTATAAAATTATTTCGACCGATTGCACGCCAGAGTTAAGTTTCTGTGCGTTCGTGTACATGAATTTCCTCGGCCTGCTCGTGCATCTGGTCTTCCACTTGGGCAACTTGTTCGGGTTCTCCTGCTTGCTGTAACTGCAGCGGCATTATTTGCGGGGTTCTTCATAGATTATCCGCTCGTTGTTATTCTCTTCGTCAACAGTTTTGATTACTGCGTTCTTGTTACTATCATTATCGTGTGGATTGTTGGGTTGATCAACGCCGGGCAAACTACTGCGGAGATTCATTGTTAAACGTGCGTTTTCTGATTGCAATTCTTGCACCCGCGAGCGGAGCTGTACTAGTTCTGAAGCAAGTTCGCTAATCTGCAACTGCTGTACGTGTGGATCTACATTGGTGTAAATAGCTTGATCCTTCATTGGTAATTCCGTGATCATTGACACGCTTGGTTGATCATCCAATGTGGGTTCATCATGGGCACGAGTTTGATTTTCGGGGACTATTGCTGGCAATGCGTTGACAGGTTCATGAATTTGTACGGGTTGTTGATATTGTTGTTCGTAATTCTGTGGCTGGTGGGTTTCCGGTTGATGTTTGTTGTAAGTGTCTCGTATAGGTGTGAGTTCGGGCTGCTGTTGTTGAATTGGATTCGGAGCGTGGCTCATAACAACGTGATTCGGATTGTTGTATTTCTGATAGGGAAGTGGCGTGTCCAACGGACGATGTAGGTGTTTACCATGTCGCATCGGCACAAACTCGTGTTCACCTATTGAAGGATAGTTCAGGTCTTGCAGATTGCGCGCGTCGTTGTTCGACTCGACTTTGTAAATGGGCTCATTTTGAATAGGTAACACGGTTTGCGGTGTGGTCACTTCTGGTATGTAGCCGAGGAAGGCATTGGGTTTGCTTGTGACTGGCTGCTCGCTCAAGGGTGGACAATGCGAGACACCCACAATCTTAGTATGGTTGACTTCCATTGAAGAGGTAATTTCGGGAAGAGCGGCATCGCATAGAATCGGATTATCTATTCAGAGATTATATTATAAAGCTTTTATAACTTGAATTTAAAGAGAGTTGAACTCACCTTTCAGGTAAATCTTAAGCGTTCCAAAGTTAGACTCATGTACGCCATCATGTATTCGGCAGTGTGTCTTGCTGACCAAATCACGCCCCAATGCTACAATTTGATTGTTTGATAAATCAGCCCAGCATAAAACGGGCAACCCATGAAAATCTTTGTCCAGCATGGTAAGGTAGTTGTCCGACGCCAGCAGCTCTTGCAGCGCAGGCAAGAAAGTCTGTAAAATAATTGCGATAACATTTGCAGCCACGAAAGTTTTTATTTGTTGAATTGACCCAAATAAACGCATGTAGCTATTTATAACTGTTAACGGTATCAATTCGAGCAATTAAATTAAATCGGAGGCCGATAGTATTCGTGCCGACGGGTACCTTGCTTGTCTCCTCGAGTGTTGTCAATTGATTGTGCGATATGTCCAGCATGGTGAGCGAATCCAATCCAATGAGATCGTCCGGCGAGATGCGTGAGAGACTGTTGCAGCTCAGATTTAAACGCAGCAGGCTGCGCAAACCCGAGAGGGCGCCATTCAATGAATGCAGTTGATTGTTGTCCAAGCGAAGATTCGTCAACTTCGTCTCCCATTCGACCATATTCTACGCATAACACAACAGGAAATGTAAAGAATGTGTATCAAATAAGAAGCGTACAAATTCGCGCGTGGACGAACCGCTTGGCAAATGATTTATGACTCACTGGCGTCATTCCGCTGAGATGCCTGATCTTGTTCGAAGATAAGTCCAAGTGGCGCAATTCCGTCAGCGTCCTGACTTCGTGCCAGGAAAACTCGTTGAGCATATTGTGCGTCAAATTGAGAGATCGGAGGCGCTTCAGTGGCAACAGGGAGCTGTTGAGGGACGTGATCAAGTTGTTCTGCAATTCGAGTACTTGCAAATTCTCCGTTTCTTCGAAATCGTCTGGAAGCAACTGCACAATGGTCATGTTAGACGGTCCTTTATTTACGCGCATTATATATACTTACCCTAGAAATTCGATTGTTTTCTAAATGCACCCGTTCTAACTTTCGACTTTTGCTTAGCGCGCCATCCAGTGCCGTTATTAGATTGTTCTGCAAGAAAAGATTATCCAAATTCGGATAGGCTTTTATATCCTGAGGGATGTTGGTAAGACTGTTGTTCGCCGCGTGCAACATAAGAATCTTTATGCCATTGATGGGCAATTCTCCATCCAGCGAGGTCAGTTCGTTGGTATTCAGGAAGAGCCATTGGAGATCAGTCAGATGGCGCAGGGAACCATTTAGATCCCTAATCGCATTTCGCGCAAGATGCAGTTTGATGGTCGTCGGCGGTATAGCATGCGTGTCGATTCGATAGATTTGGTTGCCGGGCAGTACCAAGGTATCCAAAAGCGGTAAACTCTGATAAGGGAAGGACATTTGAATGAGTATTTGCGAATTCGCGAGTTGTGATTGGTGCTTACTCTGAAACTTTCCTCGGGGAGTTTTTTAAGATGCATGCGCCCGATGTCCAACGTTTTTATTTTTGGCATCATCTCAAAAACTTGCACCGGCATATCGGGTATCGGATTATCCGCGAGGCTCATATAGCTGACATGTTGCAATCCCGAAAATGTAAATGATGTTAATTCACTAGAAACAAGATATTCATGTAGTCAACTTCAATTATAACTAGGTTTTAAAAATATGGAGATCGTCAACAATCATGAAACCCTACCATCAAAAATTTTATTGGAAACATTTTTTACTCCAAAAAAATCGTCATCCTATTTGAGTTAAATTATATATTTTATATATTTTCTGTAAAGTTTGTTGTAAGTAAATTAATTAGTATCAGTGAAATCATTCGTCTACTCAAATTTCATGTACCTACTCAAATCATTTATATAAGCAAAATCAAAATGTTTATTTAAAAGTTAAACGCATGATTCATAGTAATCCAACTCCCAAAAATAATAAAACGATTAACTTTGTATGGTTTCAAACAAATCAAAGTGTCCATGTTTTTGGGAGTAAATTGAGGTTATGATATATTATCAAAAACAAATATTGAATGTGAAAGGTTATGGTTATATAGATATGCAGGTCTATAAAAAAATTATCTGTGATCATCAAAATTGCCAATAAATATTTGTTATGGATTATTCGTGACATTTATATAAGCAAGTAAAATTAATTAAACCTATATCCCGTGGGGGGTCAATGTTCCAGTGGCGCCTGGCGAGTATGGCGCCTATATCTCGTCGATGCTACCTAACGCCGATATAGAAGCAAACTTTCGAAAAACCCGATGACGATAAATGAAATTCGATGTAAAAACGACGCAGAGCCTAGCATTGGTAATATTTTAATTTAATTAATAAAAGTCAATAATAACAAGGTCGTAAAAATGAGATGATCGAAGCTAAACTCTTTCTACAGGACGAATGTGTTTGTTCATTGCGTAATTGACAAGAAAAAGCTAGTATTTAACATGGAAATGTGGTGTATGTGTGATGAAATGACGCAGTTGCATGATTATTACATGGCGCCAATGATAAGGTTTATACTACCATCCCTAATTAATAAATCAATGTGAACAAATAAATTTTTATAATGGTCGTAAATTATAAACAATCTATTATAATGCTTAAGTAAATAATCAGTATTCGCATTCCTATTGTAACCGAACCACACTGCAACCAAACGAAACCAAACAAGAGATTGAATTCGTTTCACGTATTGCAATTTATAAAATCAGCGTACCTTCATAAGTTGTAATTTATTGCTTCAATTGGGCACTGCGAGCAGTCAATGTAAAACTTGATCTTGACACATTTACTAATTATAACAGCGATCCCGGCTTGAACGTAGAAAAGCACACAATTGATTTTATTTATCCGCATATCATAAACAGTCGAAAGTGGGTGTTATTACATTGCGCTTAATTAAATGCACAATTAAAATTTTACGAGCGGCGATTATGGTTTTCTGACGACTCGTTGGCGAGACATTTCTCGCATTTCGCCAATTTCTGCACCCGATATCTCGTCCAGGCGCGCCATAAATTAATGTGTAAAAACACGCGCGCTTATCAACAACAATTTCAGATGTAAATTGAACTGGCGGAGTGAAAGAAATTTCCACGCGATCGAATTGTGGCGCTTGGAAAAAAGTGCTAATGCAGTTAATTGTTGCACACAGACAGATTAGCGGCGCCAATGCGCCGGAGCTCCTTCGCCATTTGACATGTAATTTCTAACCGGCAGCTCGTGACCGCGCGCGTGTGTGTTATTTGCGCTATTTTACCATCGCCGCCGACGAAGAGGCGAAGAAAAGTCGTCTCGGTCTCTAATTTAAGCCATCGCCGCAATTAATATGACATTATTTCAATCAATCCGCGCTGGCTGATTCAGCGCACGTCGCCGGCATTAAATTGGTACCTGTTGGCTGCCTTTCAATCATACGTCAATAGTTTCCTTTAAGAAAGTGTCCGCGCCTTCCATCGCAGGAACAGAATTCTGGTGGGGCTCAGAAATGAAAAAGTGAATATTTATATTTCACGGCACACATTTAACTTAGTTTTGCGTATTTTACTAATAAAATGTTACTTTAAGGCCTAGGCATTATTGGTTTGATCAAGTTGCACCTCGAAATTAATGAATGCAGGCGATTGAATGAAAAACAAGTCATTTGACAATTAGTGAAGTAACGTGATTAATTGCCGCATGCATGTAAGCACATGCAAATGATTGGAAAAGAAGTGTACGAACATAATAACAGTTCAGGAGTTCAAGTAGGAGCGTCGGGACTGCTGGTGCCAGGCTGGTGCGCGCTGAAGCGCCACAGCTCCTCGAAGGCAGCCCGGCACGCCGGCGCAGGATAACCCCTTGACCCAACTATATTTCAATTACTCAGTTCTGTCGCCTACTTGATTTACATTCAATTCCAATTCAATCGTGCACGACAAATATTCCACATCGCCGCCGATCGTTCGCACGATCGGCACATCATTCGTTATTTGCGCTCGTTATCGTCAATTCCGATCATTCGCAAATAACCGAATTCGTCATTGCGAGAGCATCACTGCCAGTCACCACCGTGAGCCAATCAGCATGCAGGGCAATTGCTCCGCGATTGGTTAATGAACAATTTGCATCGATTAACGACTGACCGATTGGTAAAAAACCAGTAGCGTCGGAACGACGGCCGATTGGATTTCGCATTATGAAGCTGCCGCAAACAAAATGGTCGCAGCGGTTTGTTTGTTTGTTTTTGTTTATTTATTTACGACCGACAGATACGTAAGGGGGCTGGATGGTTACCTTAGCTCGTTGTGATTGAGTTTCAAGTCTTCGATTGTCATGTTTAGCTCTTTGAAGCTGCGGTCCCCCAGGTCGGAGAGGTTGGACTCCCCGATGCTCAGAATGATCCGATCCTTCGGCTGGAACTTGTTCTGGAGCAGCGAGACAACCTGCCCGAACGATTCCATCTTCATGCATGTCACCGAGATCTTGGAGGTGTACTCCTTCTTGCAGGTGCATGGCGCAATCTCGCGCCACACGGCACATTGCTGAATCGCGATGGACGACACCCCCAGCAGGGACAGCAGCAGCGTGGACATGATTAATCCGCGAACGCCCCTTGCACCTTGCATCTGCTCCACTTCGCTGTTGGTCGCGCGCAACTTAAATTTAAAAATGACGACCGCCGCGGGAGGAATCATTTATTTCGCACTTGTGCGCGCACAAATTCAAATGTTGGAAAGTCGGCACCTCTTGCGGCAGAGCGATCGCGCCGAAGAAATTCACACGACTGATTCCAGTCTGTAAAACTTTTCGTTTGGTGCGTGTCGTTCGTCTTGTGTGTCGTCGTTGTGGTCACCCTATTCGCTCTCCGGTCTGATTCAAACTGATGTATCTCGTTGTGTATCTGTATCTCCTAGTGTAAATGTCGGCCGTGTATGGGTGTCCGTGTTTCTGTACGCACGGACCGTCCGTCGCCAATGTGTTGCCGGTGCCGTGTCCGTATACAGAGTGTGTGCTTACGCAGTTTCTTGTCAGCATTATTGGCATCATCGGCGGTGCCCGCGTACCCGCGTTGCGTTGCGTATTATTTACGACGCGCCGCCAGCGCCGTTCGTTATTATTGTCTTCTTCGCGGGACGGCGTGCGCGTCTGGCGCCTAAATTTCCTCTTTTTCCACTCGCCGATTGGGAATCGCGCGCTTATTGCACGCGACCAGCTTCTTGATTGATGTTCGCGAACGCAAGCGCGGAGCGCGCACGCCGCGAGTGGAGACAGGCGCCAGTCAGCCACTGAATGTGTAACAAGTACGTGATTTCTATGTGGTAATTAGGTACGGCACGCCACGGGATCGCCATGCAATCCATGCGGCTATGTTTATACGCCGCGTTCGCATGCGGCTTCTTTTTTGCGCGCTCGCGCACGTTTTCCAATTCCAAATCGCGCACTTTGTGCACTCTTCCAGATATCGACTGATAACCGCGCTATAAATAGCGCGGCCGTCTGGGATGCTGGAAATTATTACATAACCAGCGTGTTGTCAAGAAGACATGCTGAAGACTGCAACGCCTCAAATCACCGTTCGATCTGCGCGCCTGAGCGTCGCGGCTCCGGCTGCATATTGATGCGCGTGCGATGAGGTGGATGAAACTTTTCGTTTTCTTCCTTCTTCGAGCTTAACTGCGAGGAGGCCCGATTTCAAAACCGTGATGGTAATTATCTATTGTCTGCTCATCATATGGCGCGTGTGTTGCAATATGTTCTTTTGTTTATTAAGTTATGTTCATGCGATGCACATAAATTGTCTCCTTTGCTTGCATTTCGACGATGACGAGATGACGAATGAATGTCTTAGGCGTTTTACTTTTGTCTCGCGCCTCTTCACCTACAACCTACAACTTTCCTTACTGAAGCGAAATCTCTTCATTACATCATAAAACAATCGCATTTAACCCAAAATATTTCATTTTTGTAGCATGATTCTAGATTCTTCTCGGTTTTTATGATTTTAATACATCTCTAAGCTTTGGACACTTGGTATAGAGGAAAACATAAACGTAACATAACTAGCACATCATCATAATATTTAACTGCATCCACTGCCATCATATGTAATAGTCACGGCCAGAAAGTTTTAATCTTTGTCTGATGGAAACTGCTAGTTCTTTCTCTTCCATTATCGGTAGAAGTCCGGCCCGGTCGCACAGTTAACTTATTCATCGTCGATCATAAAATGTTCAGGGCGTTCAGGGGGTGGCAGGGCGCGCAGACCCGCTCGCCCTTGACACCTTGCTTTGTGACGCACAGCTGGTTTCCAGTCACCAAAGCACGCACCTAGCGCAAACCGATCACTCTTTAACCAACATCGGCACGTTTTTATGATTACGATGGTGGTTTTACGATTTCGGGGGCCTCTTTCATCGCATTCCATTCTCATAGCCAGGACAAATATCTCAGGTGTATAACCGGGTGATACGTCGGCCCTTTCAAGACCTGACACTTCCGTTACTAGCTTATTTTTTCGCATTTAACGTTGGGTCTGACTTTAACTATTGTTGCATTAGTCTACCAAACATCTTATCATTAAACAATCTAAATACGCATTTGTACAAAGCTAGCGTACCTACGTAATATGCAAGTTTGTTTTTGTTATTGCTTGATGACATTGGCAATTACCAGACAAAGGCAGTTTTGATTCGTGCTTCTAACGTAGTACTTTAGACAAGATCGTCAAAATCCATGAGTGACTTTGAGTGATTTTTTTATAATCTGTTATTTTCAATTAATATTCTTACTTATATGTGATTTCTATAAAAGCATTAGCGAACAAATGCCCAACATAGATGGTGAAAAAATATTGTAATAGTGCGTAACAAAGGTAACCAGGAAGGAATTGAATTTCTTCGTATTATAATTCTTCGAATTTAATTGATCATTCAGTATATCAATAAATTAAACTTGGCTCTGTTTAAGCCTGAATGCGTGGCGGGCAATAAAATCGTCCGAAAGTCGTAAAATTCAATTCAGATTAAGCTGGTTTTCTAACAGTGCCTTCTCGCTTTCGGGCCGTGCACAATCACAATAACGTTTCCTGACGACAAACGACAAGACCACGTGAACTGATGGACGCCGTCGCAGATGCGTTGATGGCGGCGCATTGGTTTTGTCGTCGGCGTGACGCAAATCTGATGATGTCTGCATGTCCCCCTGCGAGTCACGGTTGCCGAATTATTATGTACTAAACATGCTGAAATATGATAAATCTATAAATCCGTATCTCTATGTGGCTTATTATCATATTCGTATGCGCGAAAAACAATGTTTCATAAAAATGCCGTACGTGTGTCGTGTGAATGGCGCCAGTCGGACCTAAACATATATATCTGGTCGAATGTCCAAAATGATACCGAAAGATGTAAAAATTTATCGCCGCGTCGCAATGCTCATATAATAGAAGTTGCCCCGGATGGAAGCGTTGCTAATGCTTGCATTTTTTAGGCGTGTGTATGCGTGTATAAATTGCTAAAAATTCACGACATCAGGTTATTCAATTTACGTAGTTCAGTGCGCTCGTTGCTCAGTTTTCGTTTGTAAAAGAGGTTTGCAAGTGAAACGGTAATTTACTTCATCGCTGGTTTGTTCATGTTAATCAAGCGTATGTCGGTTAAATTGAAATTGCGCGTGCATTCGTTGGGTAATTCGATAATTACCGGAATTCGTGGGCATGCTGCTTACTCTTTGCTTTCTGACCTAATGATTTTTTCCTAAATGATGTTGTTGTTAAAGTTTCTGTGGTGAATCGCGTTTCTGAATCGACTCGACTAGAATGCAACAATTTTAATGCAAATTGCATACCGTAAACAAGCTTGAGTTAATATCACTTATTTAGTAGTAGGTACCAATATATTACAAGTTGTTCAAATATCATGTCGACATTTTTATAAAACGTACATCTTTTATTAATTACTTTTTGTTACCTACTTATTAATTACACCTTTGCCAGTCGGCATAGTTATTAGAAAAAATTTACTCAATATGTACTTTCTTGAACGGCTTACAATTCTATTTTAAGGAAACGAGAAATGTTAATTCTTTAGCGCCATCTCGGAGTCAAATATTTACTTATAAGTATGATTGAATCTCTATATTAATTTGCATCCCTTATTTAATACCTTTAAAATATTAATTTTTGATATTTTAATAGTTATTCTGCTTTTCGGGGCGGCGACAAATTCAAAAAATCATGAATAATCAAAATGTATCCAGTTGTTCTTGAGTTATAAGTGGTGTAACTAACCCGGGTTAGTTTTATTTATATAGATAGATGAAGATATCACCTACGGGAATTTATACGATAATTAAACATAAACATAAACACGAAACGTCCTACCTACCTACGTCGCTGTTCGTCTGCTTTCAAAACCTACCTTTCGAAAGTACGTAGTCAAAATACTAATTAATTACATGGGTTTTTCCGTCTTGTAGTTGCAATTAATTGTAATTAAGCTAAAAAATCTAATATTCTAACAATATGCACCTACCTCAACTTAATTTTACTAATCAAATTAATAGCTAAAATCAATCATTACAAAATAATCTGTATTTAAGACGCTTTTATTTACAATATGTCTCCAAACCTCTTTCAAAATTCCTACCAATATAAATACTGCGAGAATCAATCACTTTTTCAACGTTTTACTTCACATACTCAAATACAATTATACTGTTTTAAATACTGTCGTGTTTTCGTTTTAATAAAACTGCTATTTGAATCGCATGTAAATTACGAGTTATACAAAATACCAAACCGTCACATATTTGTGTATTTGTAGCGCAAAAGTCCTTTTCCTCTGACGCTGCGCATATGAATTGTGTGACGTTTTGGTATTCGGCGTTCGCATCTTCATCTCACGTTTACGTAAACATGTGCGTAAATTGTAGAAAACGAAACGACTCTCGAGTAAGCGCACTATTCGAGAGGAAACGCTTAAAATTGTTGAAATTTTTCGGAAGTTTTCCAAGCCGCACACGCTCCTGAGTGTTTACGAACTGATATTGGCCAATCCATTTTAATTCACCTTATATGAACATTTCATATTTATTCATACGTATATGAATACGCAAAGAAAGCAAATAAATTCTAGTCACTGCGTTATGACAAACATAAAGAAAGATTATACCAAACTAAAATTCTTCATTATAAAGACAAAAAGAACAAAGGTCATGAACGAGGTTAGGGAGGCCCAACTATAGGTCTTAAGGAATTCGAGCGATGATAATTCTGCATCGTTGTCAACAAGCGTGTGAATGACGCCGGCCGGCGCCTAAATATTTTCCTCGGCTATTTATACAAGACGTCGACATTCTCTGCTGCACAAACTATGCAGAGAGCGCAAAAATGATGCGAACTGTTTCTTTTCTTTGCAGCCAACGCTCAAATTTGTAGGTGTTCGGAATGTCGTCCAATAAATCACGCCAGTAGCATATGTTTACGGTTGTAATTTATAAACGTGTTTCAAGACTTCTCGCGATTCGCCGTAATTTGACAGGAGCAATCAATTCTAGACGCATTGCAATCTGAATGGTGTAATGAGACAAGCCCATAAATACATTTTAATACCGCTCCAATGAAACTGCAAACTTTAAATTTTTTCTAGATCTGTTCGGCGGATAGACGTCTACATTCCGAAACAGGCTGACGTATATGAGTTACGCTGAAGGATAATTCATTGATTTTTTTTTCTACCTTGTTGTGGACCTATGTCCATGAGTGAGTGCTGCATAGATGGATGCTTGAGTTGTTGTTACTATGGCTAATATTTATTCATTCAAGTCGATTTGAATTCATCAATGAACATAACAGGCCTGCTAGATTTTAATTTACGAGTGTACACTGACTGCGGCATAATCGGAACTATTTGGATATTTTAATTTGTTGTTGAAATGGACATTGAAAGAATTCTGTACGGCGCAAATATGATAATTTTTATAATAATCCAAAAGAACCTTTTTTGAGGGTCGCTAGCGTCACTGTAAAACGATATTAGTTTTACTTCTTCCACCTATAAGGTGCCAGTTTTTTCACGGTTTTTAGACATAAATAGTGGTACTTTATATACGGACGACCAAGCCGTACGTAATACCCATTATCTACGGACATTATTTACTTGACGGAGCTTGCGCCTGCGTACTCGTATTTGCCTACGAAGCAGCGAGAGGCCGCATGAAATGCCATGCGAAATCAGTTAAACACGTCAAAGCGGGCTGCTACTCGTGTCGAAGCGGCGCGCAGCATGGTATTTATATCCTTTCAGTTTGTTGTAGTGTGCGAGCAAATTTCGATGATTTAAAATACAAAAGTTGAAATACAAAAATCACAACGTAGAACTAGAGTGGAAGTAAAAAGAAATAGCGTAAGCAACACGTGGCTAAACGTTGTTAAACACGTATTTGCTTAAACGCTCGCTATCAATCAATCTCATGAGTAAAGTCCCCGTTTAGTCACGTACACCTCCTTTAAACAATTCACCACTATTACTTATTCCATTAAATACGGCAGATATTCGCGGGCTAAAGGTAACTTAAGGATATTTGTCATTAATGACGTGAAATTTTCAGGAAAATAAAGAAAATATAGTTTTTAATTGGATGTATTAAAACTACAAGTAGTATACAAGTAGGATTAACAATTTTTTAAACTAAAAATGATCCTTATTTAAATTCTTCTTTATGTTGGCATTGCAAAAAAGTATGCGATTGGAAATCACAAAATGAATGTCACAACTTGTACAAAAATTAAAAATCTTCCGTCCTGTTCTTTATAAAAGTAATTACATTTAACGAAATAGCTCTTTAAATCGTACTCGCATAATAAAATATGTGATTACTATTTAAATTGTGATTTAGTTTTAAAAACGGACTTTCATACTTGACTTATGAAAACTATGTAAGCCCATTTTCCTCCAATGGAACTTGGAGATAAATGTAAAAATATCTCTTCTCATTTTGAATCTAATCATCTTCGGCTGCTCCCAGACTTTTCTTCTTCTTCTTCTTTTTCTTTTCGGAAGTCGGCTCTGCAGCTTCTTCCACAGGTGCCTCCTCCATGGCCTCGCTCTCGGACTTTTTCTTCTTCTTTTTCTTTTCGGACTTCGGTGTCACAGTTTGAGCAGCGTCTTCTTGTGAATCATCGTCGCCGGTTGAAGGCTTCTTCTTCTTTTTCTGATGTGTTACTTCCTCTTGAGAATCGTCTTCAGCCTCGGACTTAACCTTCTTATCCTTTTTCTTCTTTTGTTTAGGAGTCACAGGAGCAGCTTCATCTTTTTCCTCCTTCACCTCAACCGGAGTCTCCACTTCAGATTCGGAACGCTTACGTTTACTAGTTGACGGCAACGTGCTGTCTGCAGCAGCCGGATACTGTTTGATTTCGCTGACACCTTGATATTTTTCAAATTTGGCTTTCGCTTTGCCAGTGCCGCTAATGCGTTTCAGGTTGCCTTCTTCAAGAATACGCAAGCGAGATTCCAGCTTGGCTTTATGCTCAGCACCCAAATCAAATGAACCGTCTTCCCCAGTGCATCTACACGCGTGGCTAACGCAGCTTTAGCGGCCAGCATTCTGGACATTTTACCTTTATTCTTCGTGCTGCACTGACCAACTAATTGGGAATGATAAATAATACCATATTTCGGCGTATCTTTCTTGGTTTTCAACGCCCGAAACAGAGCTTTTTCAGCACCGAGTATCTGCACAGTTGAAGCAGGATGTTTAGCGAGATTTATCAACGATCCTGCATGGGAAATCAACCGAGCGCCGACCAAATCACCAACCAGCACTGTTAAATTTGGAGCCATCGCCATCATTCTGGCCTTCAAATATTCATACAGTTGCGTGCGATAACTGGAAATTTCAATGACTTGATCGCACAGGTGCTGAATGTTCAAGATATCGTCGTCGGAAATTTCCGTGCCCATTGATATTTCGGCTGCTTCTTTAACTTGTGCTTCAATTTCTTCTGGCAAAATATCAGATAAATCTGACGTCGCAACATTTTCCCGAGTGCCGATAATTTTAACGGTCTTTACAAAAGCAACATTGTCTTGAACAATCTTTCCTAATTCAGGGAAATGCCAACCATACCACTCTCTGCATCTCATAATGTAGTTATTCAACTCCTTGTCAAGATCATCAAGCAGACACACTGCTTGAACAATCATAGTGTCAATCTTATCAGGCGAAAATTTCAGCTTGTAGCGCGAAAGTGAATGAGCAAGACCCAAGGACATAGCTGTGATTTCCTTCTTAGGAAGACCAGCCAATAAACTATCCATTTGGGAACGAATGCATCTCATTAATTCCTGAACTGATGTATTGGAGACACATTGCAGATTCAACTTTTCTTTGATGGCACTGCCCAGCTTTGCATCAGCAACCAAGAGTTTATCTTGCACCTCCTGATCCACATACTGCTTGAGAACTTTCTTTAAACTTTTTGATAGTTTGCCTTCAACTGCAGCAGTGGTAGCAGCCAAAGCCTCAGTTGTGTCAGCAAACTTCTCAAAATGCTTTAATTTTACACTAAAAAATTACAATATTTGATCAGAACAATAAAATTAACGCATTTGTTGTTCAAGTTTGAGTATTAAAAATTAACTTACACTTTACTCGCTGATTCGGGACTATTGAAATGAGTGTATAAATCATCAGATTCCTTAAGTTTCTTGTCATCAAGAAGCTAAAGCATGGAAAAAATTAGGTTAGTTTAGAAGAAATCGAATTAATGTTAAAATTAAATAGAATTTCTACCTTAAAAATGGCGTAGCCGGCCGCGGTCTCGAACAGCACCAACATATTGTGTTAGTAATTTAAATCAACTCAACAATAAAAAATGTACTTATTTATTGTCGAACGAAACAACAATCGGCGTCGTGATCAACGCGACACACACATTTCGAAAAGGGAAGTCTATCGAGCATGTGCTATTAGCGGAAACGTGCTTTTAGTGATATTTACAGACACAAAGTCCCTAGCAACGTTTACCACACTGGCTTATCCCGAATGGTATAATCCACTATCCACGACAAATGTCCGTGGTACATGATACTAAATGCAAAAATAGAAATATAATGTGAATTAAGGGCAATTAAAATAAAAACTAATTATTTACAGTTCTATTATTACTCCATAACTTTGGAGCGCATGCGCGCGTTTACGTCCGATGGTTAAAATCAAAATTAATATTTTTTAAGAATACATAATCCATTATTTACCATTCCGCAAGTCTGACAAAACAAGTTGTCCCATTATTATTTACACTTAGAATTAAAACTTATGTACAGGGCAACTCGCTGCTGCTTTACCGTTGGAAATGTAAGTCTTAACAAACAATTCCACCAGCCTTACAACACTTTCTTTTATATATTTTTCTTTTGAAACTACATTCAAGAAACAATTCAATAATTGAACAAGATAATTGTAGGATATTAAGGTAGAAATTCGTTACAACAGAAAAAGTTTTTTTGTTTTGTTTTCTTTTATTTTTAATTTATTTTCAATAAACTGGAATAATAACAATAAACAGGTAATGTTGCATCGTGCATTCAGAATTAATACTCCTCGCCACCTTCACCTTCACCATCTCCAGAATCCATACCAACCTCTTCATAATCCTTCTCGAGGGCAGCCAAATCCTCACGGGCTTCGGAAAATTCACCTTCCTCCATACCCTCACCAACATACCAATGCACGAAGGCTCTCTTTGCGTACATCAGATCAAACTTGTGATCCAATCTAGCCCAAGCTTCGGCGATAGCCGTAGTATTCGACAACATGCAAAGAGCACGCTGTACTTTAGCCAAATCACCACCTGGCACAACAGTTGGTGGCTGGTAATTAATACCAACCTTGAAACCAGTCGGACACCAATCCACGAATTGAATCGAACGCTTGGTCTTGATGGTCGCAATAGCTGCGTTGACATCCTTGGGGACAACATCACCACGGTACAGCATGCAACAAGCCATGTATTTACCACGACGTGGATCACACTTAACCATCTGGTTGGCAGGCTCGAAACAAGCGTTGGTGATTTCAGCCACGGACAACTGCTCATGATAGGCCTTCTCCGCGGAGATCACCGGAGAATAGTTGACCAACGGGAAGTGGATTCTTGGATATGGCACCAAGTTGGTTTGGAACTCAGTGAGATCCACATTGAGAGCGCCGTCGAAACGAAGAGAAGCTGTGATTGACGATACAATCTGACCAATCAACCGATTTAGATTAGTGTAGGTAGGACGCTCGATGTCTAAATTCCTCCGGCAAATATCATAGATGGCTTCGTTATCAACCATGAAGGCACAATCAGAGTGCTCAAGAGTGGTATGCGTGGTGAGGATTGAATTATACGGCTCGACTACAGCGGTGGATACCTGAGGAGCTGGATAGATGGCGAATTCCAGCTTGGATTTCTTTCCGTAGTCGACGGAAAGACGTTCCATCAATAGAGAAGTGAAACCAGAGCCGGTACCACCTCCGAATGAGTGGAAAATAAGGAATCCTTGGAGTCCACTGCATTGGTCAGCTAGTTTACGGATGTGGTCGAGTACGACATCGATAATTTCTTTTCCAATGGTGTAATGGCCGCGTGCATAGTTATTCGCAGCGTCTTCTTTGCCGGTGATAAGTTGTTCTGGATGGAAAAGCTGGCGATAGGTACCGGTACGTACCTCATCGACGACGGATGGTTCGAGATCAACGAATACAGCACGTGGCACATGCTTACCAGCACCGGTTTCGCTGAAGAAAGTGTTGAAACTGTCGTCACCACCGCCGGCGGTCTTATCGGACGGCATTTGCCCATCGGGCTGGATGCCATGCTCCAGGCAGTATAGCTCCCAGCAGGCGTTGCCAATCTGGACACCGGCTTGACCCACGTGGACTGAGATGCACTCACGCTAAGAATTAAAAATTAATTTAGGTACATTGTGCAGACTTAAAAACACGTGTTTAACGTTTGAATGTGTTACACGAATTAAGATGGCGAAAGAAAACGTTACTGGTGTAGCAAATTTACTTTAACAACTTTATGAATGAAAATTGAGTCGTAGGCATAAAAGAATTGAATATATTTACGTACCATATTTAAAGATGATTTGAGGGTTGTTGAAAAAAGAAAGAATTTCTTAACTTAGTGGGTAAACGTTCAGCTGCGCACACGATGAGTGGTCTCTAAACGAATGAAGAGAAGAGTCGGCCGACTTTTATTTATAACAGGGATGCTAGAATGAGAGGGGAAAAGTGTCCCCACTATGTAACACTTTGCACATATATATTTCTGGATACATTTGTTATAGCATCCATTCAACATCCAAGTAGATGTGGACCATCTCCATGCAAATGTAAAATCCATACAAAATCTTAGAGATGTATGAGCAAATTTTATGGCCATATGAAGACACATTAAGTTTAAATCTCGCGCTTTATGCCTCGTCTTCGGTGTTGAGTTTGGGACAGTTTTTTTCGGGTTCTTGCTGTCATCCTCCACCCATACTATGCTACTATTAACTATTTGTTTGCTATGCAAACAAAAAACGTAACGCTGCCTAATATATTACAATATACTAATTGTTTAATGCAACAATTAAAATAATAACTCGCAAAACAAAGTAGCAATTTCCGAAATATCTATATTTTATTTTAATCTTTTTAATTTACGACAATCCACATTTCAGTTTTATACAGTAAACGATTTATAGCAATTTTTCAGATATGGGTCATTTAGCAGTGGAATCCGACACATTATATGCTAGATTCTTCAAGATTGAAAAAACAGTTTAATAATCTCATAAATTCACTCATTTTTCTGGCGCGGATAGCTACACAAATTAGAATATAGTAACAATGAATAGTTAAGACTGCACAAAATTTATCATATCTCTATGAAACAGGTTAAACCAATGCACATGACAGGAGTCTCAAAATTCCAGCAACAAAAAGATTCAGGAATGGAAAAAAGGTATTATTCTTATAATTTTTGAAATATAAAAAAAACTGACAGCATAATCTAAATTTAAAGTAATTTACTTTAATATCAGGAGACAAGCTTACATTTAAAAAGATTACTTGTTTTCCTTAACTTGCAAACCTGCAATAAATAAAAAAGTAATCAACATATGACAAAAATCATCATTTAAATTTAAAAAAAAAAAAAAACCTATTTTGTTTAATTGCAACTGTGGCTACTCGAAATTACGAATGAAATACAAATCTCATCCGGGGTAAGTGGAAGCCCTTCTTTACTCTACCATCAAATTCCAATCCATGTGCAATTGAAATGCAAATGGATCAAATAATTTATGGCATAAACTAGGTTATAAAACTGAACTAACCTGGAGGCAGGGATTGCTTCAATTTTTCAGCCTTCTCTTTGTCGAAGATAACAAGTGTGTAGAGGAAACGCGAGCAGCGGACCTTGAACTTGGTGTTACCTTTCTTGGGGTTGTTCTTGATTTTTACAGCTATAATAAATTAAACAAGATAAAACAAAATAATTATACCAGTCTGCTCAAACACTAATGATTGTTTATCACTTACATTTGGCATCCTTCCTCCTAGCGCGCAGAAGGAAATCTTTGATCTCCTTGATTTCGCGTGGCTGTAAACAAAATAAATAAGACGAATGAAATAACCTGCGTTCTAACCTATGGTTTGGTTTGTTGTTTCACACAGCGTACATACCATGTTGAATATCACTTATTGCCTAGTGGAATTCACTAATTACTGTAAATATATGATGGAAAGGGCCAACACCGTTGTTATCGCTACGTTGGCTAGCGATTTGCCCGAGTTTGGGCTCTATCGAAGCGGATGGCTTAGGATTTAAAATGGAAAAGGGAATTGCGCATTAGGTTACACCATTGACAGACCCCGAAATTATGGTCTCCCTCTGTATGTCAGAATGAACATTAGTCTGAAGCGCGGTAAATTTAAATTTACCATGACAAATACAAATAAAACCTGTAATTTATATATTAAAAAACTAACACACTGTTTTTTTTATTTTTGTATTAATGTTTCGATATAGTATGTTCTGCTATAATGTATATTTTACTCGGATATGTTTCATCTGTACACCATTTTGAAACAAAATGAAAATTTTGTTTTTATAAGTTCAACGCCGATTTCGACTCGGTTATGAGTTAATTGTCACATAAAAAAATAATATTTCATTTATTTGTGAAATATTTCAGCGGATATAAATGCACAATAACAAAAAAATTTCTTTTCGAAAAATTAACATTTGTGAAGATGACACTTTTTGACATAACCAAGTACTTTTTGCATATAACCTATCGGCGAAAATTTTAACTAACTTGGGCAATAAAAATATAGGAACAAATCAAGGAATGAAATTACGGTGAGTTTCTACAGTACTGTTATGAGATTTGTACGCGATGAGTTTGCAACGACGATGAGTATGTGTTTGTGTATGACCCGTGTGACTCGTATGGCTTGTTTTGGCCCGTATTAGCGTATTTCTGCATAGACCCAGAGCAGTAATACATTCCTTTAATGTATACTCTTACCTTTGATGTTTTAGTAAACTAAAATTTAGCTCAATACATTAAAACTATGGCTGGATCAGCTCTGAGGCGGCTCATGGCCGAATATAAACGTAAGTTGAAATTTATCTATCTTCTCTGGTTAATAATAAACACTTTTAGAATTAACATTAAACCCACCGGAAGGAATTATTGCGGGGCCAATAAATGAAGAAAACTTCTTTGAATGGGAAGCTCTTATAACGTAAGCAATGCCACATAGCAATTATTAATTGAGTGATTAATTATTGTATCATTTTTAAGGGGACCTGAAGGTACTTGTTTTGAAGGTGGTGTGTTTCCTGCCAAACTTATATTTCCTCCTGACTATCCTCTGAGTCCACCTAAAATGCAATTCACCTGTGAAATGTTTCATCCAAATAGTAAGTATTTAGCATTGATATAAAAACTTAGAAAAACTTGTACTCATTGAATTTTGTTTAGTTTACTCAGATGGTCGTGTTTGTATATCGATTTTGCATGCACCAGGAGATGATCCAATGGGCTATGAATCCAGTGCTGAACGATGGTCACCAGTACAAAGCGTCGAAAAAATTTTACTTTCAGTTGTGAGTATGTTGGCTGAGCCAAATGATGAAAGTGGCGCTAACGTAGACGCGGCGAAAATGTGGCGTGAAAATCGTGACGAGTTCAATAGTATAGCTGAACGAATTGTCAGACGTACTTTAGGCATACCAATCTAATCTTAATTTGGTAAAAGTTGACAAATCCTAAGTTTGGTTTATTTATTTAAACATGTTGGCGTTCCATATATGTCCGAAAAGCGAATCTGTTTTTTAAAAACGAGTTAATCAAATCCGTGTCCATTTAATTGTTATTTGTTTATAAGAAACTGGAAAAAAGCAAACAAATTTCTTTTACTATTTATTTCAAGAATGAAAAACTCCTTTTCCATTGTAATTTTCCTCCGACATCGTTTCTTTGGCAATACAAAGTACATACACACGCAATGTCCCAGACACCTGGGACTTCATTCAATCATCTGTCACTTTTGATTCCTTAAATCTACATGCGTATTCCCGTGCGTTATTTATCTCCGCCGTCTCATAAATATCGATTCAAAATAAATACTTGCAAATTAACTGATCGTGGATCCTACGCTTATCAGTATTAAGACGCAACGTTAAAATTAGCATGTTGCACAAACAAAATAAATTATTACATTAAAACTATCGACTAAAATCTACTGATCACAATGTATAACTTTGGTTTGAACACAAAATTTAAAAACTACGAGCTTCAACTTGAGAATCGAACCATAATTTGCCTTGCGTGAATATTTTGCAGTTAATAATCATAAGTAGAAAAACATTCGTTCTAATCGTGTCGACCGATTGTCTGCTCATTGCCGTATTCCTCGGACGACTCGTGCGCATTGGAACGCGCCCGGAAGTGGTCCTCTTCGATGTCTTCAATGTCCACCAGATGCTCCGAGTAATAGTGCGGCGTGCTCAAGTAGTCTATCATTCGTCTCGGTAGTGGTAGACTGGGTATTAAATCTTTGCGTACTTTTTTTAATATAACAAATCTGCGATCAATAAAATTATTAGAACCACATTAATTACACTCGCAATCGAAGTAAAAATTGATACCGAAGCCGAAAAACTTAACTTCGACAACTCCGACGTTTCTATAAAACATATGTATAAATATTACCTGCACATATGCTGTAGGCTCTGCGTCTGCTTGAAGCGTGACACTGGATGCAACAATTGCACGCGTACCGGCCCAATGGTCGGCCGTCTATGCAGAAAGAACAAGTATCTACCGCTACGCGAATGCTCCACTGCATTCTCGATAAAGTCTACGATTGTTTGGGACTTAAATTTTGTACAGCTCCCAAAGCTAAAGTTACCTGGAAGATCATTTCATTTTATAACTTCAATGTCTTAAAGTAAAGTACATATTAAGATAAACCCACTTACCCTGGTCATTTTCTATTCTAACATGCCTGACGGTACTATTTAATTTAAACGTTAGCGAAAATATATAGTGATCGTCACTGCTATCTCGAACTATAAAAGATCCAGCTGGTTCATTTGATAGAATCTTTTCAGCAGCCTCACTTGACAAAGGTCCCCAATACCAACCATACTAAAAATAAAACAATAGATAACAATAGCGTTCGACCTTGAGAAGTCGGAGATAATTGAATATTTGCAAACTTACATCCTTTACTTTTCGTATACTTGTTGTAAAATCCAAAGTGGGCGACTCATCCATTCCCTCCGCAAGCTGCCCCTGCCCCGGCAACGGTGGCAGAGCTCGTTTTGTGATATTTTTATTTCCCTCGCCGTTCTCCATACCCTCGTGAAAGTTGAACTCGCAGTCTGTGTCATTTTTCTTCGCCTCTTTGCCGTGCACAGGCGAGATGATCCGCCTGAATCGAAACATATTGCACAGCGTTTGCTTCAGCCAAAACACTCGCGCCGTGCCCTTCTTCTGTTTCTCCTGACGCATTGGCGACAGTGCGCTATTCGTTATTTGCAGCTGCTGCTGCTTATCAATAGTATTATTATCACATAAATCCTTAACTTTCTTATTCTTAATATTAATGAGGAATGTCGATTTCTTTCTCGCCTGCGTGCAGGCGTTGTTGTTCGTGTGCGTCTTCAACAAACTCGGATCAGAATATTTATTATTATTATTAATGTTCACCAGGCCGTTGCGGCTCGCCACCTTCGCGCCCTTGTTCTCACGATGTTCAGACGAGTCCGATGAACTGGAGTATAACGTCTGCAAGTACTGGCGCACTTCCTGCAGGGTCATATGCACCGGCTCAGTCGCCTCGCCAGTGGTTGAAGACGTGCCGGCGACGCTATGTCGCTTCGCGTTGTTTCCACTACAAAGCGCAAAATGCTCCGATTTTGAGGTGGTCTTCTTCACCTGTTTGGCGTGCGTTTTCTCAAGCTCGCGAAAGCCGGACGATGTATTCCGACGGCGCTTCTTGTGCGCTAAGTTCCGCCTCGGACGCAACGGCGGCCTTACCGTGTCCACTGGCACAGCATATACATCGCTGTCGAACGGCACATTGTACAGGTCGCTGATGCGATTCGATGAGAGCGTGTCATGTGAGACCGCCTGCGTGATAAAACTGGAGTCGTCGGCGCGGTGTGCTGTAGGAACTGATAACGAATTGTGCGAGCTGGAGAGACGCGATGAACCGAGGGAGCTGCGTGAGCTCGGTCGGCCGGCGTGGCACGGGCTGAACGGGAGGAAATCCTGCGTCCAGTAAGAGCGCTGATACACCTGGTGAATAGGCCGAAAGACCTGCAGGTTCATAGCATTGATCTTCTGCTGTCGCGTGTGCTGCTGTGACGTTTCATTGATTGCTTCTTGAATAACTGTGCATGCTATGTCTGCTGCAAATGAATCATATACAATTGGATGATCCTGAAACTCTAGTGGTGGTTCTATGGGAGATGTCTTAGTCTCACTCCAATGTGGGCCCTTCTTCAATGTGTTGAAATTCTCACCACAAATAATATCTGACATGCCATCTAATGAATCTGCTTGTGATAATGACTTGTCACTGTCTTGCAACTACAACAAAACAATGTGTATTCAAAACAGTGCCAACTGTGAATTTATGAAATGATATGAGTGTTCTTATTTTATATCAATTTACCTCAAAAGTAAATTGGCCCATGCCAGTGCGACTTTCTCCACTTGATATTGAGCTGCTGGTCAGAAGCAAGCCACTGTCATCACTTAGTATAAATGCCTCTGACCAGATTGAAGTGGACGGAGGAGACTCCATTGCTGGCTTATCTTGGTTCAAATCATATTGCAAAACTGCAAAATATACACTTGTGTTACACATATCCTCAAACAAATGATCCATTGTTCAAATATGAATGCAAACAGTGAATATCTGTTATTAGTCTTGCATATAACGGCGCGATGAGTGCGACATTATTGTATTGCGTGTTCTGAGTTATATCTGGTATTTCCAACTTACCTAAATTACAAAACAATTAGAAAAGAATCTGCTAATCGCCCAATGAATCAGTAGCATCGGCCATGTTGAACGGCTATTGAAATAATTGTGTCTAGGGATTTTCGTTGTTTACATCTCTTAGTCACAAACTTTGATTCATGGGTTGCATATCATTCTGCCAAGAACAAACAATCGACGCAAATTATAAGTTAAAATTTTAACTTTCGATCATTTTGTTAATTCATGGTAATATTTGCTACTGCTATAAACACTTTGTTACTGAAGAAACGTTAGAAACGCACTTGTAGCAAAATTAAAGTTAGGATAATGCAAGGGCAGCAAATATAATTGCTCTGCAGCAGTGTGCAACAATAAATAATACAATAAATAGACACAATTTATATGTATGTCTTCAATGACACGACGAATGGGTGCCGGATCGCCATGCATAGATGACTCGGTGTAAGTAACTAAATCATTTCTTTTTCTTTCATAAATCGAAGGTAAAACTTTTAACGCATTTTTCATAAAACTATGTTTTTTAATTCGATTACCATTGCCATTTAAAAACTACTTTGTGGATTTGAATGAAATATTTACAATTTTTTTAAATAGTAAACTTGTGTCTGAATGAAGGTTTTTTTTAAGTTTTGTTTTAGTTCACTTATGAAAAATTTGAGTCATTTGTCTTACGCTGCCATTTTAATAGTTTAATAATACTATAACCTGAATGAATGATCTGGGTATAAAACAATTTAGGCACAAAAAATGAACAAAAATTGATAATTTTTCGCTTTATAATGCAATAACAAACTATAGCATATTTCAAGCAATACGAGGTGGCGCCACTTTCATGTATTCCTGTTCTCCATGTGCTGGCTTGCCTGTTTCCTCTAGCAAAGCGTCTTTGCGTCCGTGGTTCAGCGGCGTGTTTGTAAATTTGTGTGTTCCTAACCTGACTATTGCGTGAAACACGTGCTTTGACTTCGGCTTCCGACGCTTGCTATTTCTATTGCTAGATTACTTAAAAAATAGTTCATCATGTCTGAAGTTGGTAAGTGATCCAGAAAGTTGTGAAATTCACTAACTAATTATATAAATCGCATGATACTGAATGAAATAAATAGGTATAACAATTTCTAACAAATACAAAATTAAATTACAGAAGTTAAGAAGGAGAAGAAAAAGAAGAATAAGGATAAGGCCATCGCCGAAATTCAAAAAACAAATGAGTTTCAGTTAGAGACCTCTTCTAAAAACCCTACCCTGGATAGTTCAAAGTGGCCTTTATTGTTGAAGGTAACTAAATTGATTTTAAACACTTATGACTTTTTCTTTAAAACTATCACAAACTTTATAAAATTATGTTTTGCATAGAACTTTGATAGGTTGAATGTAAGGACAAATCATTACACCCCATTGCCATTTGGTTCATCACCACTGAAAAGGGACTTGACTGAGTACATCAAGTCTGGTTTTATCAACTTAGATAAACCCAGCAATCCCAGCAGCCATGAGGTGGTTGCATGGATTAAGCGTATATTGAAAGTGGAAAAAACTGGTCACTCAGGCACACTTGATCCTAAAGTCACAGGTAGATATGACCAAAGAGCAAATTTCTCATAAGTTGTTAACATACAAAATAGACAATACTAATTGTATGATAATGATTGAGGTACATGATTCAGCTTTAAATGTTATAGTTTTAAATTGATTTATTGAGTTTGCTACATTGAATTTACTTAGTTTTACTTTTTGTCCAGGTTGTTTAATTGTGTGCATTGATCGCGCAACTCGTTTAGTAAAATCTCAACAATCTGCGGGTAAGGAATACGTTGCCGTGTTCAAATTGCATTCCAGTCTTGAAGGCGGAGCCGCAAAAGTATTACGCGGTTTAGAGCGGCTACGAGGCGCGCTTTTCCAACGGCCGCCATTGATCTCGGCGGTCAAGCGTCAACTTCGTGTACGCACCGTGTACGATAGCAAACTTTGTGATTACGATGAGAATCGTAATATGGGTAAGTGATTCAAAAGTAATTAAATTATAATGGAGGTATTGATATTAAATTGTTCAATTTAGGTGTCTTCTGGGTTAGCTGTGAGGCCGGTTCCTATATCCGTACCATGTGCGTGCATTTGGGTCTCACACTCGGCGTCGGTGGTCAAATGTTGGAGCTGCGTCGTGTGCGCTCTGGAATCCAGACCGAGATGGATGACATCGCTACCATGCACGATGTGATGGATGCCATGTGGTTATATGAGAACCACAAGGACGAAAGTTACTTACGTCGCGTTATTCGCCCGCTGGAGGGCCTCCTCACTAAGCACAAACGCGTCATCATGAAGGACAGTTCAGTGAATGCGCTTTGCTACGGTGCGAAGATTCTACTTCCAGGTGTCCTGCGCTATGAAGATGGTATTGAGATGAACGAGGAAATTGTCATTATCACTACAAAGGGCGAAGCTATTGCATTGGCAATTGCGCTCATGACGACGGCGACGATGGCCAGTTGTGATCACGGCGTCATTGCTAAGTTGAAGCGTGTCATTATGGAGAGGGATACTTATCCGCGCAAGTGGGGCTTGGGTCCTCGTTCGTCACAAAAGAAAGTCCTCATTGCTAAGGGACAGTTGGACAAGCATGGAAAACCGAACGAAAACACGCCGAAGGAATGGCTAAATAGTTATGTGAATTACAACATTGTAAAGAAGGAGAAAGATGACGATGAGGATCCTAGCAAGAAGCGTAAAGTCAGCGTGGGCAGTGAAGAAGGTGGTGCTGCTGCGGATGCATCTATGGAAGTAGACGCACCCGAAAAACAGAAAAAGAAGAAGCGTAAGAAGACCGACGAAGAAGGCGATAGCACTTCCGCACCTGAAGTCACCGAACCTGAAGTTGAGGCTGAAGAAGAGGGCAAAAAAGAAAAGAAGAAGAAGAAAAAGAAGGATAAATCGAAGGACAGAGAGGAGGACGAATGAAGTTAAACCAATTGCTGTCACTTTTATTGAATTGACGCAAGTTTCAATTTGTGTGTACAATTATTTCCAATTGTATATTATATCTGAGTAGTTTGTTTCAGAATCGCGTTTAAATTTATAAGCATGAACTTCACGTGGATTTTTATATATAACCGAATATTGAATAATATTTTCTGTTTATTACGAATCATTTTTAAGTACATTATTTTTGTTAAATCCACTCCATGTTGAAACATCTGCATTGTTATTAATGGTAAAACATTAATTTTATACAACTGAGTGTTATAGCAACAGCGACTGTTGAACATTAACTAAAAACATTGAATATATATTTGTATGATCATGCGTAAATATAAAAATATTCTTCGAGTAATTTATGCTTGATTATATTTATATATTTATTATTTATTTTTATCTTTGCTGTAATATGTTATTACCAGTGATTTGTACAATGTAGCGGCGTACGTATCTGATTTCGCGCGTATTCTTAACTTCTAGTTACATTTCATCGCAGTTGGTAACACTAACCGCGTTGAACTCTGGGTAATTCACCAGTAGAAGCCGGCATGTTTTCTGTTGTCTCTCGGTGTGCGAGCATAAAGCAGTCTTTTTCAAAGTAGATGCAAAATTTCCATCGAATTAAGTATCATTTGCTTACTAATATTACCTATGAATCTTGAGATATTGTAATGCGTTGAGGGGCACATGAAATTTGCACAAAATGGGTGATATTAGCGGTCGCGAGGTTTTACGAGCAGCGTTCAGCGAAAAAGAGTGGCGGCGAGTTCCCTCCGAAATCGCACAAAAGCTAGAGACTTACATCGGCAGCAAATTCGATGAACTGATAACTAGCAAGGCGCTGCAGGAAACCAAGAGTTACAATGCAGGTAAGAAATTTTGATATGTTTTTGAATTTGCCGTTACCTAATGCGGTTTTCCGTTAGTTCATAATCTAGCTGATTTGCAAGGCAAACATGAAGCCCTCTGCCAGGAACATGAAAAAATAAACAAAAAGCTTGATCATGCTAATAACACCATCACAGAGTTGGAGAATCAGTTGGCCAATTCGGTGGCGGATGTTGGTAAACTGCAAACTAATTGCAATAGGCTGGAGTCTGACCTGAATGAGCTAAGAAGTCAGCGAAATAATCTGCTTACTGAAAAGGAGGAAGTCAGTAGAATGGTTGAGCGCCGTACTTCCGAACTTGACAGAATGCAATGTGAGTTGAAGGCATTGACAAAACAACTGGAAGAGTCAGTGTCAGCCAAGTGTGATGCACTTAGTAAGATCAATGAGGTTGACTCCATGAAGTTTGCCATTGAATACAAGGAAAAACAAATGGAACAAGAGAAGGCTTTGATGAAAAGTCAAATCATGATGTTGACAAGGGACTTGGAAGCCAGAACCAATGAATTACTACTCATGCGACGAGATAACAGCTCACGCTGTGTACAACTAGACATTAAATTGTCAGAAAGGACTCAGGAATTGGCCAATGCAAATGAAAACATCAAGCAATTGACTGAGAAGAATACTACATTGAATTCCAAGACTGAGGAGCTTGTAGCCAAAATGGGATTGGAGAAGGAGAACTTCATCAAGACACTGGAGGCCTATCAAACTGAGGTCGAGGCGCAGAAGCAGATTGCCGAGCTCTATAAAAATGTTAGCGAGCAGCAGACCAAACATTCAAATGAGCTCACCACAGCCATGCACGAGTTAAGAGAAAAACTCGATGATGCGTTGGAGAAGTATGGTGATTTGGAGACCAAGTACAGGGAAGCTGAGTTGGCTCATGAGGAAATTCTCTCTAAGAAAACCGAATACATTACCATGCTGAAGAGAGAACTTGAGACTGCTAACGATTTGATTACTAACCGACCCACCGACATTCCAACTGATGACGATGAGAGTCTTCCGAAGATGAAGAGCGGCATGAGTTTCACCGAAATTTACAGCCGTTATGTACAGGTAACTGAACAAGTCGCACAAGAAAGGGCGGAGAACAAGCGACTACACCAGTACATTCAATCAATTATTCAAGAACTGGAACACAAGGGACCATTGGTTGCAAAGCAGCGTGAGCATTACGAGAAGGCGATGGATTCAATTGAAGATTTGACTAAACAGGTAGAAAGACTATCGGCAGAAAATCAACAAATGAAGGAGGTCAGTTCGGATCTTAGACGATCTGCAGGTAAGATGCAAATTTCTGCAAAAATGTTAGTAATAAGTTTTGAAACATTTTTTCATTTAATTCTTAGTGTCGTATGAGCGTGAAAATATTCGTCTGAAACGGGAAGTATCAGACTTGAGCCGACAAGTTTGTCATCTTCTTAAGGAGGTCGAAATGTCTCGTACCGGATCGAGTATTACGTCCATGGACCACGATCGCAGCGACAGTACCTGTTCCGCAGACATAATAACAAAGCGTTTGGTTACCTTCAGCGATATCAGCGATCTGCAATCGACCAATGCGCGACTTTTGGCGCTGGTACGTGAACTTAGCACCAAACAGGAAGAAGCCGACGCGATGGATCCCGAGATGATCATTGAGATGAAGGATAAGTTGGACAAGATGCGCGAACAACACGCCTCCTTGCTCGAGGACCAAGAGAAACAAAACAGCATGGTGAAAATGCTAATGGAACAACGGGACACATACAAGGGGCTTTATCATCAATTTTTAAAAGGTAAATCTTAACATCGGTTGGTTTGCGCGTATTTCTAATATATTTATTAACTTGTTATAAATTAGGAAACGGCGATACTTTGAACGGTGAAAAATCACCTACATCCAAAAATAATGACGATTCAGATATACAATCCGATGAGAAATATTTAGAATTAGAACAAGCTGTTCAACAGAAGTCTAAAGACCTGACGCTTCTTAAGGAAGAGCTGGACACGTATAAGGTCGAGAAGGCTATCAATGAAAAGATGATTTTAGAACAATCCGAGAAGCTGCGTGCTGAGTTACAGGAGATGATGAGGCAAAATACTAAAATGGGCGCCAAATGCGAAACTAATGATGAAATGATCAGGGTTCTGAAAAACAACGCTGACGTCTACAAGAGTCAAATCGAGCGTTTGGAAGATCGCATCCGCATATATAGCGAATCGATTGTAAAGCACGAGGCTTCGCAGCAGTTCTTGAAGGATCAAGTAATGGAAGCACAAACGAAACTCTCGAAGATTGAAGGTCAATTGGCTGGCGCGCAGAAAGAAAATATGCTTCTGCGCGATTCTGAAATGCGTATCAAATGCGAACGCGATCATTTGCTGCGCGAACAACAATCAAACACTACAATGTTCGCCAACATTGAGCTTATCAAAGCCACACTGGAACGAAACGATGCAGAGAGCAAGATGCGTTTGGAGGATATTCTCAAGGAAGCACACAGGGAATGCGCTGCGCTGAGGCGTCGACTTCAAGAGGAACAAGACAGATTCCGTGAATTGGGCGATAACCTGAAGAAGAAAACTGAAGCCGCGCAGAAACGCATGGAGGAGGAGAAATCTATTGCAGATACACTGCGCGAAGACTTGAATCAAGCCCGCGAGAATATCTCTGTCAAGTCGCAGCAGTTGGAAGAATTATCGAAGAGACTTAAAAATCCAATTTTGGATGATTTAGAGGTGTCTGTGGAGAGGCGCAAGATTCGGGAGTTAGAACAGAATCTATTTGATGCACAAGCGAACATCGATGCTTTGACGCAAAAGCTGAAAATCAGCAAGGATGCCGTTGAACAGCATCGCAATGTGGCTGTAGCTGCCGAAACTCAGCTGAAGGATTTAAGTCAGAAGTTTGTAATGGACAAGAACACCTATGAGAGTCAGATTGCGGCATTGCAGAAGAAGATTGAAGAACTTGAGGAGAAAAATGCCGAACTCCAAGGCGAGTTGTCATTACAATCAGATGGTCAAGTTAATGTTACAAGCAACTTGCACACTAGACTTAGCCAGCTGGAAGTTCAGAATAAAGTTCTCAATGATGACCTTCTCACTACCAAGTCAACTCTCGATGATGCCAAGGAGCATATCAAACAATTACAGGATAATGTTAATTTAGCAGAGAATAAGTACATTCAGGAGATGAAATCGCGTTCGGAAGACTTGCAAACCCTTACGGCAATCAAAGGTGAACGCGTTAAATTGTTGGATGAGTTGAATGAAATTAAAGCTAATCGTGACCGATTGCAAGATTCTTTGGATGAGTCTAGAATTTCATGGGATAATCAGGAAGCGATCTACAAGAAAGCTAAAGAAGAGCTTGAAACGCGATCCGATGAACTGAATAAACAGAATTCGTTATTACTCAATCAGTTGGAAGCTCTCAACGAACAAATGACTCTGCTTCACACCAAGATATCGGATCCTAACCGATCATTCGGTGCTGATTCTAGCATGAACAAATCGTTCAATGAAGATGAGAGTAAGTCTAGCGATCAATTGGTAACGGTTATTAAGTATTTGCGTCGCGAAAAAGATCTCGCTATAAACAAGTGCGAAATTTTGGCGGCTGAACACAATCGAATTTGTGCCGAGCAAGAGTCTCTCAAGCGGCAGTACGAGGATGCAAAGAAGGCACTTGAAAGTGAACGTCAAGACAGCGAAGTTGCCATTGTCACTGCCGCTAGACACGCTGAAGTTTTGCGCAAGGTAGAAACGCTTAACGCACTCACAGACAGCAATAGAAGCCTTCGTGCTGAACGTGATACGCTCATGGCTGAATTAGAGGAGCTCAAGAAACGTACATCAATGCTTGAGGAGCAATTGTCGCCATTGCAGGAGAAGAATAATGAGTTACAAAAGAAAGCGGAGGCAATGCAAACTGAAAACATCACATTGCGAAATGATGCGACAAGATGGAGGCAACGCGCCAATATTTTACTCGAAAAGTCGAACCGCACTAGTCCTGAGGATTGGAAAAAGTTGCAACATGAACGCGAAACTCTCGCAAAACAACTTACAATCGAGCGTGGTAACACTGCCAAATTGACTGACGAAAATGCCAATCTTAGGGGCGACAATAGCAGATTTGCGGAACAATTACGTCAATTGTCCATCCAATTTGAAACCAGTCATACTGAAACTATGAAGTTGAACGAAGAGTTGACTCTTTTGCGCAATCAAGTAACCGCTTTGAGCAATGATTTTGATCAAGCGAAGGTAAAGAACATCAGCATTACCGAGGAGAATAGGCGATTGAATGAAAATATAGCGAACAAAGATACAGCAATTAACGATGTGAAGAACAGCATGTCTCAGATTCGAAAGATTGCGAAGAAGTACAAGACTCAAGCGGAAGATCTGCAAAAGGAAATTGAAGTGCTCAAACAACAAGCCCAACAGAACGAGACCGGAAGCAATGTTTCGGATGAAAAGCGCGAAGAGATATTGCAGGAAGGGCGTAGTCAGATTGAATCGCGCATTAGTCAACTGGAGCAAACTCATACTGAACGTATTAACGAGCTAAACGTGCAAGTACATTCATCGCAGGAAGAATTTGAAAGGAACAGAAAAGAAATCGAATCGCTCAATGAAAAGCTTTCGAGCAGCCATGAAAAAGAGGAACGGTTTAAAGTGCTCTTTAAGAATGCAAAGGACCGTATAGTTGCTCTTACGGAGCAAAATGCTTCCCTCAAAGCGCAAATGGAAAATCGCGATGATGGCGGAAGCTCCCAACAGGGTAGCAGTGGCGACAACCCCGATTTGCAGAGGTGCTTAAAGGAGAAGGAACAGTTGATGTCCGACAACCAACAAGATAAAGAACGCCTCTTGCGTGAAATTGAGACATTGACTCAAAGAGTGAATCAACTCCAACGCCAGCTGGGCTTGCAACAAGGTAGTAAACCGAGCACGAGTTCCGAAAAGGAAAAATCCGTTACCGAGCCGCCAACCGCCAATATTAAGCCGATGGCTGGTCATTCTACCAACACCCAAACCCAATCGGTACCGATCCAGCCCTGGCGAAGCGTCAATGAACCACCGCTGGCGAGCATCCGTCCGATGTCTCAGCAGCGTACGGCTGCCGTGCTGCCCACCAGCCAAAGCCCAAGCACGGTCATGGTGCCACCGCAGCAGCAAGTTCACACTACGGGTAACAGCGGCATTGAAGCAATGTCGAGCAGCCCGACTTCATCGCACACGGATTATGTTCCAGCTACGAGTTCCGCAAACCTTTTGGGACCGCGCCAAGTAGCCGTTCCGCCAACGCAATCCAACCAAGACAACGAGGATGATGACAGTAATATGCAGGTGCAGCAGGTTCAACAACAGCAGGTAGTGGCGATGGTACTGCCGCGGGTGGAACCTCCGTCCCCGGCGCAGGAACAAGGGACGAGCAGCAGTAGCTCTTCGAATACTGTAACCACAACGCAAGCGGGACTCAAGCGTCCCAGGGAAACAGCCAGCAGTGATGGTGGCGAAGATAGCAAGACAAACCAACAACCAAAACGGACTCGAATAGTGGTAAGATGTAAATATATTTTGGTTGCTAGTAGAGTACTGCACGTATACTTAATTGTCCACAGCAAGGGACCAGTAGCAGTGGAGCCGAAGGCAGCGTCAGCGAAAGTGGGCTAGAGGTAGAATATCAAGTTCCTACGAGTAGCCAACGTGATCACGAGGAAGACGCTGTTATTGTGGTGGAAAGCGACGAGGAAGGTCCAGATGAAGGTGAAGGTGAGGACTACAACATGCCCTACGAGGACGCCGATCAGGACGACGAAGGTAAGCGCGCATTTGAAGTTTGTTTGCGTCGCAAACATGCTTATAATGTGTAAATTTAAGGCGGTAATGAAGTTGAAGTAATTGAAGATTCGAGCGAAGTGCCAAATCAGAGCGAGCGTGGTGAGACGGACATGCAGCCCGATGGTGATGACGAGGAGGAGTGTGACGTTGCTGAGGAGCGTGTGGAGGAAGAGGAAGCGATGAATCCGGAAGCGACTAGCAGTGGCACGAACATTTCTACATCTGTGGCAGTGACCCTTCCATCGTTTTCACGAACGCGCGTTGTACCCTTAGCGAGGCAGCAGGGAAATCTTGTCGTCCTTCCCGTGTCTGGTGAAGTTGGTGAAGATGAGAAAGCTATGCAGCCGGAAGCAACAAGTAGCGGCACGAACGTTTCCACCTCAGTGGCAGTGACTTTGCCTTCATTTTCACGGACCCGCGTCGCACCTCTTGCGAGGAGTCAGCAAGGAAATTTAGTGCTTCCGGTGATGGGTGATGAGGGTGGTGATGACGGTAAATTATAAATGATAATTGCCAGAAGTGCTTTTATAAATGCTCAATATTTAGGTATTGTTCCTTCGACTCCTACATTGGCAACGGCGAGGAGATGCGATGGTTTCGGCGAGGCTGTTAGTTCACCGCACGTACCAAGTGGTAGGTTCACGTTTATGGAATCCACTGCACCTAACACTGCTTCAAATGACGTTCTGCCCGAACAGACTCTTGAAATGACACATGCTGATGATAACAGTACGTTGCACATTTATCTCAAGAAAACCCTCGAATTTTCCATATAATCGCGACATTATAATTTTAGGTACTGGCAGAAGTGTACCGAACACACCTCTGCAAACATCCCCGCATGAATCTGGCCCCAGCTCTGAAGAGCAACCATCGCATCATCAAGTCGAAGGTACCATACCATCAATAACGATAAGCGGTGCTGAAGATGAGGTTGAAGCTGCTGAGAGTGGCGATTGTATGGGCCCACCGTCAGTTGCCGGCACTTCGACAGATGGTAGCCAACACACAGAGCACCAATCCGAAGAGATACAAGAAGGAGAAGATGGCGTATGTTTTTCTTCTATTTTTATTTCATATGATTAATTCAACTGATGTATTTCTATTGTTTACAGGTGAGTTCTGAAGGTGAGAAAGCAGCTAGCACGGAAGAAGGCGAAGAAGAGGGCCGTGAGGCCGAAGCTTCTCCCAGCACAAACACGCGTTCCCGACACCAGAGAGGACCTGCACAGGCAGCTCGCCGCGGCGTGCGCGGGCAGCATGTGCGTGGAGTAGCTCGTCCTGGACCACAGCCCATTGTTTGGGTAGACCCTCACAGTGAGATGCAGCGCCAAGGAAGTAAGTTGAAACATGAATTACTTGTTTTAAAGATGTGCTTAACTTTTCCTCTTTTAGACATGATGAGTCAGCAAATGCATCGGGGTAGAGGAGCCAATATAATGAACTTTTCTCCACGAACAGCGCGACGTAGCAGAGGTCGTCAGCAGCGTGGTAACTATACGGGGCGTTATTAATCATTCCAATATTTCAATCCTTCATTATTTCATCAAAACAATATGTTCGTTGGTTTCGTTTATTGTATAGATTCATTTCAAGTTTGCGTACATGTTTCATTTCTATGATTGGAAGATGAAAATCACATCAGTAATACTGATCTGTATTCATTAGCATGTAAGTTGCTGTTTATATAATAGATATTACAGTTTTCGGCATAAACCTTCATTGCTTATTTTTATTGTGATGGTTTTGATATGAAACTTTTAAATTAAAAAATACACAGATTTTTGGAGTAATGCTGAATTAATGTGTTGCCTTTTTTCTGTAAACAAGTGAACATTTGGAAAATGTCTTACGCTCTAGAAACTGCCGAAAATTTACAATTTAAACACTTAATTTCCTTATTAGTTCCTTTAGATTTCTTAAGCATTCGGAGTCCGCGAAATACCTTGATTAAAAATAGAAGCACATATTTTTAAAAGGTTTATTTTGGAAAAACGTTGATAATCATACTGTAACAAGGTAATATTCATCCTACGGGCAGTTTTACAACTACGAAATTGATTTGAATATCTGCAAAAAAAAGTTGGATATAAACCAATTAAATGACCCAAGCCACTTCCGCATTTTTCTGTTACATATTTTGATTTTGATTTGGGTTTGTAAACCTGCATAATATATGTATGTATATGAAATACTGTACGCACATACCTGATGAGATGTGTGTGTGTGTGTGTGTGTGTGTGGTAGTAACCTTCTCGGTTCTGTTTCGTGCTGCTCATGTGCATGTGTGGCATGAATGGAAATGTCAAGTTATGTCTCAGTTAAACAGGTCGAGCTCATCGCATTGTGTTTTTGTTTCGTTACGCCTTTTAATTTAGATGTTGTGTGAAATATTATAATTATTCCTGCACCACTAACTGACCATGTTATATTGAGTTATCTATTAATAAGTGGTGCAAATTGGGATTACAACTCTAAATACGTGGTAAGTTTCTAGGTTATTTATACTGCCTGCTTTATTGGGAACATTTTTGTTTTGCTAAGCAATAGATACGTCGAAATTTCATGTCACAATTATCAAAACGATGTAAAATTTAAGATGTTAGATTAGCCTTCATCACCCAGTCATTCTGACCATCATGTATTCATTATATACAGTTGCATCATTAATTCAATGCAAGACATTCAATTCTGATATCAGATTTTTTACATTTCTCGTCAGGTGATTACCAATGAGTAGGATTTGGAATAATGTTTTATTTTGAATTGTTTTAGTTCACTATGAATTATAATCGCGGTCGTGGAAGAGGTAGGGGAAAGCCTAGGTATACCCAACAATATGCAGCTGGTCACCAAAGTGGGCCTAGTCCAAGTACAATTCCTATACCAATCAACAAAAATTTAAGTGTTATTACTGTAGACTTAGAACTTGATGAAGCTGGTTCACAATGGATGTCTCAACTGAGGTCAAACTGGAATTATAGTAAGTTTAAACATCACCTGTCTTAATGAAGTTGTAATTAATATGCAATTGCAGTTAAAAACAGTCCCATTGTTGTAAATATGGTACTAAGGAAGTTTGAGCAGGCGGCTAATCCATATGAAGAGACATTACGAATTGTTTACAACTGTCCAGATTTTAAATATGCGAAGCAGAAGTCTCTGGCAATTTTTGTGATTGACGAATTTAAGAAGTGGTGTCAAAGAGTTCGGAGTGAAATTATCCATCTTCTCACTGGAGATGTAAAACTTTCCGCTTTCAATGTGGTGAGGCAACAGAACAACTTTTCCATGATGAAGTTGGTTGCTGAGGTGTATGAAATGCTGGAGGACTGTGATATATTTTTTGATATTATTCAGTGTATGATTCAGCAAAAACAGTACAAAGAGGTAAACAATTAATTTACCAATCAGTAACAAAATTTGTAAGGCAAATTTTCTAGGCTTGTCAAAGTGTAGCCTTGTTGGGTTTACACAAAAAGTTTGGAATTAATGAATTTCTTGTACCATTGGTGCTTCAAGACAAAACTGCTGTAGTTGAAGATTTCCTAGCTGATAGCATCGAACATCAAACGGAATTAGTTAGTTTTCTCGATTCAAAGCTAGGAAAAAATACTTCTGTGCGAATGGCGTGGGATTCATACATTCAGTAAGTTGCTGATTTAAAAAAAAAAGAGATTATTTTTAATATGTCTGTTTTTATTTGCTTTGTAGTGAACATAAAATACCTGAAATAAAATATGATAAAATACACACTAAGCCGTTTAGGAAATTCATAACGAGGTACAAAAAGATGTACAATCTACTTGACGAAGTAACCCCGAATTTAATCAAGAAACAAAATGAAGGCGCCCTGCAATTCCTGCTTCAACGCCGGTACGTGAAAAACGCCATCGGTGATGAAAGTTTCAAGGAGATGGTGCACGAAGCAGTACAAAATGATAAATATTTACAATTAGAATTGGTGCTTCTTGCCGCGCAATACGGTGATACTGAGACGGCGTTGCATTTTGCTCTCTTGTATGGCATACCGAAGCATGACTGGCCGTACAACGTGCGAATGTATGTTGATAATCCGAATAATGAAAGGCATCAACAGCAACAACCAGCCAATCTATTTGAAGAAGAAAATTGGGATGAACCAGTGCAACAGGTCGATTATTACAAGCTGAATTTACCTATTGGGAACATATGCTTAGTGGATTGTCATACAGAGTTTAACAACTTTTTGGAAAATAATTTGAAGGTAGGTTTAATATTATTAATGTGACTTCCTATATTGGTAAATAATTTTTTTAATCAGCATGCACATATTGTGGGGATTGACTGTGAGTGGAAACCGAGTTTCGGCTCGCAAAAAAACGAATTGGCATTAATGCAAATTGCGACGCGTGATGAGGTATTTATACTGGATGTCATTCAACTCGGTTCGGGTGCCGGAGCGGCACAATTATGGGAGAATCTTGGACGCTACTGCTTCAATAACTGTGATATATTAAAATTAGGTTTTGGCCTGACTAGCGACATGTCGATGATAGGCCAGTCCCTGCCACACACGAACATTAATCAAAAAATTGGATTCTTGGATCTACTGAACATTTGGCGGCAAATGGAGAAGCAGAACATCAAGTTACCATTCGAAGTACAAAGCGGTGGACCCAGCCTGAGTACGTTGGTGCAGCAGTGTTTCGGCGCGCCGTTAAACAAAGCTGATCAGTTCTCGAACTGGGAAAAACGGCCACTACGAGACTCCCAACTGGTGTACGCTGCACTGGACGCGTACTGTTTGATTGAGATCTACGACGTGCTTAAGCAGTGCTGTGAGAACACGACATTTAATTTCGACGAAGCTTGTTATCATTTAATGACATCATCGAACTCATCGTTGAAGAAATCCAAGAAAGGATTAAATAAAAAGGTAACAAATGGTACTTTTCTTGATTTTTTTGGATTTCAGTTTGTATCGTGTAATGTTACATGTTTAATAAGGGCGCTTTGGAGCAGCTGTGTAAAAAACTACACATTACAAAATGAGTCCAAAAATTGAGACAAATAATGCATTATTAGTTCCAAACTTGAGTATTTATATTTTTATAGAAGACTGTAAAGCCTGTGTTGAAACAACCACCCAATACAGATTTTCCTGTGGTTGATGCAAGTGACATTACTTTTGTTTGTGATACAATGCTGCAAGGACTAGGAAAACTGCTACGTAAATGCGGGATCAGCACAAAAATATTGGACAATACAGATGATCATATGACATGTTTGAAGATTTATCAAGATGAGGGCAGATACATTTTAACTAGAGGACAAACTTTTTCAAATGTATGTACTATGGGAGAATGTAAACTATTATCATGTGTAATCTTGATGGTGTGCACAATAATTAGCATAACATTGGTATTCTCTTAAATGTTGTAGTTTTATGGTAGTGTGCCGAAGGGACATTGCTTTAATGTTATCTATGACGATTTGGAAGATGCGCTGAAAAGCGTATTGGAATATTACAAGATCACCGTTCGGAAAGAACACGTCTTTTCGATTTGTCAAGCTTGCAATAGCAACAGTTTTCTAAAACTGTCCAAATCGACAATGCAAACATTGGTAAGAAACGACAAGTTTAAAATGCAGAATCCAATACCAGCTGGGTTGGAAGAGGACGATGAAGCTACAGGTTTTTCCAGTGAGGAGGAGGTGGATGACGATTTTTATATGACTGCCAAGTTGCCAGATCCGCCAATTTCTCGCAAATGGGATCTGTGTAAGTATTTTCAAATTTGACCACAATAGTTTAGAGTTATTTTAAGTGTTACATCGATCAAATACGAATGTACACTTGGCACAGTGGTAGTTTATAACACAATTGACACACAACTTCACTATTGTATTTTGTTCTAGGTTCTGATGAACCTGTAGATGTTGGACTGTGCAGATTACGGAATGGCGTGAAAATTAACGTTCAAGCAGTGCCGGACGGTGTGCTGGAAAAGCAGGACATGTACTACGTCTGTGAGATGTGTGGTAAAGTATATTGGGACGGCACCCATTTTGAACGGGCTTTGGCTGGCAAACTGCAGGAAGTAGTTTTGTAAGTAACTAGCTATTATTGGAAACGATCATCTTGACAACTTAATCATTGCTTTCATAAAAAATTATTACAAACATTTCGAGTAACTGATAACACGCAATTAATATTTTGCTTAAAAATATGATTAAATTTGTTATAATTGAGAATTAGTCCTGACGACATTAACATTTTTTCATTACGGTTTTATTATTTTATTTATTACATGATAAGAAGTGCAATAATATCGTTAGGTATTTTTTCTCGTTTAAGAATTGCTTTATATATTTATTTGAACTCTAAAAATATCAAATTTATAAAGCTATTCGTATTTAAGAATATGTATATTATTTTCATTTTTGTATTAATTGACAATATAAATGGTATAGTAAATTTTACCACCTGTCTTTGCACTAATAAAATGCAACCAATCCAATGAATATTAATTGTGTTTAATTACGGTGTTTGGCAGGTGTGATAATTACTGATTATTCGTGATTGTTTTGTATGGTACTAATGTTATCACAAAAAATGTTATTAATGTGTATCGGAAATTTTGCGTATAACAGGTAATTTTATGCAAATGTTCGAAAAGGTTACTTTTGGTTGTGTTATTAGATCGTTTAGATTTGAACGTAAAAGTGTGTAAAGATGTTCCGATATAATTTTCCAAATGTGTTTTTAAGAGATTTGATAACATAATTTGAAAATCGCGCCTCTGATAAAGTTGACATTTTTCGCTCATGTCAAAAAACCTGTCGGCAAACCAAACCTACAAAATGATCGTACGCATAAAAATGTCAATGTTCACATTTTGAAATGACCAAAATAGATATCATCGAACCGAACGTTTGCTAGCACAAATGTTAGCCAAAGAACAGCTCAGTAAACAAATAGTTGGTGCACGAATGAGCCTGCCTGATAAATTACATCGTTCGGTTGTGCCACTCGGTCAAAAGTCTCGCCAAATTGCCAAGAATGGTCGTCATATTCAGAACTCGTTCCCTACTCAGATTACTCAAGCGAAGTGTTGTATTGCAATGGACTGCCAGTTGTAAACATGCGAACAAACGAAATTTCAGTGCAACTAACAACAATAATGGAATCTACGTACGACGCGCCAATAATCCAACTAGTCAATATGAATACAAATTTGAATATAGGTTATATTATCGAAGTTCCCATAGTTCCAAAGAATCTAGATCGTCATATGCTAAGTTATCTCCACAAGAGGTGAGTGTGTATTCATGTATTACTAATTTTATGTGTAATTTGTTGTGCTTATTGTCTTTCATTGCTTAAATATAGAAGGTCCTCAAAGTTGCTTTTTGATTATGTTTGCTGCATGTGTAATTTTACTGCAAGGCTTGTGACATCATGGTTATATCACAGCATTGAATAAAGTTTACATTTAGTATGATGTAGATTGTGTCTTGCATTACATAAATTTATGTTATCTCTTGCTCCATGAGAGTATTACATAAAATCATAAATGTTGCTTTATTGCCCGACATTGAATGTATATTGGGTTGCATATGTTTAAAATTATGCTGTTATTATATTTACAAAAACCTGCGCACGCGTTAATTTGAATTTAGCGTGCAACCTTGGATTTTTATTTGTGAACAATGATAACATTTTAAATAAATGTAAAATTTAATTTTGTGAAAAAGTGTGATGAAAAATGTTCTCAAAAAACGTGATAATTTTAACTTTCGTGGTAAGTGGCGTGAAAGTATAACGATTCATATAAATATTTATTAATGGGACTTTTAGTTTTTTCTCACTAAAACAGGCACTAGTTTTTATCATCCAACATGCACTACAACCGGTTGGTCATGTATCGATTGTTATACACGGAAATTGTGCAAAGGCAATCGTCTCTGGACGACTGCAAAGTGCAAAGACACTACCAATGCAAATGGGATTTACTGTAACCCGACAATTAATGATTGCGCTGCGTCCGAACCAGAAGGTTGTGCAAGTTTGGATCCCCCAAAATGCGTTAGAAACGAATTGTATCCAAACATAAAAAATTGCTCGCAGTATTTTGATTGCATTAATTCGTCTTCTTCGAAAAGCCCACAATTAAAGTCGTGTCCACCTTTGGAATACTTTCATCCCAGTTGGCGTAAATGCGTGTTTCACACTAGTTACAAAGCATGCAGAGCTATCGAATGTCCTTTAGGAGTTCGAACAACCAAAGCTCACCCGATCGAAAAATCATTTTATTACGAATGTAAAGACCAACTCACCACTTTGAAGCAATGCATTCATGTTGGCGAAGTTTATGATGAGAGTTCTCAGACGTGTGTAACCACTTGTAATTGGAAGAGCGATGGTCATGTTTTCTCGAATCCAAAGAACTGTACATCGTACTACATGTGTAAGAGGAATCGCGATAGGCTGGAACTGGTTAGTTATGATTGTCCTATTGGTACTGGATTTAACAGCATATCACAAAAGTGTGAGCGGGATTTTCAACATATGTGCAATGAACTCTCTATTTTGGAGAACAGTTTTGAATATATCTTACGAAAGTTACCGTTTGGTAAAACTGCGAGTAAACTGGCTGAGTTGACGATGGACCTTGCGGATTACAATCCTATCACCTTTGCACTGAAACTTGGCATGCAACAGGATCTTGTGTCTAATATTATTGTTGTTGGTGATTATATAATTTCATCGAAGGCTTTCCCACCGACTATTCTCGCGGCAATTTTATTCAAAACAGTGGAGTATTTGCCAATTGAGTTAAGAGATGTTGCGCAGTCACTTTTAGAGCTTATTGCGCTACCACAAAGCTTATCAAGTGCACATTATTCTCTACAAATGGAAAGCGTTGAAGATAAGGAGCCACAATTTCCAATTAATTTTCGTTATATATCTAGGGTTATTTCCGAGAAATCGGTGCCACAAATTTTGGAGGAACTACAGCGTTACTTTATGTATCATCTACAGTTGAATGGAGAGAATTTGCAAGAAATGCAACGACTATTACGAATATCAGTGCCTGATATTATCAAATTTACTCATTATAACATCGAACATGATGTTTTTTACTTTACTAATGAAAATTTGATTGGAATAGATACTGATAAATTATTTCGAATATTTGATCATAAAATTAATGAAATCACGCAGGAATTACGGGAAAATGATGCTGACGTGATTGCTAAATATGTGCATCCCATTTTGGTTCTACATCGATACTACTTTTTAGAGGGTACAAGAGATTGGATTGCAAGTGTTAGATTTTAAATGTTTATAGAATTTTACTCTGAATTATGTGAACATTATAAATTGCGTTATAAAAATATGACGCAAAAGTAATAAATGCGGTTGAGGCAAGAAATATTTATAACTTTTTAAACATTTATTTTGTCCCGATAAGAGGCGATAAACATTGGTTGTGATTTGGTAAGGAGGTCAAATTACCAAGATACTAAACAAGACCTGCTAACATGTTTTCAATTTGAGATTAAATTTATTTTGGTTATTTTTAAACAGAAATATCAATATTTTTAAGCGAGTACTTCTGTACTTAACTAAGGCATCATTCTATTTAAGAATCCTTCAAAAATAGCACAGTCGTGTTCACTCCCTGAGCAACTATATTGCCTACGAATGGAATCTTTCCGACCGAATTTATTATGTTGTTTCCAATGCCTCGAACAAATGACCTAATAGAGTTTTTAATGGGATTTGTAAACGCTGTGAAAGGATTCATTCCTCGTGAATCATCTTCCTTGCCCTCTAGAGCATCAATCATCGGATTGAGCACATTGTGCATCCATTTCTTTCCTAGGTGGATGCTATCAATCATTCGAAGTACAGCAAAATTTTTCGGATAATTCATCACGCGTTCGAACCAATTATCTGGCTTTGTGATTACCGACACGGCCAACTTGTTAACTCCGTCAAACATACTCCCGGCTGCTTTACGTCCAAACTTAAGCACTCCTGCCAATCCTTTTTTAATGGGATTGGTCATGAGTGAGAAGAATCCGCCGGGTTTGCTATTTCCGCTTTTCTGGTCGATGCTGTCAAAATCATCTTCTTCGGATTCGTAAGGAACGAAGAAGTCCCGGGACCCGGGCGTTTCATCCGATTCATCGGATACGGCAAAATCACGTCCTTGAACGGTTTCATCAGATTCTTCACTTTCCTTGGGCTTGTGGGTTGTGGGTGTTTGGGGATTATTATTTGGTTTTGGTTTGCTGCTTTCGTTTTTGTTTTCCGACGGTTTTGGCTCAGGTTTTGTTTCAGTAGGTTTGGCGTTGCGACCATCTCCGTCTTCTTTGGATTCCTCGGATTCAGAATAGTCCATGTCGCGAGTATTAATATGATAGTTTTTATAATCGTAATCATCGTCTTTATTAGCATAAGCATTCCTCGCTGCGTCTTGTTCAAGTCGGGCGCGTCCAACATTGCGAATACCTGCATAGTCAAGATCGTCGGCATCATAAAGGCCTTTTAGTTCAAGGTTATCATTTGGTATTTCTCTAGCCCTACCTTTATTTGCATCAATGCGGCCTCGATTTTCTTCCTGGTTGGTTTTTTCTAGTTCTTCTTTGAGTTTCTCTATTGGCAAATCGCTGTTTATAAATTGATCAATCAATCTTGGCTGGTCTTCATCTGAGTCATTCTTAGTTTCTACAAGCACTTTTTCAGTTGTTACTATAGTAACAACTTTTTCAGTCGTAGTTTCTTTAGGTAATGTAGTTTCTAGCTCAATTTTGCTTTCGATTTTACCTGCAGTTGTATCGGTAGCTTTTTCTGATGTGGTGTCGGGGACTGGAGACTCGCTTTTATTATTAGTCAATTGTTCATCGAAAAGAGTAAACTCATCATCATAGTGATATTCATGTTCTTCATAATCAATCTCGTCTCGCATTTCATTATCTCTCATAAACTTATGATAACTGTCAATGGTCGGTAGTAATGTCAGGAGTATCTCTTCCGCTGGTATCTGAATCCTTGAAATGTGTTCCTTGAGCACTGGGTAATTGGTTCTGTTCTGCACATCTAGCAAGTTTTTCAGCATGTATGCCGCTACTTTATTTTTTCCCCGAATTGTTCTACACTGTAATTCGCCGTCTTCTGACTAATGCTGTTGAATCCGTATATGTTTATTGTGATTATGTCGTTTTGCAATTGCAGAAGTTCGGTGTTAAACAAACTGTTGATGCGCTTGATGGCGTAAAACAAATCACCGTCTGATTTCAAAATAACTTCCGCCAACTCATTCTTACTAGTCCCGTAGGCATCACAGGCTAAGTCACATGCTGTTATGTTATCGATGTCCTCTTTCATATGGAAGTAGTTTATCAACTGATTGATGGACTTCTTGTCAATGTGGATTAGCTTGCAATGATCGTCGATAACGTTGATCAGTTGCGCTTTTGCGGTCTCTTCATTCATTGGGATGTTTCTGGCTGCAACCACGAGTATCTGAAACCAGGACTCTTAATTGTTAAGACAATTTAGATATGATAAATATTAATCATTGCGTACTGTTGTCAGGAAGAAATAGATTTTTAGTTTTTCCATCTTTGTATCAAAGATTTTTTACTACCATGGATACTGTTTGCACTAGAATTTTGTGTACGTAATTTTTCTTTAAAATAAGCATGAACTCATAAGGCAAGAAATGAATTTCAGTGCGGCGTTGATGGCAGCAGGTTTATCTTGGTTTGGTTTGATTTACTACCTCTGACGTAGTTTCTATGTTTATTAGTAAATTTCAACAAATTTGAAGACGTTTTATTTCATGTGATATAGTGCGACAGTGACGCAACAGTATATGTTTAATGATAACATATTATATTGCATTTTTATTGTTCAAAATAATTATTAAAAAAAAAGGAGCGCTGTTTTGTATTACAAAAACTACTTTGAAAAGAATTGGCAAGTTTAAGTGTTGTGAATATAGTAATAATAACATCTTAATTAACAGATATTTATCCGTTTCAAGCATTTCAATACACTTTTTATTCAGTTTTTAGTTTATTATCAGTATTTTGTTTATGCTTTGTTCTAGGTTGACTCCATCTTAAGGACTAACGAATATAATCATGAATTTTCACCAGGCAGCAGTGTTAAGTCATACGATTCTAATCAATTGGCATCTAACAATCCCATGGAAGACACCCGCGCCGAAGCATCGTGTTTACAAACGACAGGTAACTGGTCACTGATTTGTTTTTATCTTATTTGGTTATTAGTAATTTATTTGTTTTTATTATATATTACGATTTTTCTGTTGCTTTTCAGGACTATTAGTTGGCGTTTTTGATGGTCATGGTGGAGGCGCCTGCGCTCAAGTTCTGGCGAAACGTCTGTTTCGCTACATTACAGCGTGTCTTCTGCCACCGGACAAACTTGAAGAATGTCATCAGGCAATTGCGGACAATAAATCACCTATGGAACTTTACAAATCATATAACGATAAGGTACAATTCGTAGATGACGTGCGTGACATATACCGCAAGAGTTTCGAACAATTTATCGAGGAGTTATCTTCTGTAAGTTGGAGACTTACTATTAGAATATTGTTGTTTCATTACTTATACTTGAATTGCAGGCAGATAAGCCTCACTTTGACATGACGAAAGCTCTTGAAACCGCTGTCATGCGTCTTGACGAAGATTTATCTAGCGAAGCCCTCGCTCGCGTCGATGGGAAAATTAATTTGAAGACTATGGCTGTTGCTATGAGCGGGGCAGTAGCGTGCGTTGCACACATCGATGGTCCTCATTTACATGTTGCAAATGTTGGTGATTGCAATGCGGTTGTTGGTAAAATATATGAACAAACTGAAATTTAACATTTTTCAAATTAAATCATGTAAAATATTTAGGTGTTCGAACAGAGACCAATTCTTGGGTTGCAAAAAAGCTCACCACAGAACACAACACCGACAATCGTGATGAAGTAGAGCGCATCATCAGCGAACATCCGTACAACGAAAGCAATACGGTAATAAAAATGGAGCGACTTTTGGGGCAGCTGGCACCTTTGCGTGCATTGGGTGACTATCGCTACAAATGGAGCAAGGAAATAATGCGTAACGTGGTGGCGAAACATTTTGGCGATCACATGATTGCACCTAATTATTATACTCCACCTTACCTGACTAGCAGGCCTGACGTCATTTACCACCGACTGACACCGCGTGATAAGTTTCTTGTTCTTGCCACGGATGGGTTATGGGATTGCATCTCCCCGTTGCAGGTGGTGCGCTTGGTCGGCGAGCACATGAGCGGCAAGGTGACGCTTAGTCCGCTAAAACTGCCTCGTAAAAACATGAAATTATCCGATATTGATGAAATGCTCTTACAGCGCAAAGAGGGACTCAAGACAAAGCCGAAGGATACGAACGCCGCGACACATCTAATGCGCAACGCACTTGGGGGCACGGAGTATGGCATCGATCATGGCAAGTTGTCGCAGCTGCTCAGCCTGCCAGACGATGTCGTTCGCGTATTTCGGGATGATATTACAATAACAGTTATATACTTTGATTCCGAATATTTAAGACATTGTCCAGTTTGAAACATTATTCCTAGAATATATTCGCCACAAACTATTGCTAATTCAAGGGGCTTGCATTTATGTTTATTGTTGTGCCAAAAACGCACATATTACATCTCTGCACATTGTCCATTTCTCTTTACATTTTTGGTGAGTAGTAACTGTTTAATCAAAACATTACATTCTATTACTAAATGCTAACACAAAAATTCTATTTTTACGTGCATCTAGAGCGATTTTCGTATGTGACTGTTGAAAAGAGAAAACAATACTCGATATATTTTCCGAATATACCTATATATATATATATATTCCTATTATGTTATAGTTGCAAAATGTGATTTAGTCATGCATTATAATTGCATGGAATAAACAATTGTTCATTTAAATGTGTAACCTAATCTATTCTAGAAATCCAATTAATTAAACTATTTTGCTGAACTTTTTTGTTGCTAATTAAACACATCAAATGTTCTGTGTATTTTTTAGGTTTTCATGGTATCCAAATTAACTGTCACATTGATATCTTGTGTTATTCGTTAAGAAACATTGGTCCTCCTGTTAATGCTGTTTTTACATCGAGTAAGTAATCAGACGCATTATACAATATAGCTAATGTAATATATAAGATTAATTTGAATTTCTTAATATTGAACTTTGCCAACGAACTTTTCTGTGGGTGAAGAGTAAACCCTACATTTGGTGCTTAGCTAACATGAACACGTGCATTGTGGTCTTTACTCCTTAAAATGTCCGATATTGAGTTTAAAAAATTCAGTTTCACTTATTTTCTTGAAAATCTATGTCATCACGTGCTTGGGGATTATTTTGGGGATATTCTGTACGTTTTGATGTAAATTTTAGTTGGTAGTTCATTCATAACTGACAATTATTTTGAAATCTCCATTGTTCAAAAACAAATTCTTGTCAAGATAAAACGCTTTGCAATCAAAGCCGAATATCTCGTGTCTTTCATATTTCATTACATATATTTTATCATATTTTGTACACAGTATTTTTTACACATTGCGAAAATTCTCGTGCTGTATTCTCATCAACTCAAGGTAAAATTTTGGTTGCGACCTCAGCGCGCTCTGAATGCTGCCGACCTAAAGTATACGGCATACGATCAGGACATCTATTTACATCTGTCAAACGAAAATTGATCAAAATGTGTGACTTTCTGCTTTACCCTTAGTTATCGATCTGTGTAGATACCAATATCCCATGTGCGTGTAGATCAGCATCGCAAGAATCGTTGTTGATAAATCGGGTCGTGCGAGCAGTCCGTTGATTGAGTCTGATTAAGCCGCGTACCTATCAGTCCACGAACAAAATGGGGAACGTGCATGCCTATTCCGCGCCGCCACCACCAAGCCCACCGCCACCCCAAAAGAAAATCCTGCCGCCGTTGACCGAAGAGGTGGAAAACCCCGGACCTCTCGAGGAGATCCACTCCAAATGCAAAAGTAAGTACACATCGTCAGTAAAACATAATCATTTCACTTTCAGTCATTGCTTGCGCTTAAACGTGTGCCGCAATTCTTACATAACCTCAACAATCGCTATTTGCAGATATATTTCCGACATGTTTCGATGGGGCGCGTATTATGCTTACGCGGGGGCTGAGCAATCACTTTCAAATATCGCACACAATAAATATGAGCTCAGTAACACCGAGTGGGTACCGCTTTGGCGCTACCTATGTTGGCACAAAGCAGCTATCACCCAGTGAAGCATACCCCATAATGCTGGGTGATATTGATCCCACTGGTAATTTGAATGCAACCATCATCCATCAACTTCGACCAGCGCTTCAGGCCAAATTCGGCGCACAGGTAATATAAAAAGTAACTTTGATTATATGAATTTAATTGAAACAATTGAAAATGATTGTTTCAGGTACAAAATGGCAAATTTACTGTTGGTCAGCTTTCCATGAATTATAAAGGCTGTGATTATACTGCCAGTATGACTGTGGCTAATCCAGATATTATCAATAGCTCTGGGGTGGTTGTTTTGCATTATCTCCAGGCTATTACTAGTCGTTTGGCATTAGGCACTGAATTGGCATACCAAAAAGGACCTTCTATACCTGGTGGAGAAATTGCTCTTCTTAGTCTTGCTGCAAAGTAACATAATGAATTTACATGGTCAATTGATATAACAATTAATTTATATTACTTTTCTTATAATGTAGGTATGCCACAGATGACTACCAATGTTCTGGAACATTAGGAGTCTCTGGCATTCATTTGTGTTATTATCAGAAGGCCAGCAAACAACTACAAATTGGTGTGGAACTTGAAGCCAACCATAGGATGCAAGAGGCCGTTGCATCGATAGGTTATCAAGTAGACTTGCCGAAGAGCGATGTGGTTTTCAAAGGTGATCAATTAAGATTTTTGATTAACTTAAGCTTATGTTTTGTTCTGAATTTTATAGGCCATGTTGATTCAAATTGGACTGTCGGCGCTGTTTTGGAGAAAAAATTGAATCCGCTGCCATTCACACTTGCGTTGAGCGGACTGTTAAATCACAACAAGGGTCACTTCCGTTTGGGTGTCGGAATTATTATCGGATAAGTCATTGTGTGTGTCTTTTAGTAAAAATAAGCTAGTTTAAACATCATAACTGAAACACGAAATTGAACATCCAGACGCAGATGTACTGTAACTACTATTATATCATTCATGACCATGTTTTTGGTTTTCGAAGATGATTCCTACAAATGCTATGCATTCTTAGTGCCACCTTTCTTTTGTACATAACGACCAGCAGCTGCAATATTCAGGAAGAACTAATTAAAATGAAACGTATTGAAGGTAATGTGTTCGACTTGTATATAATTATAGAAAAAGCAATTGTCCGACAAATGTCGCCAAATGGAAGTATTTCCTCGTAATTTGCAACCAATGATAACAAAAGCATGTTTTTTGTTGAAAACGTTTTATTTAATTGTATTATTTTTGAGGGTGCCGCGCTGTCTGGACAACCTCTAGCGTGTTTACACTACCGTTTAACTATATTATAAAGTGTAAATATGAGCTGGATTATAATCAAAGTATAATTGAAGACGCGCATCGCTACTGGTTATTAATATGTGAATCGCCAAGCAAATCGGAAATGTAATGTGACTACTGTAACAAAGTGCTTTTTGTTTTTGGCGACTCTGATATCAATAAGACATTTATCAGCTGACATTTTACAAATTTCGTTAAACGCATTTTTTTCTGTTTGTTAGTAAACTGAACAAATAATTAGTTCGAATGCATTTAAATAATTATATATATAAGGAACAACAAAAAATATTACCAAAAGCGGATTGTTTCACAATTACCCAGTGTGATGCATATTTTTCCATCATGATTCAATCATAAAACATCGTTTCACTCTTTAAATTTGATTAAATAAATTGTTGACATAACGTTGTTTATTAGATTTTTTCGGTTCCGTCATGTCTTAAGTGATGTGAACATATATTTTAATATTTCTACTCCCATCTTTAAGCACCTGCGCAGGTGCAGTACGAGACTATATGTGCTGCGCGCCGAGACACAAGCAACTCCCAAGTATTTATAACCTTCATAACTCAGAAGTGCGAAGTTCGTTCGAGGATTTAAAATACAAATACTCTAATAAAATCTGAAACGTGAAAATAGAAAAAAATAACGTAAGCATCACGTCGTTCAACATTATTGAACACTTTGTAAACAATCTCGTGGTTAACGTGTCGTATAGTGTGGTATTCTATATTTTGCTTCCACCTTTAAAGCGCCACTTTTTACATGACTTTGTGACCGATAAAGTGCCCCTCGGGTAAAGGATTTGCCTATAGTGTAATACAAGGATATATTGAACAACAATAGTTTTACGAGAGGGTGAGTATTAATAATAAGTAAAAGTAAACACTGTACTGTACGCTATACCATCACAAGTATCGTTATGAAAACGATGCTTTATTAAAACCATTGCAAATCAATGCGGTGCTGTAGAGTTTGCCGTATGTAATAGTATATTAAGTATCTAACGGGGCTTTACTCCATTGTTAGTTGCTTAACAACGTTTAGCCACGTTATGCTTTCTAATTTTTTCTACTTCCACTCTATTTCCACGTTTGTATTTTAAATCTTTGAAATTTGCTCTTACACTATGGGGAAATGTAAGGTTATTAAGGCCACGCCATTTTGCCAATACTAATACCATTTTGAATAAAGTACTTTACTCACGGCTTGGCCGTCCTTATATAAAGTATCACTTTTTGCATCTAAAAACCATGGAAAAACTGACGCTTTATAGGTGGAAGTAGAAAAAACATATTGATGATTTTTTTTTATATTTGAGGAATATAGCTAATGATAGTTTGTTATTACAAATTCTTTTTCACAGTAGCACAAATGGTTAATTCTGGCAATTCTAACTAAAACATTGAATTAATGTTGCATTTAATAGGCATGGAAACGCTTCACACACCAAACAAAAGAGGTGCTGCTGCGCTTGTATAGCAAACACATACAATCCGAAACGACTTGCACCGTGCCACTTTTTGTATTGTAATTGTTAATTACATTAATCATATCTTATTGTTTAAATATTCAAAAATCTAAAATTTGTGGATGTGATTATTGGCTGAACAGATTCATTGAACCTACTAGTTTTGGACAAATTTCCGCAAAATTTACGATATTGTTTAGATGAAGTAACTTATTTCAATGTAAATTATTATAATGCGTTCTAAAACAAATCCCAATATAGCCAGTGAAATACCAAAGAACCAAAATATAAACGCAGCTCGTAAATGTTTTACGTTTAACTCGGTGAGTGCAACATCAAATGACACGCGATAGTTTACTCTTTCTCCTGAAGGCACGTATCGGTAAACCCTAAGCATAAATTCCCACTCCCAACGAATATGTAACCCTGCTGCCTTGCATAGTAACATAAAATAATTTAGTTTCGGCACTAGATGAACATGTGCTGTATTATTTGATACCAATTTATATTTTGAATAAATACGTGAAAATGATTCATCCATTTCCATTAAGTCATAGGACAACAATTTCCATACTGCAACAAGCACGAAAATACTCGTCATCTAGTGCTTATTATGGGACAAAAATTATTACTTTTATTTTCCGTACGCCTGATTGTTGAAGCTGTATAATTTACATCTTTAATATTGTTACGTTTTGCATCACGGGCCTTTGAGAATATTATGTGTTCCAATTGCTGCAAAATTTAATCAAAAATAGTCATTTATGTATGTATGTATTCAGCTTACGGTCATTTCATCCTCCTTTATATTTGCATATCTGTGCCCAAAGCTAAATATGAAATATAAGTTTGAATGTGCTAAATCCTCCATAGTTATAACCAATCTTTCATAGCTAAAACAAACATTTAGGTTCGAAACTGTACTGGCACAAATCAATACCTTGGATAAATCATTTTGCTGACAATTCCCGATGAAAACAAAGATCCGTAAAGAAGTCCCAAAATTAATAATAATGCAAGAACCATCTGCGCCATTAATTTGATTGGAATCTCGTTATTACTAAATGGTTGCATAACGAAGTATGAACACACAGTTGTAAATTTAGGGACTGGTTCATTTCTGAAATTAATTACAATAATGTAAAAATAAATTCACTTTCTTTTTACATTGCTTATCTACTTTTTAAGTTTTTTTAAAAAGTAAAAATATATCCCAATACATAAATAAGAAGTAATAATCAGTATCCATAAACTTGGTTTAAACACTTTAATCAATTGCAACCAATGATTATACATCCTTAAAATTATTAAATAAAATTAATCCTTTTCACAATCATATTTCATAAAAATATACAAACTTTGGTTTTGGAACTAAAAACGACATTTCAAGTCCTGTCATTGGATATGAATAAATACTTCCATTGTCGTAGGATCCTGTATCAGTAACTTTAAAAATGGAATTTAGCTTAAGACTCATTTTAGGCGGGGAATTATCAATTATAAAATTATTTGCTGTAGCAAATTCCTTAAGTACATGATAGTCGCTTCCTCCGTAAGTGTTGCCGCCCCATCCTGTTTTTTTATAAATAGGATTAACTAAGTCGTAATTTAAGAAAAACGGTTTGTTTTTATAAAATTTCCATACGCCATGGAAGAAATGTTCAATACTGCGAATCGGTGACAAAAATCGTCTAGTTTTAATACACCAACGATTCAATATAACGGCCTGGGTAACTTCCCAATCTTCAAAAGCAGCGATTGTAAAAGAATCATTTTCTTTATATATAAATATTGCATCGACCGAGCATGCTCTCTGTGCGTATTGTTTGATGTTATTCGTTTCAAGTAAATAAATAACTTTAAATCTGTAGTCACCATTTTTTAACAAACACTGATCAATCCAAGATGGTTCCTGATATTTTGGATCTTCAATAATGTAATGGAAACATCCCGGAATGCAATGTGGTGGATTCACAACAACTGAGAATTGAGACTTAAACCAGATAGGCATTTGAATGTTTGTGGAGTTTAGATTAGAAGTTGATAAAATTACACATTGAGCGTTTAGAAAATGAGTTTGAATAATTAAATTCAAAAGAAAGTGTATTGCTGGTTCTGCTGGTAAAATATCCATTTTTAACTGAAGAGCACAGTAATACAACTATCAAATTGTAATAAATGTTTTAATATGTTTATTTCATTAGGATTTTTCTTAAAATGCTTAGCTTTTACTACTTGTTGGCAAAATATGTTTTACTATTTGTCCTTTATTAGGTATTGAGCGTCGGTGTTCAATATAAATACTGTTACACGTATGCCACATTATAGGAACACATACGCATTTAATGTAAAACTAAGGTAAAAATATCAAATAAAGTTGGTAATTTATTTTTTGTGTCATTTTATATAAGTATATGAAAACAAACGTACGTAATGCAACAAGAAAATAACAAAAAGTAGTAGTACATAATTAACTTTTGATGAGTTTCAAGACAGTTTTATTTTCCAGTTTCATACTCAGCGCTGAAATGTCTGATAAGTATAATTGTCACACTTAGCAAATTTGCGAAATAGATACTTAGGTCACAGATTAAGTGACTTAAGATACAGGTACATGCGTTTTTTGGAGTTTTGATGTTTTGCAATGTACATTCTTAAATAATGGTGTTTATATGGGGTATTCCATGCCAAATTCACCACTTTTGAACCCGTCCTCTTTTGATTTAGCTGTATAGTATACCTATTCTCTCCTAACCATATGCATAAATATTTTTAAATATGTATGAATTTTAAGTATTTTTGGGGAAATAAATGTTTAAATTCTTCTTCTTCTTTTCTTCTTCTTTTAATAATAAACAAAAACAGCAAAATATTTCAAAATTCTAAATGATCAGTTAGACCTTTAATTTAGTCCCAAGACATTTCTTCGTTTCTTCATTATCATCAAGCTTTCACGCTCGTATATCATTTATACGAGTACAATTATTTAATTCGATTTTTTTCATGGTTAGTGTTTCTCTGGACTAATTTAGATCTGAATACGGCGATATCGTATAAATTGCATTATTATTATTGCATAATTATAATAACATTGCCGCTAACAGGAAACGTTTATTGGTAATCTTGCTAAAATGTAGTTGGTACATTTATTTATTTACTTATATACATTACCCAACGCATTCAACTCGTTAGTAATGATAATTTGAGTTTTTGTAATAAAATTTTATTAGATCATTGCTTCAAACGTTATTGACCACTGTATAAGGTAATAAAATTGGCAATTGCTCGTTATCCCTTAATAAATATAGTGTTACTTACCGCCAAGTTATAGTATTTTGAAATTGTACGGCCTACTTTATGTATGTGACAATTATAATTCACCACAAATAAGGCATACCTTTCTTGACAATGTATAGCGCAATGGACCTTCTGGTTGAAACCAATTTAAATATTCTCTTAAAGTTAATTATACATACAAATTTTCAAAATGCTAAATGTGTTATTCAAACAATTCCAAATCAAAATTTTACTACTCTACAAGTTCCTGTTCTGTTTGATACACACTTTTCATCTGTGGTCAACCCGCAACATTGCATTCCCGGTTGTTCGCATTATATTTTGCATGATCCTAATTGTGAGAAATCATCCTGGTTTAATACATGTTTACTACAAAATGGCTACCACTTTAAAGCAATATTTTTCCTGGAAAACCAAAGCATGGATAGATATGCCAGAAAAGCATACGCGGCTAATGCAATATTTATATCTAGAGAAAAAGATGATTTTATAATAAAGGCATTTAAAGATTGGGAAGTTACACAGGATATTGTATTAAATCGTTGGTGTATTGAAACGGGAAAGTTTCTGCTATCACAATACAATATTAGTGATTTTTTTTACGGGAGATGGAAATATAATGGCAATATTATAGTATTGCCATATAGGTCAGACGTCCCAATGTATCAAAAATCTTCGTTTGGCGATGATATCCCCTCTGGAAGCGACTATAATATCCTGAAGGAATTTGCAATTGCAAACAAATTTACTATAGATAACTCATCGGCCCATGATTCAGAGAATAAAGAAATGTTTATAGTTACAGACAATGGAATATACAAAAATGGAAGCATTTATTCATATCCAATGACAGGAATTGAACTGACGTTTATAGTTCCAATACCAAAGTATATAGATAGAAAATAAAATTTAAAAAAAACATTTAAATCATTTTATATTTTAGGATGTATAATCATTGGTTGCAATTGCTAAAAGTGTTCGATCTAAATTTATGGATATTAATAATTCTTTCTTATCTATCTATTGGCGTATATTTTTGGATTTTGGAAGAAATTGGAAGGTAAGCAATGCATACGATTCGGATATTTTTGGTATAGGTATATATATTTCGATTTCAGCAATGAACCGATTCCACGGTTTTCTTCGATTCTTTCATATTTTGTAATGCAGCCGTTTAATGAGATGGAAGTTCCAAGCACACTAAGATCAAAATTAGTATTTGCATTTCTATTAATTTTAGGACTATTGCATGGTTCTCTGTTTTCTTCGGAAATTGTCAGCAAAATGATTTATCCGGCGTAGCGGTTTTTACAAATAATATAAAATAGGTATAATATGTATTTATTTTAGGTATGAGAGATTAATAATCACCCTAGAAGATTTGGCGAATACTAATTTATATACCTATATTGATTATGATCATGCTAAATTTTTGAACATTTCGGAGGATGCCATGACAGTATGTTCTTATGTTACTAACTCTTCGTTGAGCAATTTTCAACTAACTTATATTTTACTCATAGCAATTCGAACGCTTAATATTTGCTAAGGATCGCAAGGCCAAATACGATACAGATCGTGATGAAGTCGCGGTAACAGTACAGCGTACAGAAAATAAAAGTAAAGTTATACACTTATGCACATATATTCAAAGAGAATTATTTTATGAATAATTATTTTATCACAGTTTGGAAGATTCTTTCGGGTTCTTACATGGAATTAACGGAGTCGTTTTTTTGCATGTATTCAAAATATCAATTGGTTTCAAATAATACTGCATATGTTCATTTAATACCGAAACTCAATAATTTTATGCTACTGTGCAAAGCAGCTGGATTGCATCGTCGATGGGAGTGGGAATTTACTTTACACATTTATCGCTTCGTTTCGTCGGAAAGCAGAGTTGAGTATCGTGTGTCTTTCGATGTCGCTCTTACAAAATTAAAATTAAAACATGTACGTGCTGCGTTTTTCTTTTGGAGCGTTGGTATTACTGTATCCATTCTCGGTTTTACAATGGAACATCTGAAAAATATGTTTATGTCAAAAGTTCAGTATGTATAGATCACAAGTTTGGTCACACCAGTGTGGAAAAATCGTTTTATGATCTTATAACCAATGTAACGTAACTTAAGTAAATGTGACTTAAGTGAAAGTTAGGTTGTGTCGTTGTGTGTACTAGTATGTAGTGCAAGTTTTTCTAGATTTCTCATAATTTATATTTACATCCTCAGATAATTGAAGAAAATTTGATGTTTTTAAAATTTTAAAATTAACGAAAATTTTAGTTTATTTGCTCTGAGTTTATTCCCAGATATTTCAAAACTTTAGGTGGAAAACGTCACATCTCGCAAACCCTTCGTGATATTTTTATTTTTTCCTTGAAATTTATTTTGCGCAAGAATGGTTTTGGATGATGCATTTCTTACTTTCCGCAATATTTTGTTGTAACTATTTTCAAATTGCCGCCACACTTTGCCCTTTATTCGCAATTTTCAAAACTTTTGGTGGAAAACGACTCATATCTAGCGAACCCTTTGCGATATTTTTATTTCTTCTTTCAAATTTAATAGCGCAAAAATGGTTTTTGACGATGCACTCTTTATTTTCCACAAAATTCCGCCCTAACTGTCGTAAAATGTCCGCCAAACTTTGCATTTTTTGCATTTTTTAAAATGGAAAACGGCTGATCTTTCGCAAAACCTATGTAATATTTCATTCTGCACCTTTACCTATCGGTATACAGTGGTTGTCAGTTTTTTTTGTTATAACATGAGTTGTCATATATTTATTGTTTGTTTATTATAATAAACATAATTTATTTGCATATAATTTGAATTGGGGCACGAGATCTTATGGTTTCAATAGGTGTATGTGACATTACTTATGGTATTTCTTTGATTTTATATTATAATACATTTTGTACCGTCGCAAGCGGCCACATAGTTTCAATATGTAATAGGATATGGCATATCCATGGTATATGGTATATCCTCAATTTTACTAATAAATTTTATTGTGCTAGAGTAGGACAGTAGTGATGTTCACTATCAATGTTCTATATATAATTTTGCCGATTGTTTTAAAAACTTTTTAATGCAATTTTGCACGCGAAATTCCAATAAACAAGTTTTATAGTCGCATTAATTGAATTGGCCATCCTGCATGCGATTTTGTCTCTTGCAAATAGTGCGCGTGTATGTATTTCGGCGTGCGCGCAGAACCACTGCGAGGTGTTCTCAACGCAGTTTGGGCCGGTCGTTGGTTGGGTCAGGCGTGTTTCTCGCGGTTGTTATCATTTAATTTTGAGTTTGTAATTTGGTAAATCGCGTTTTATTTCGATTATTCATCGGCTACATTGAGCCATTACTGACGTGTTTAGTGTTTAATTACAAAATCAGCAATTTTCTTTGCATTCGTTGCAAGATGTCCACGTGTTATCAACTTGTTTACACTGCACGTTCGCAAGATACAGGTAGCATGCAACGTTTGTTGTTATATTATTTGGACATTGGATTGGAACATGGACAATGTTCTGCGTGGAAGCGAAGAAAGTGCTAATTTTTGGTGGTTTTAGGTGCCTAGTGGGCGAACGAAATATCCTAGGGCAACGATTCTCTTATCAGATTGTATGTATTGAATTTGTTTATCATTTTCTTATATATTTTGAATGACTAGCATAGGAGAAACCTGCAAAAAATTCATTTTGGTGTTTTGATGTGCTAATTTTTGGTTGTTTTAGGTGTCTAGTGGGCGAACAAAATATTCGGGGGCAACGATTCTTTTATCGGATTGTAAGTTTAAATTTGTTTATCATTTTCATATATAATTTGTTATGATTAGCATAGGAGAAACCTGCAAAAACATAATTTTGCTGGTTTTTGGTGTCTAGCGGGCAAACGAAATGTCCTAGGGCAATGATTCTTTCTTCAGATTGTAAGTATTGAATTTGTTTATCATTTTCGTAAATAATTTGTGTGATTAACACAAGGTAAACCCGCAAACATGTAATTTTTATGTTACGTTGTGCTAATTTTTGGTAGTTTTAGGTATCTAGCGGGCGAACGAAATGTTATAGGGTAACGATTCTTTTTTCAGATTGTAAGTATTAAATTTGTTTATCATTTTCATATATAATTTGTATGATTAGCTTAGCGGAAACCTGCAAAAACGTCATTTTTGTGTTACAATATGCAATATTTTGGTTCTTTTCGATGTCCAGCGGGTAAACGAAATAGCCTAGAACAGCGATTCTTTCATCAGATTGTAAGTATTGAATTTGTATATCATTTTCATAAGTAATTTGTGTGATTAGCACACGGGAAACCTGCAAAAATGTCATTTTTGTGCTTCGATGTCCTATTTTGTTGTTTTAGGTGTCTAGCAGGCGAACAGAATGTCGTACGACAACGATTCTTTTACCAGATTGTAAGTATTGAATTTGTATATCATTTTCATAAGTAATTTGTGTAATTAGCACACGGGAAATCTGCAAAAATGTCATTTTGCATTCGCGTTGGACGCTTACGCGCTGTGAGCGTGCTTACATGTCATTTTCATCGTTCGACTTGGCGCTGTGAGTGTCACATAAGTACGCTCATGGCTGAGTTCGTAGCACAGACTTCGCGCTCATTTATGCTCACGCCACAGAGGTAGGGCAGCGAAAGCGTGAGCGCCAATTTTTATTATCTGTCAAAACGAATGCAACTTGAGCATAAGCTAACCAAAAAATTTCATTTATTTCTAAATTGTTAAATTCTTTACAATCCCGCAAAAATGGCAAGCAGTCAACCAAAATTAATTTCTGTTGAGCTAACTGATCCAGAAAGTAATAAAATTTACACAATTGTTGTTACGGACCGTGAATATGAGCGACTACAATCAGGTATATATATAAAATTATAAATTAAAAGGAAAAATATTCAAGTTTTTTATTACGTTTGGTTAAGGATGAAGTTTTGTTTCTACTTTGTTCGTTTCTTTCAAAATATAAGTAATATTTTTTATAATACCGATACGAATCTGGAGTAGCCATTTTCCATAAAGCGATGAATAACTGTTTGTCTGGTGATATCATTTCACATCCTGGGGTTTTTCTCATTAACGATGGTTTAATTTTTTCACGAACAAAATCAAATGTTGATCGAAACACCCTAAAGTTTAAAAAAAAATTATTTACGTGTGATTAATACAATTCAAAATTAAACTGAAGGGCTAAGATAATTTTGTGTTAACTAAATCCTTAAATTGTAATACATATTTACCTAAAATGAGATTTGAATTCTGTATCAGAAAATGCTGGTATAACCTCTGCAACAAAGTTTTTAATTCTTGGTATAGGTTCTTTTTTGAAAGATAAATTCAAATGAGTATTACAATACTCCCATTCCATGTCATTATCACTATCTTCAAGTTGTTTACCATTGTCAAAGTTCAACACTTCTGTTTAATACTAGGGAAAGCTTAGAAACTGCTATTTGTTAATTAAAAACCTTTTTGCCATTAATTTTTTTGTAAACTTCACCTCATAACTTGATAACATGCAATATATTTGTAGTCACATTTCTGTTGTATACAAATAGAAGAATACCCCTCCAACTGCGGGTCTGTTATCAATTCTCTGGCTTGCATAGTTCGGCTAGTCGGTTGAGCGCTGTTGCGTGGTGCGCACGTGTTTTCTTTATTAATCAAACATGGTGACGAATTCTTGCGTTTCTTGATATTTTGTAGCATTACTACAATCGATTGACAATCAGAGGCATTTAGTTGGAACAGCCCAGTGTAGCGCATAACGAATGATTTGAGTGATTCTTAGCGGTGCGCGCGTGGAATCCGTCGGATATGTTCCGGTGACTATGGATACAAGTGATTGTATCCAAGTACAAGTGAGTACATTTGGAATCCCCGCGAGGAACAGTAAAGAAGTGCGTATCATCAATTCTACATACTATTTGCGGAAACGTGTTTGTACGCTTTAGTCCATTGATAGACGAACAAAGGAGTAAGTAGCATGAAATAAAACTTAACTTAACTTTAACTTTTCAAATCCTACAGTTACCTTGTTATTGCTTTATAACAATTGTAAATGTTCAGTCAATAAAGAATATTTTAAAGGAAATTTTACATTCTAGTAAACAATGTATCCCTAGCGATCACTTAGTCGTTTTCAGAATTAGTATTAAGTCATGTTGTACTCTAAGAGTATACCATTGTATAGCATAGTAAAGTACAGTGTAGTGTATTTATACTGTTGTTTTATTTTACTCTAAGATATGAAAACATAAATAGAAGAAACCAATAAGATTTGATAAGAAAGCCGTGTGGCTCTCGGGTGTGCAGCACGTGTTGCTATATCGTAGATCGATGGTTCGATCCCCAGTTATATAAGGCATTTTTCTCAAATATAAAAATATCAGGTGTAATCTGGGTTGCATATGTAAACTCAAATAAAATATAAGAGAAATTGCAATACAAGTGAAGGCAATAAGAGAGGTAAGAAAAGTAAGTAAGTTGAGAAACGGAGAACAGTTGGAATAGGAGGCGTAAAAGAGGTAGGAAGGAATAGAAGGAAGAGAACAGAGTAGAGAAGAGGGAAGAAAAAGAACAGGAGTGGATCAGATTTTTAAATTTTTTGGCGGCGTATCGTTAGACAGTCTCACTACTTCGATGCGTCCATTGCTCCCGGCCCAACCTACAGCTACGATGTCTCTGCGCTTCATCCCCAGGATTCTTAGGCATATCAACAATTTTTATGGTGGGGGATCACCCCCCAGAGAGAGGGAATTCCTTATAAGGACAATCCTTATGAGGACTTGTAAAAATATTTCTAAGTTTTAAGTCGTCTCAAGACAAGCGACACTTAAAAATATTTTTACAAGTTCTAACCTGTACCTAAAATGATAGAAGGGGTCACACAAATCATAGGAAGCACAGTCACTTTTAACATTTCTTTATTGGAACATGTATACAATGAAAACTTGAAAAATATAATGCTAAACAATATATGCGCCGCCATTTTGAATCTAGTTATAAGAGCAGTATAGCCACGTACATGCAGACAAGTACCAAGGGTAAAAAATAACAAAGAAAAGCATATAATACTAACCAATTATGCATAATTTTCGCGAGAATTAGAAAAAACTATTATACAGAATAGATGCAATATAATAACATTTAAAAAGGAAATGCAAAAATCAAGTAATTTATATCTAAAATCACAGTCAAAATAAAATCAAAGGAAATTAAGATACAGAGTGATGTAAAGAGAAAGCGACAAAATGTTAAAGGAAAATCCTAAGTTTAAGTGGTATGACACATATCTTTCTTACCTTTGACAAACCCATTACGGGAAATTATAATACAGGGTGATACAAAAAGAAAACTATAATATTTTAAAAGAAAATCCTAAGTTTAAGTAGGATAACATATATCTTTCCCCTTTTGACAAACTCACTAAGGGTGATTAATATACAGGGTGATACAAAAAGGAAACTACAATATTTTAAAAGAAAATCTTAAGTTTAAGTAGCACAACATATATCTTTCCCCTTGTGACAATGCACGTCTATGCCCTGGGGGGGAAGCTACGAATCGCACAAAGAGGAGAGGGTGATAATAGAAAACATTATATTTGTGTGCTCCTTTTCTGTTATGTTCTATGTTAGTTTCCTTTTAGTGTCGTTTAGTGTTTAGTGTTCTCTAAAGAAGCTTTCACTTCAAAAAGTATCCTAGTAACCTTCTCCAAACCAGTCAACCAGTCAACTTCAACCCACACGTACACACATACACACGTCTATGCTTAGGGGGGAAGCTACGAAGCATCGCACAAAGAGGAGACGGGGATAATAGAAAACTTTGTATTTGCGTTCTCTTATTCTCCCGCAAGATAATCCATATACGCAAATATGTTTGTCTCTTTTTAGTGTCGTTTAGTGCCTTTTTAGAAAAGTTTTCACTTCAAAAAGTATCCCATTACCTTCTCCTGGCCCTAAGCTACCTCTCTTTTAGCTAAATTGGATTAGCCGTTCTTTAATTATAATGGAGTTAACCAACACGACTTTCTTTTATATATATATAGATCATGTAAAACAACCTGCGACCAGCCCGGAAAGCCGCCAGAGGATCAAGAACGCAGCCGACGGCACGCGACTATCTTAATCTTTTTAATTTGTACATCAAACAAAAACAAAACAAAAAATCAAATACGTAATGCATATCAACGGTATTGAAACAGGGACAAAAATTATTTGTGTGGTTAAAGACCACGCAGTTGAAGTAAAAACAAGTAAAGGCAATAATGGATTTGATTTTCAAATGGCTTAAGAAATGCGATAACATACCTTGATGCAAAATTAATTTTTGCGCTTTTGGCCTATCCAATAAATTATAAGGACCTTAAGTATGCATATTGTAGAAATGATTAAATACGCAAATCATAGAGAAAGAGTATCCGACGGCCGACGGAACATCATTCACGTTTTACCTCTGCGTATAAACAATTCGCACTTAACGAACGACGCACATCGAAATATTACGTAATGACGCGAAGAAATTAAGAAACTCAAATTATTGTGAAGAAAATGTGCGTGCAGATTACCCGACTACAAACATGAGACTGATGTGGTAGGCAAGTGTGTGGCGACCGCACAAAAATTACACGAGATAAGAAAACTTGTTTGTTTGTAAACACATACATTCAGTGTGGTAATGTAGAACATGAAAAGAATTGTACTCGTACAATGCATGGAACTTTTAATTTCGATTAAATTATGGACACCAGTAACAAAATTATAGATTAAAGCACTATTGGCGTGTAAACACCTATTTTTATTAAATTAAAATTGCAAATAGGCCTTTTGCTTTTTTTATGACTAAATATTTTATTTTAACAAATACAGATTCTGTAATAATTAGAATTTTTAATTCTGTTTTTGGTTTTTGAGAGTATATTAAATTCTAAATCGGAAACAGTAGAAATTGTAGATTAAAGCCATTTTGGCAGGTAAAAATATTTTTTTTAATAAAGTTGCAAATAGGGCCTAAACCGTCAATGATAAAAAAATAATTACCTATATAATCAATTAAGAATTAAATTATATTTCAAAATCCAAAAACAAAATTTAAAAATTCCAATTATTTCAAAAGCTGCACTTGCTGAAAAGATTTTATCATAAAATAGGCAAAGGATTTTTCTTTCTTATATTAAAAATTCTATCTAATAGTTGTGGGTAGTGGGTTTTGAGGGAAAAGGCCGTCAACGAACTAAGAACGCAACCGACGGCACACGATAATCTTATCTTTTTAATTTGTTCATTAAACGAAAACGAAACAATGTATCGAATACGTATTGCAAGTCAACGGTAGGTATTGAAACAGAGACAACAATTATTTGTGTGTTTTTAAAGACCAAGCGGTTGAAGTAAAAACAAGTTAAGTCAATAATGGATTTGATTTTTATATGGCTGAAGAAATGCGAGAACATACCTTGATGCAAAATAAATTTTTGCGCGTTTGGCATATCCTAAGAAAATACGAAATAAATATGAAATACGCGTATGATACAAAAAGAGTATCCGACGGCCGACGGAACATTACTCACGCTTTACCTCTGCGTGTGTACAATCCGCGCTACGAACGCCGCACATCACTCACGCACAATCGAAGGAGCATTTAGAAACAGTACGCCATAACGCGGCAAAAAATTAAGGAACTCAAAATATTTTAAAGAAAATGTGAGTCCAGATCAGCTGACGACAAAAATGAGACTAACGTGGTACGCATGCCAACCGCGTGGCGACCGAACAAAACTGCAGGAGATAAAGAAACTTGTTTGTTTGTAAACACTGATACTTTCAGTGTGGTAGTGCAGAACATAAGAAAAATTGTATTCGTACAATTAAAAAAAATTATAATTCTGATAGATAATAATAATCAATTTGTTTACGAGATACAGGGTGTTCTCCACACTATGTTTTCAAATTCTACATCGTTTATTTTAGTTACTTTTTTTGCTAACTTTAACCGTTCAGACCCTATTTACAATTTCAGAGAAAAATGCATTCGTTTTTCGTAGACCTTTTTGTTCTTGTCATAATCGCTTAAAAATTCAACCCTGTTCTTTGACCGAAAAATATTTTAACACCATAGTTCGACCCTGTCCATTGACCAAAAAAAAATTAAGTAAAAAAGTTCGACCCTGTTTTTCGTCAAAAAAAAATTTGAACATAAAAAATCGACCGAAAAAATTTTATGAAAAAAGTTCGACCCTGTTCTTCGACCGAAAAATATTTATTATAAAAAGTTCGACCCTGTTATTCGACCAAAAACTTAAATTTATTGGACAAAAATAGCGATATTCGAATGGGATTTTAAGACACTTCCAAGGGGTTTATAGGGTTAAAAATGTGTGCATAGTGTAAACGGTCTCTCGAACTTTAACATGACATTGATAAACTTCAAGAAAATCAATTAGTTCACGTGATACAAGGTGTTTTCCACAGCATGTTTTCAAATCTTCATAAAATTGCTCATTTTTGAAGAGCATTTTAGGACACTTCCAAAAGGGCTGGAAAGTATAAAGGGTATGCATTGCGTAAACAAACTCCCTGACTCTCTTCTGGCGTAGAGAAACTAGAAGATAGTCAATTTGTTTACGAGATACAGGCTGTTTTCCACACTATGTTTTCGAATTTTTCTAAAATTGCTCACTTTTGACGGGCATTTTAGGTTACTTCCAAAAGGACTGGAAGGTTGAAAAGGTATGCATCGTGTAGACAAACTCCCTGACTCTATTCCGGCGTGGAGAAACTCCAAGAAAGTTAATTAGTTTCGGAGATACAAGATGATTTCTGCCCCATCTTTTCAAATTTGCCTAAAAATGCTGATTTTTGAAGAGCTTTTTAAAGCACTTCCGAAAGGGCTGGAATGTTGAAAGGGAATTCATCGAGTAGAGGAACTTTTCGACTCTATTCTGGCGTAGAGAAACCCAAAAAAAGTCAATTAGTTCACTAGATACAGGGTGTTTTCCACACCATGTTTTCAAAATTTCCTAAAATTGCTCATTTTTGAAGGGCATTTTAGGGCATTTCCGGAAGAGTTGAAAGGTTTGAGGGTATACATCGTGTAGATAAACTCTCGAACTCTATTATGATAAAAAGAAACTTCAAGAAAGTCTACTAGTTCATGAGATACAGGGTGCTTTCCACAGCATGTTTTAATTTTCTTTTAAAAACAGCTAGTTTTGAAGGGCATTTGAAGGGAAGAGTTGAAAGATTGGAGGGTATACATCGTGTAGATAAACTCTCGAACTCTATTATGATAAAAAGAAACTTCAAGAAAGTCTACTAGTTCATGAGATACAGGGTGTTTTCCACAGCATGTTTTAATTTTCTTTTAAAAACAGCTAGTTTTGAAGGGCATTTTAGGGTATTTCCAGCCGGGTTATAGGGTTGGAATAGGGTGTATCATATAGATAAATTCTCGAACTCTAATATGACGTTAAGACACTTCTAAATTCTAAATTTATTAGTTCACTACATGCAGGTTGTATTCCACACCATGTTTTTAAGTTTTTTTTTAAACATTTTAAGGCACTTCCAGAATGGTTAGAGGGTGGATTAGGTATGCATAATGTTGAGTCACTTTCGAGCTCTAATGTTACAGTGGGAAACTTAAAAAAAGTCAATTTATTCACAAGTTAGAGTGTGTTTTCCACACTATATTTTCAAATTTTTTGAAAACTGTCAACTTTTAAGAGCATTTTAGGACACTTTCGAAAGGGCTAGAGGGCTGGAAGAAAGATAGGGCAGATACCCAATCAAAGTAAATAGAAAAATAAAACAAATTATTTCAATTCTGGTTGAAAGATCAATAAAAATTATAAACTGGTTGTTAAAATCGGGAAATTACTAATTTACCAAAGAAAATACCTAGTTAAAAAATCAACACTCGGAAATAAGAAATCAGTTCAATACTTAAAGGGAAATCAAGGAAAACGAATAAACAGGGTGAAGTCACCCTTGGCTCCGGCGCCCTCTAGCGGCGAATCGGCTACGAGCACCGCCGACTAGACCGCGCTAAGGACGCTCAACTAGAGATCCTAGAGTGCTAGGATCCTAGGGAGCTGTCCTCATGACAAGCGGCAGCCCACAATGACACTCGTGCTTCCGACCTGGCCAAGCAACCACACATTACGAGCCAGCTCGCCTCTCAGAACAGCGACACTCTCACCAGACTACCAATACCCAAGCCCCTCACCACCGCTGACAGACAACCTACGCATCACAGGGTGTTACAAAAAATCACAACATTAATAAAAAAATATAACTATATTTTGAATTAAGCAGAAGAAAAATTCAAAATGTGCCGGCTGATGTCATCTCCGACACACACGTAGAAGTAAATTTAAAGCGAATTTTACACATATATTACTTTTAACAATTAATTGTTCAATTACAAAACCTGTTAGCGTGACTGCAGAATTAGGAAATCAAAAGAGCTGGACAAATAAGTGCAATTAAAGCCACGATCGACATGGAATAAAATATAATCTGCAGCGAGTCTCAAAACGCATCCGACGGCAAGTACGTGTTCTACAACTCGCACTATGCTGCACACTTACTTAACTCCGTTCCTTTGGATAACGTACTTGAAAGACCAGCGCTATTTTAACTATTTCCGTAAAATCGGAATTATCAAAAGGACACATATTTCCAATTCTCAGCATCGAAATAATTCATTAGCCGTCGAAACACTAATGCAGAGGTAAACACACGAGATTTATAATTATTTCACATGTAACTTGTCTTCATCAAAACGCTGACACGTCTATTGACATTAACTGCCGATATTAATTGATAAAATGTAATGCAATTAATTTAATCAAAGTGAATGAAAGAAAGGTGCCGCGCCGGATGCATATGTGAACAGACTGAAACGTTCGTGTCTTCGTAAGGATGAGTGCAGCAAGAAGCTAGCAGGCTTGCGCCTGCGCATATACCTACGGCGCAGCACATGGCCAAATGAAATACCATGCGCCGTCAGTCAAACCTCCCATTATACGCTGCTGTTGCTCGTGTCGGCGCGGCGCGACGAGACTCGAGACCGTGCTACATGGCATTGATAACACTACATTTTCCAGTAGTGTGCAAACGAAGTTAGAAGTTTGACAATGCAAAAGTTCAACTACAAAAACCTCAACGTGAGAACTCTCGATTGATTAAACGCTCGCTACGCTCCCTCTCAACAATCTCGTGAATAAAACTCCCGTTTAGCCACTTGATATTTAATGTACTATTCGCAATTTGAACGCCTATTTTTCTATTTCCACTATAGGTTTTTGAACTGTATTTTAAAACAACAAACTTCGACAGATCGACAAGTTAATATATACTTATTTCGCTATTTTATGCAGTTTTATTTTATATTTATTAAACGTTTACATGCGCTTTTCTGTCCTTGTTCTTCATACTGCAAATAGTAATGGTAAATTATTATTAATTCTTGGTTTTATTATTCACATAAATCAATACAGACGATTTATCAAGATATAGTACATATTTTTTAAATATATTGATGTGGATTCACAATTACAACATATATTAATATAATATTAGCTACAATTATAAGTTGTATAATAGTGTAGTTTCTTGCATTTTGCCATTCATCTTGGTAAGCTACATATATTTAATTTGTTTTTGCGACTATTCTTAACTAATGACTAGAATACTGATAAAATTAAGTCTTTTCTTTTTAATAGATGAGTTGAAGGTGAGTATGCAAAGCACAATATTCGTATCGGGAGAATTTGGAATCTTTTGCTTAATTAATTACTCTATAACTATCTTGAGTTTGTCGAATGTTTCTGTTTATGATGTCCAGTAATTATACTTACGAGTTTGTCGCTTATGTGTGGACACCAATTTAAAATTACAAACTTTGCCGCTTCATATCTACTTCAGAATATTACTATTTCATAATACTTCTTTAAATAGTTTGTGTCACATTATATAACTAAATACAACTTTTAATAAACCCATGAGTAATTGTTTTGCGTACTAAATACTTTACTATTGTGTAAATTGCCTGCCATTGTGACTTCTACAAAGCTAATTTCGTTAATACAATATTCCAATATATTGCAGTTACATTCGCAAGCTACCAAGAACTAATTGCAACTGAATTCACTCATATTTTGCACGATAATACTAATTGTCATGCTCGTGACTTTGTAAGTACATTTTTCGTTTTCATATAAAAACACTGAGGTATAAAAAAGTTACAAAATTCGTCAAAAATGTATAAAACTATATAGAAATATTTTTCTTCCTATTATTTTGTATGTTTGAATGATTCTCAAAATCGGCAGGCTATATATTAGCGCTCAGTTCCAGCTATTTTGTGCTCCCAGATGTTCATCACTTCTATTATCTTATTAGTTTGTGCATATGCAATAACTTAAAACTAAACACAGCTTCAAAAATTTGTGGCAAATCAAGTGATCACTGAGTAAATTTGTGTAGTAAGAATCTTCAAAGTTAATTGTACATTGTGATAAATGCAAAATACTAATTAAATATTAGTCATTTTAAAAATAAACCACTGATCACATTTATCATAACTAATTATAATATTGCTGCTTGTCGGGGTCACCCCACAGCAAAATATACATAGTATTTTTGATATAAAAATTAAATTTCCTCTCTGTGTCATAAAACTATAATAATACAATATATTATCAATATCAACAAAACCTCTTTTAGAATAAAGAAGCTGAAGTAAATTAATAAATAATAAACAATTAAAATATTTGTTTGTACAGATACCACTGGGTGTATGCCAAATAATTTAACAAAAAAAACTTTACAAGCATCGCAAGTTTAGGCTGCGTCTCAAGCTTTCAACAACTTGCACCGTTCCTTCTCCTGATTGTTTTCGGGCGGTTCGCACTCGAAACTGGCGAGCGCTAACGAATTTTCGTTGAGTATCGGACCATTCTGAAGGAGAGTGATCACTTTAAGATCCTTTTCAAAAGGGCATGTGACTTCCTTCCATGCCATGAACTCGGTTACCTGTTTGGCCAATTGCCAGAATTTGTCGAAATTTATGTGTCCATTTGGCAATCTGCAAAATGAGAGTTTATGAGTCTCAGCGATATAAATCTCAAGTAGATAAATTATACATTTGGACTATTAGGTTAAAAAACAAAACTGAGTTATTGATCAGGTTTTACTTACTTGTTCGAGCAGCCTTGGTTCAAAAAATAAATGTCCTTGACTAGAAGACTGAAAAATGGAATAACAATTCTCTGCCTCTGATCGGTGGCACCTGCACTACGCCACATTGCTGCTTTTAAAGTTGACCGATAACTACTAAAATTACTGCTCGGGTCCATTTGATGTTCGAGGATCGCAAACTTGCCAGATTGAATTTTTAACCACTGCAATTTAGGTAAATACTTAGGATTCCATCCAAATCCAAATTTAAATGAGAGTGGTAGAAACTTACAGTTTTCTTTAGTCGAGAAATCGGAGATAGGTTGAGACCAGCAATGATAGCCATCAAACTATTAAAATTGCCAATGTTGAAGCACTCACGCCCGACTTCAATCCAGTATTCGACGACTTTGACTCGCTGTTTCTTCTTAGGGTACTAGAATAATATATTACAAAATTATTGTTGTTACACATATGTATTCTCGTTAAATGAACCGTGCATTACCTTACAAACTTGGGTGGCCACCAAATAACTTAACCTGTTGAACCATTGAACATATTGTTCCAAATTGTGGGTCTTCTTCATATCCTTAAAGGAAGTCTCCAAATGTGGATTTTCCTTAGCGAAAGCTTGCACAAACTCCTCCGGTCCAATGAACGACAGTCTTTCCAGCTCAACATGAGTAAGTTGCTGTGCTAATGTGGCGGGATTTGGACACATCTCGGAAATATCCGTAGAGTTCTCGTCAGCGACCGCGGCTAAATCCTCCAGGGACTTCTCATAAGCTTCGAGGGCGCTCCGACGCTGCTGTAAGTTGTGTGACATCGCTGACACTTGGGACATCAAGCCGACATTCAAATCTATGCAATGCTTCGTAATTCCGCGCACGTGCTGCATCACGCGGTCGTCTCGGAAGTCATACGGAAATATTTCCGTCCACTCGGCAAGTAATTGTACCAGGTGTTCGGCAAAGCGAGCCGTCGCCGAAGTGGCAGGTTTACCACTGCCTAGTCCTTGTTGAGCTTCGCAAAGCACCCTGATCCTGTCCAAGAGGTCGTGCGGCTTTATAAAGAGGCGCGACGATAAAAGAAAGGCAAAAATGTAGGTGCGTTCGGGGTAGTAAGTATCGGTAGGCACCATGTGCTGAATCAAAGCCTCAAGTGGACCTGATATCAAATTACCATCTCGGTACACTAAAGCCTGAAAATAAAGATGTGTTATATGGAATGCCTGATTCAAAAGTAATTAAGCAATAAAATTAACTCTTACATGTTCCTGTTGAGTAGCAGATTCGTTTTCGTTATCTCCGTTAAAAATTTTCGTTTGTGGAGTTTGAGGGAGACTCTAAAAAGTTAAATTAATCTAATTAGTGGAAATACGCATAATTTGTAAAATGTATCATATTCAATTAAAATAAGTAAATGATATATAAACACAAAACCGTTAACATTTTGCCTTGATTTGCCTACGTGAATACTTTTCAAGTTCTAGGCCTATACTTGAAACCGTGTCATAAGTTATGGAAACATGTAGGAAGTTCAATACATGCGGAGGCAGATAAATTGAATTGAATTGAATTGAGTAATAATAATATACACGCACACCAAATACGCAAACCTCAAATTTCACAGTTAGGAAATAACTACAATTTTTATTATCTCCTATAAATTAATAATTGGCTCTTATTACGATGTAGATAAGGACATTGTTAAAAATAGAATACTTGCCCTTCTATTGGAACAGTTCTTCGGCGTCAGGTCTGATGCGACAGTTCCAAAGATGGTAGGCTATAAATAAACAAATCAGATTTAAGTACAAACAATTTTTTCGGTCACCTACGCTATAGCTCTAAAATCTTGTTAAGATTTTCTGTTACTCCCAAACCAATATAACACCTTAGTACCTTCTCAAAGTAAAATTGTTGCGCAAATAGAATACCACACAAATGACGCATCACAAATAACGAAGTATAAACTCCAAAAGTGTTAATTTAGAAAATCTTAATTCCAATAGCCTAGCAATCTTTTTAAACATTCACACAAATCCTATTTATCCTGCTTGATTCTACTCACCACATACTCTTTCAGGTACCCGTTTGCGCCATTCATTCGATTATTATGCAATTTGTTCGAACCACAATGCTTAAAATCAGTTTCGTCCAACGAACTCAAAGAATCCGCTGAGCTGGGTGTATAATCGGCTTTGTTGGTCATGGTACCAATAGTGGAATTGCTCAAATTGCCCGAATCTTTGCTGAGTGATGACTTGGACTTGTTAGATTGCTCAGACTGTTGAGATTCGTAGCTAGATGCGCTCGAGTAACTCCCGCATTTCCGATGATCGCGATCGCTACCGGTCTCATACCCGTTCTCGGTGAACTTTGTGTTGTACTGGGAGTTGAGCAGCTCTGCCGTTGGAATGATTTTGATAGGTTCGTACACCTCGGTGATAGCAGTTGTGTAGAAGTTTTGCTCTTTAATTTCACGACTTCGTTCGTCAACAACTTTACCATGTCGCGAAACAGTGACTTCCTCCTTAGTCACTGTGGTGGACTTTACATTCAAAGTGGTGTCCAACTTCACAGGCGCCTTGAGGATACCAGCGTTAATAAGCAGTGCATTGAGCAAATCACACGGTGGCACCTGTCCGGTGATTAGAGCTTGTTTGATAGCCAATCCATCAGCCCCTTCTAACTCGACGGGCACGCCATTGATGTAGAGAACTTCTTCTTCTTTAATGGAAGACTTCTTTTCGCAGTCAACCACCTTTACGCCCTTGCCCAAGATTGATTCCACAGTTTCCTGTATTTCCGGGTCATCCATTTCTGTCAAAGGGAATGAAACAAAATGTTTGCGTAACCTTTGCTTTTTTTCGAGATGTACGCCAAAGAAACAATGCCATGTTATATTTACCAAAATCAGAATTCACTTAATACCTATAGCTTTATTTTTAACATAAAAACTGCGTATTAAAATGGAGCAAACGGAAATGTCTTTAAATGCAACATCTCTGTATTTACATACAAATATCAGGGTCATCCTGCTAGAAACCCGAAGTCTACTTTTTTGTGGGTTTTGGCAGTGATTCAAGACTTCATTAATCATAAACCAACGTGTATGAAACTTTGCCGAACATCATCATAAACTGTGTTTATATGGTGTGTGTATTAAAAAACATACGCCATGTGCAAATCTACTTGAAAAAAGTAGTGTACTGTTAAACGAAGTTTATTTTTAATCCCATTTTACGCCTTGTTTAGCATAGATTCCTAATGAAAATAACTAAAAATTCTTCACATTCAACCATCAATCAAATATTTGTATGAATATACATTTGAAGATTTTGAAATAAATTAACCAGACATGACTATCAAACCTATGTGATTGACGAAAATACCTGTATTCTTAATTTAAAGTAGTGTCAAACGAAGTGTTGATACCTGGTGAAAGTATAGTTATGCAATTCGATTGCACAAACAAGTATAAATATTTATTTCGCACGTTACTCTGAAGATATTCACCTATTTGCAGCGGTTTGATGTTTAATCATACAATATTCACATTGTCTCATTATATACGTATGTTCATTGCAGTGCAATGTGGGTACGTGGCGGGTATAATTGTTTCAAAGAATGCGATTTCAATATCAATTGCGCTAGTCCAATTTGTGGTTGGTAACTGAACATTGCGTGTCGCAATATCTAACTGTTAATACACTCGGGTGGATTTGAAGGCATTTGTTCTCCTCTGGTACACCGTCGATTTCAGCACCAATCAATTGCGCGCACATTGAATTTGCATGTCACAGAGTTCGGGAATTAGGAACGAAGCGAATTAAGTGCGTATTGCCAATCGTCTACCTATTGTCATGTATTGATTCCCGTTGCGATTCTCGATTGGAAGAGGGTACGGACTGCTTACCGGATTTAAATTATCAGCTTGCCGAATCCAATTTCGAACGCAATTTTCACACTTTCACAGAATGTCTGAACATGGATTGTCAATTTTTAGATACTTTTGGTTACTTCCTTAAACTATAAATTATTTTGCAAATTTGTTGCAAACTTGAAATTACTCCGGAAGAGAAATTTCCAAAGCGGCTATTCACTTACCCAGGTTAGACGAACAATGGACGAATTTATGGGCAGATATACATTTTGGAAATAAAAGAGCACGAGCGGACGACGAAGAATTGCCGAAGCATATTGGATTATTCATTGCCGAACTACTACTTAGCCACATGTGTAGCTGGGGGAGAAGCTCAGAAGAAACATGTAAAGAACGAGTAATGCGGAAAATAAATCGTCGTGTGTTGCCGGCCCCAAGCCGTGGCAATAAAAATTTATTGGCGGAAATTTGTTCTTAATTAAGTGAAACTAGATCTATAGTTCCAAAGATTGCATATAGACACTTGGCGACAATATAAATTTGTCGGATGTGGAATTACTTTCATTTTCAAAACTTTCAACAGAAAGTTTTAAATTGTTTGCCTAATGTAAGCATAAAAACTTTATAAAAATCTGAATTTTGAATATAATGTTAATTTAATTGTTATGTCCTTATTTGCTTTCACAACGTATTTAGCAAAACCCAATTATCACCGAAAATATACAACACTAAACTAACGAACAACGAAGTTATTAATAAAATTCAAAGTATTGTTGATTCTTGTAACCAAGCCTTGTCTTAATTCGTATTTACAATACATTGTGTAATGACTGTAATGATAAACAATTTGTATTCCGGCGGAAATATTTAGGTACACCGATGTTTAAATGCAGACGACTTTTTGCTCAGAACGTAGTCACCGTCTGCAAAGCCATCACTTATTTATTTTATTTTTACCATATAATATTCAAGGTAAATTGAATCAGTTATTTAAATATCAATGTTCAAACACGCGCAAATCACACTCATCCACTTCATTATTTATTCACTGCGGTAAATAAAATGAATTCTTATTTATATCTCGAAATTATTTGTGCCTTTCTCTCTATCGACAGCTATTTATATCCTTAAAATTTCAGATCTGTAGAGTGCCGCTATAAAGAGTTTGCAGGGAACATATCGAACAAACATTATTTCGGTGAATTTTCTGGGACAAATTCCCATAGGACTGTAACATGTTGTCTTAAGCCATAACGTGATGCCATCAAAAGCTATGCATTATTGTATATACAATAATAAAATTAGCAAATTATGCATTATTATGCGATCCGGGAAACACATTGCATTATAAATACAGAAATGCAAATCTCAAGATGAGAGAACAACGGCTGTTCTTAACATAACATTAGCAACATAACTGGCTGCTATCGATTGCTATGCAGGAAGTATTAAATGTGTTTGTCACGTGTAAGTTGATGAACTTTAATGAATGAATCTTGTAACTATCTAGGCTTACAAATATTGATAATTTTCATGTTTGTCCATAGAGTAAATAGATTTAGTTTTCGATGTTTACTTTGACACGTACCCTTCCTTATCAATCCGGTTATTTACATATTTATGCAAATATTTACGTATTTGTATAAATAATGATTTTTCATACCTTGAAAATAATAAAATTTAATTTCTTCCGTCAAATGCACTGATAGTAACGCACAGAAGAATATTTATTACCCGAGAAATCTTGACACTGAAAACGATGAGTGAGCAATAAAATGCGTTAATACCACATTCGATTAAATAATTCCACCAAAGTACGGCTCCAATTCCTCCAACTTTAATAGCAATTTTTCATTTTTATTTTACATCTTCGCGACCTGGCTGAATCTTTCCTTATTAAAAACATGCTTAACGTATGTGTAACTATGCAGAACGATTTAATTTATTACGTCGTCGAGGTGAGTTGTGGATTGCATTCAGACCTCGAAATGGTAAATTGTAAATGAAGCAAAATGAAGTGCAAGTAATATTAGAGGTCAAAACGTAACTGTGGAAATGCCCATAAGACGAAGCAAAGTGCACGTGGTACTTAGTAACGTTTCTAGGCAAGATTAGAACCGATAGTTTAGAAAAAAAATGCAAAAATTTGTTTATTTTATTCCTCATCTTATAGGCCTTGTATTTTCAAAATGCCTTCCCTATCCTATAAATGCCAAGCAAAAAAATATTACGAATGTCGCTTCGAAGACACTAACTTCCAGACCCAATTTATTGGTTAGACCCAATAAATTAATGGTCAACCTGGTCATGGAATTACCTATAATTCACAAGGCTTACATATTGAATAATAAGGGAATAAAAACGCAGGATTATACCTCATTAAATAGTACAAGAAATTGATCAAGATGAAAGTTATGAGCGTGTAATAAAAAGCCCGTAAGCATAAAATGAACGTAAAAGAAGGCAAGAAAAAAACCTAATATACGAGTACAGCAAAATAAAAATCTTTCTAAAAACGCTATTGATGGTATACACACAAATCACCTGGTTTTATAATTTACTTTGTGAGTCAAGTCAATAGGTAAATAAATACCTAATAACAAAGAAAAAAAATTGTAATTTAAAATTGGTCCCAAATAAATGCTGATGATACTCATTGTTTTCAATTATTCAATTAAGATAAATATTCTGTAATTGAATGAATTTCAAGAGGTGGTGAAGGAGTTCCTTTGCTTGATAATTTTTTGTAATTTTTGTTTTGTAAAAGTTATCTAATTGGAATATAAATAATACTTTCTTTAACGAAAAAGCGTAAATAAATGAAAGTATACCTACAATAAATTTTATTAATATATAAATATTAATGCAAATATGTGACCACTTGATTCCTTAGCATTTAT